TGCAGTCATTATAACCATTACAATGGTGTGACTGAAAATTTTATAGCAAGCTCATCTCTATGAGATAAAGATCAAATCTTTACCCAGACGCTAGGAGAGAACCTGCTGGGCTCCATGCACAAGCAAAGACCTAAAAGAAAATATAAATGGCTCAATTAACAGAAGTTAACATGATAACAAATTAAAAAATACAGAATGCTAATTATATCTATGTGACCAGACCTCAGAACTATGTCCTTCCAAAATGGTCACCTCAGAGCGTGAGATCTCACAAGCCAAAGATTGAGAGCTAGGGGTGATATCCATTTGCTCAGGTCCTACTAGGATAAGAAAGCAAATTAGTTAGTAGTATAAGAAAATGCAAGTCACTGATTTGCCAACAAATATATATACATATCTAAACATGAACACATATAAAATGCTGCCAAAAGACATCCATCAATAACAACCATTACATCCAAAACACAATGTCCCAAATATTTGCCATCAGCTACATGGATTCTTTCCTACTAATGAGCCCTACTTAGGAAATATCATTTGACAAAGTAAGAGTACTTTAAGCTTTTTTTGATTATTTCTAATAATATTTTTATATATCTCCCTCTACCTCCCCTCACACCATTAATCATAAGATTCACCTTGTGTAACTGGAGCATCTAGAAGTCTCCTTTTGGATATTGACCATGTCGATAATATCTTGATTGGTTTTCCCTCATTTTTTTCTTCTATCTAAACTATATCTAATTGTCACCAAATGCAGTACCAAAAAACTATGTGATGCTTTCCATTTTGGCTTTCGGTCATTCAGCTCTATGCGATCCTCTCCCGAATCAGATAACTTGTATATGCCTGTTTTTAGTTATTTTTGTGTACACAACTTGTAAGGGGTGTGAAGTAGTGTTGTCAGCCCCACTTTGCTTTCGGTGGCATTTTTGTTGTGTTTCTGTTTTATAAAACTTGCAAACAATGTAGGCTATGCCGGCATCGCTTGGCATCACAAATCTCAGGAACCATTTTTACAGGGTAATTGTGAGGTACATGAACATCTTACTAAAAAGCAAGGTGAATGAATAAACAAACATTTAATAATATCCAAATGCTAAATAACATGTAAGTTTGGTGCAATACTATGAATACAACTATTTGATTTATGTTGTTCATATGGTCATATGTCAACTCAAAGAAATATCAAATATAGATTACCTCTAGAAACTTCATGCTCATCAAGCTTAGTCTTATCTTTGGACTCCACGTGTTGCTTTTCCTTTTCCTCCTCCTTCTCCTTCTCTCTCTCTTGTTCATTATCCACTTCCATCATTTCTTTTTCCTTCTCTTGAGATGCATCTCTGTCTTGCCTTTCTCTCACTCTCTCGCTTTCAAATTGTTGGTCTCGATCTTGAGCAATCATGCTATCTTTATTTTTGTCCTTATCACATTCCTTCTGAACTTTCTCTTTCTTCTTTGCTTTTATGATTTGCTGTAGTTCGTTGACATCCTTTGTGATGAGATCCAAAGGTTGTAGAAAAGAGAAGTCATCGTCGGCGTCTACATCAGTCTAGCAAATTTCAAGAAGCAGAAAGACTAATGAGAAGATTCTTATGCATATGTATTAAAAAATTAATGATGCAAGATAGAAAAGGGAAAGCAAAAGGCAGATTGTGGCGAAGGAAATATTTACATTATCCAGGTTAGCTTCCAGCTCTATATACTGTAGACCTTTCTGTACAAGTGTAATAAGAGCACCTGGTGGAACTTGATTCCCATCAATGGCACATTTGTTAATCCCAGCCTCATATCCTAAAGCAAATGCTGAATGAGTCAACCCTGGTACAGTTCATACAGACCCATATTAGCAGTTGCATACAAATCAGTCGTTCTTACAAACATGAAGTTTAGAACCCAAAAAGGGCAGCACTCATTAAAGAAGGTAAAATGTGAAACACAACTGCTAATAAGATGTAGACCAAATGAAACTTCCGTTATAAAAAACAAGCAATATAATCAGACACTATATCAACTAAGTTAGACCAGAAGTAAGCATCTCTCATAATGAAAAATGAACTTTCCTATCAGGATATCAATATAACAGGTGTGATTTTCCTGAAAAATTCCGGTCACCAGACGGAATTTTCTCTTAAGATTAGCAGTTAGTTGCCAGTGGTGGTAAATACGACATGCTGCTTCCAAGTTATCATGGATGGAAAGAATGGGAGTGGGAATCTGACACAAAACTTGGCTCTCCTGGACGGAAAACCCCAAATGGGCATCTAGGTCACTTCGATTATGAGTTACGCATATATGAAACAGCAAAACAACTGTTTCCATAAGCACGAAAAGATCACGAACCACCATGCCCTAATGGCCAAAATCTACATCGAATAAGAGGTTTCCAAAGCACCAACTTTTTCCGTTTTCCGCACTCAGCGGAAACATGTCCTAGCAAAGAAAACCCACAAAACAAGGCACCCCGAACTCTGGTAGCACCAATAGGGACAGGAAAAGAAATCAAGAATGGATCCAAGGTAGCCAGGAAGAGAAACAACGACCAATCCCGGCGAACGAAGAAGACGGAGATCGAGGGGGAAGGGGAAGGAGGGGGTGACCTGATTCCTGGAGGTACCGGAAGACGAGGTAATTGAGCTCGGTGGAGGTGATCGTCGAATGCGTCATGGAAATCTCCCCCGCGCTCGCACGGCCACGGACGGACGACGGAACCTCTTCGGTCGAGAACACGGGCGTTGGGGTTTATTTACTGCGGCCACGGCGTGACTCGGGTTCGGGGTCGCTCCTTTTATATTTACCGGGTTCAAGGCACTAAGTAATCGGGCTGAAACCCGAATCCGTAATCGGGAAAACCGGATGGTCAGATGGTCATATATATATATTTAGATGGTCGGTGATACGTTACATTTTCTGCTGAGTTAAAATGTTGTTTGTTTGGTGTCGTTGACAGAAAAGCCAACACGGCCTATTTGTTTTCAGCAGCATCATCACTATGTGATGGGTTTTGTAGGCTAGGTTCGTGATGTCGGGATGTTGGTGGACGAGTTATCCCGAGCGAACGAGGGTTTCCAGGCGAGGATCATCAGACCATCAAGTTGGAGAAGAGAATTCCCTCGACGACCGATGATACCATGGTCGCTAAGACGATCGATCTACTAGGGCAAGCTGTAGCCGGAAGATATTGAATAGTTTCTCTTAAAGAGTTCTAGTTTCTCTAGAAGAGTTCCTACGATAGAGATTAGTGGATGCCCATGATAGGGGAGACCAATTGGAAGACAATACGAAGATGTGATTTGACGAGTTGATGGTGACCTAGGACATTAAAGAGCTCTTGGAGAAGAAGTGACGCCAAGCTCACAATTTAGAGAAGGGGGCAATTGCAACATATAAGGAGTCAGGAGGGTTCCGATGAGACCTGTTGAGATCGGGAAGGGAGTCATATCGATATGGGTACCTCATTGCTTTGGGGCATTTCAAAATCAAGTACCAGGGAATGAGTGTCGAGGAGGATCTTTTAACTCTGCGGCTCGAAAATTCCGATGTCCCCAAATCGCAAGCCCCTTTCAACAACAGCCCTAACTCATCCTACTCTTTTGATTGAATGCTTTGGCCTCTTCTTCTTTTTTTTTTTTTTTTATCTATTATGAAGGGTTTCAGTTTGTGTCTTCTTATTGTGAGCCCTCGATCGTAAGCACCACACTAATGTAATCCTCTCATTTTTAATAAAATTTTCTTTCATGTGTCGTTCTATTGTGGCTTTTTGGTTGAGGTGATGCTTTAAGGACAGAATCCTTTTTATTAATGTATTGTGCTTAAGTTAATATCTGAGATCTCCAAATATGAATTTAAGTATTTCAAAAGGAGTGAATAGTTTATGATTACTTCAAAGGGAGTGAGTAGTTTATGATTACTTTCCTTTCATGTCGATAAATTTCCTATCAATCGGTGATTCTTCGTATTCACCGTCCAAAAGAGTTGAGTTTGATCATTCTTTTATTGTTGGTAAGGGAATTTATATATCTATTTAAAAGCTTAATGATTAATAAATAATTTATTCCTCCAAAATCAGTCAATTTTAAATTTAAGTCTAATAAAAATTAAAAATGACGTACATTATGTGCAAGACTTCAGCCAATGTCATAAGTGTCAATATAATTACTTTCAACCTAATAGAGAAGTGTCCTATTTTTTAAAAAAATATCATTTTTTATTTGAGTTTAGGAAATTAAAAAAAAAGGCATACAATATGTGCAAAACTTTCACCAATACCAAAAGTGTCATTATATAATTAATTTCAATCTAATTGGAAATTATTTCCGTAACTCAATGAAAAATCAAACAATCAATAAAAATATAAAAGACGTATTTAATATTTAATAATTTTCAACTATTGACTTCAGCTTATTTGGATGAATACACAACAGTATCATCATGCAAAGGGATTTAAATAGTTAAAGGGGTTTATATGTTAATATAAAAATATGGAGATGACTGCTCTAAATTTTGATAGTGATAAGGTGATCTGAAGTGCACGTCTGATCAGCATATGCCTCATCAATCCAACAAATTAGCTAAGTGGCACAACACATCAAACTCTCACATCATTATTCTTTCTGTTTTTTAATGCTACCTTGATATTATCAGAGGAGTTTTTATTTATCAAGCACACACATGCTAATTTTATTGAACCAATAAAACAAGTTCCTTTTTTTTTAAAATGTAACCTACCATTTATAAGTAAAGCAACTCTATCATAGAACTAACACTCACCCTCTTTTCTTATCTATGATGCTAACATAAAAATGTTCTAATCATGAACATATTAAAGATCAGACATGGCAAGAAATCACAACAAACTCATGATTATACAAAAATGACAATGCAAGGGTAGCCACACCACCACCCAGATAGAACAAAAGCAACCTTCTGAAATCATGATATCTGTATAAAACAAGATTCTGAATTATAAAACAAAAGCATGTGCTTGGTAAAATCTCTGCACAATCCTGTGATTTAATTACTCAAAGCGCAATAACTTCTAACATTGTCCATTTCCTAGAATTTTATAAGCCTTTACATAATAGTGAGCCTGTAGACATTGAAGCATTTGAAGTATATCATTACAAGAGGAGGTGCAGTCCTAAGCAGTGAATGATGCAATAGTGCAGGAAAAGAAAAGCATAATAGGATGATGGACGTGCACAGTACCATGGTGGCAAATCCAGAAATTGTCCTAAAATGAAGTTTCTTTTCTTTTTTACTGGTAGAGAAACATTGTATAGGTAGCAAACTTCAGAGCTGCTTCTCGGATACATTGAAATTCCCACCATCATGTTCTGATAAGGAACTGCAGTGAGAAAGATTTCATGAGACAGGCACTAAGAATGATGTACAATAAATTCTACTGTCCGCAAAGTTTATGACATTCATGCTTCTGTCCGAGTTCACCATAGTACACATCATCCATAAGTAACAGGTAGCAACGGAAGTTATTGTAGCACATATGCAAACAACCATTGAATGATAACCATTATCTCTAGTAATATATTCGACTAGGCCCGCTTATGGGGAGTTTAAGCATGGGTCTGGAAGACAAAACAACATTAAAGTCCACCAAAAGTATATTTGATAATGGTCCCTCACATGTTAAAGTCAAGTAGGAGAGGATGGAAGTAGAAGTTACTAAGTTAATGATAAAAGAATGGTAGACGAAGAATTGTATATGTTGGAAGGTTAAAGAGTCCCACTTACAGGGGCTGTGGATGGCCAAGGAGTGGCTGACTATCTATTTCCAAAAGGATTGACAATATTAAACAGTGGAAGGAGGTTCCTTCTTTCCAGTGGACATCCTACATTCTACAAAAAAAAAAGGGAATCTACTTGAAAGAAAGGATCGCTGCTTAGGAAGCTGACCTAAGATGGAAGGAAACGGTTCCTATGCTATCCCATATTCTCCCATGGGTTTGTCGGCTCACAAATCAGCCACCATACTTTGATGTCCCTCTGCATCAAGTTTGAATTGAGACTCAAAGACCTTGATGGTACTCATTCCTAAAAAGTAGGGTGGTTCAAGAGAGACCCCAAATTGGATAATCCTCATTCTCACAAATGATGGTCTGCCCTAGCAAAAAGCACCTCCACTTCGGTGGGCAAGTTGCATTCCATAAGGACATCAGAAGTTGATGAATTTGGTCTCTATCTTCTCATCCAAAATGGCTCAAAAGGAGTGAGACTCGAACACAGACGACAATAATCAGCCATGACCTCAAACTGACCGCTGTAAGGTTAACTTTTCAAAGCTTAAGGCTATTTGATAGCTTTTTTAGGGGTAGACCACTAATGAAGCACAAAAACACAAATTTCCTCCCATCAATCAAAGAGAGTGAATTTAGGAAAAATATAATCCATCTCTATCGTCTCATCCAAAATGACTCGAAAGGAGCGAGACTCAATCCGATAGGACAATTATCAACAACCACCTCAAACTGACCGCTGCAAGGTTAACTTGTCAAAGCTTAAGGCTATCTGATCGCCTTTTAAGGGGGAGACCACTAATGAAGCACAAAAACACAAATGTCCTCCCATCAATCAAAGAGAGTGAATTTAAGAAAAACAGAATCCATCTAGCAAATAGTCTCCCTGAAACCACCAAACAAACCAGTATCCTTTGGAAGAATGAAGGCAAATAGAGGTTTCAATTTGCCAGATAACCCACTTGAATTGCATTACCTTAAAAAAAGAAGAGATCCAAAATCCAAAAGAGAGGAAGAGAGTGACAAAGGTAGAAAGAGAGTGACTAAGTGAGTGTGAGACAAGGGAAGTGGACACAGCCAAGAGTGGGTTAAATAATCCCTAAATGTGGGCCAACTGTCAAATTTGGGTCAAGCACCTTGTTACGGTCGAAATTGTACTCATTGGTACCAATCGGTAACATTTGGCCATACAACACTGTACTTGTGTAATGCCTGGTATGCTTTAAACCAGGCAAATTTCAGCCGAAATAGCATGGTCCATGAACCAGGAAGCAGTCAGACCACTAAATGCCGGTTGTACCATACCGTTTCAACCGAAATTGCAGTCTGATCGACCATGCTAATTGAGGAGTTGTTGAGACAAGCCCAACCATAAGAATGCATCACATCAAAAGTTGCATTGAAAAGAAATTGTAAGTGATATAAAGTTGACCATTCACAAAAGAAAGCACATGATTCAACAAAGAAATAAATTGGGAAAGTTGCCATCATCTAACTTCATCATCCAGAATTCGACAAGAGTCCTAGCTTTCAGGGTAGCATATTTGATGTAATTATGCTGAAAATGTTCTCACATAGGACCAGGAGAAGAAAAATATCGGCAGTCCATATAATGATTCCATCAAGTTATTGGCATATTCCAATCAACCTCCTGAAATGATGGATCTGAGTAAAACTTAAAAAATCAATTGAATGGAAAAATGATGAACATAAAGCTACCTAATAAGAGAAAAAGGAATCATATGACATAAAGATGAAGAAAACAAGAGAAGGGGGGAAGGAGATAGAAAGAGGGGAGAGAGAGAGAAAGATGGACATGGAAGGCTTGCAACCACTAAGAATTCCCTCATAATTTTTCGGAAAAATTGTAGAAGTCCTCCTTTTGAGGAAAGGGATCAAGGAAACATGCATCATAATGAATTAAATTTGTTAGCAAGTATTGTACCCTATCAAATGTAAGTATCTTTTTCCCCACAAATAGACCTCCTCTTCAAGTATCAGTCTATATGATCTTCATATCAGATCTAATCACTGACTCCATATTATCATAATGCCTAAACCATTTGTTTACTTTTACTTTTTTATTTTTTTCTCTTAGGAAGCAGTGCATCATTGGACACCACCCTCAAACCTAATATTCTCTGATGCTCTTAAAATACAGCAAGCAACTTCAACATGGACAGGCTGTGGATTTTCAAAAACGGATTTACTTATACAACCTATTGCTGATGGATATTTCATTAAAAATGGGATTTTTTTTTTTTTAAAAGCATTCCGGTTATGCTTATGGAAAAAAAATTTCTGAAGCAACATTATGTCATTAAGAACATAAAATGGATTACCTGGGAATCTTCAGCCTTTGGGTTTTATTTTTGACTATAGGGAGATTTTGACTGATAAGATTTGGATCCGCATATGCTGCAGAACCAGAAGGAAAGCCTTGCTGCATAATTTAAAGCAACATAAAAATATTAGTAAGGTACATGTCTTCTTGTATTAATTAGGCAACTAAAAAGCAAAATTTAACAGGCTTCCAATCAGATAAGTATGCAATAGAACATGTATGTTAGTTTTAGAATAGTATGTAATCTGAATATGTCCAGATAAAAGGTAACCTTTTAGTAAGTCTACAAAGAAGAGATTGGGCTCATAAGCTTAAATATACAACAAAAAGTTCGAAGGCAAAAAGAACTGTTTGGTTATGCAGCAACGTCTAGTGAAAAGAAAAGAAAACCTTCCAATTCCATTTTGCAGCATTTAAGTACCCTGCCAACTAGATTATCTTACACTAGCTAGACAGATATTTGCGTGCAAAAATTGTCTTTAATGAGAATGCACAAGCTTACGACAGATAAACTTTCAATAGTTGCTTCTCTCCAGCAGTTCTCTCGAATGATGATAGGCTTCACTTTGTCATCGCTAGCAAAAGAACAATAAACTCGAGTATCCCTTAGTCTCATTAATACTCCATCAACTCTAAGCTGCAATGAAGATTGCTTTAGTAGCCGGAAGAAAAACCAAAATTTGGAAAAACAAGGTCCTAAAGTATCATTCATAAATACCAAAATGGACAACTAAAGTTTTCTCAAACTAAGGTTAACATGAAAATCTTCCTTAGATTTTCAGGTAGATATTTCACAAGAGCACTGCTTATGGGAGGATATGAAAGGAGGCTCATAGGCACTTACCCGTTCAATTTACTATCATATAATTCTTTCTAGCAAGAAATATCATATGGTCTTTAACAGAAACAATAGTCGGGGGGCATTGTTGCTTACTAAAATAAATATGCAAGCTTCAAAATGGGTGATATAATAACATTGTCTTGTGATCATTTACGAACACATCTATTCTTTACATTTGAAAAATTAACTTGACCAGATGCTCTGAAATGTAAGGATATAAAATATTTATTCCATAGGATACACTAAAGGAAATATTTCAGGGCATCTAAAATATGTGAAAGGTAAATAAATTCGTAAACTTACCCAGTAACGCAGAAGAAGAAACCAGCAACTAGGCATGACTCTCTACAAGTATGGGGAAAAATATTATATAAAAAGTGATATTCCAGTGTGCGTAAAACAAGGCCATTCACAAAATCTGATGACCAAAAGAATAGTCTTTACCACTTTTACAGTTAAGAGTGATACTCCATTATCAGCCAACTCATCCTCATAGAGAACTACCTAGAGAAGTTACAAATCAATTGTTAAAAAATCAGCACTATCCTCAAAAGGTAACATATATTTTCATATTCACCATATTTTAGTTACCAACCTCATCATAGAACAGGATTGGTTCTTTCATTGACAATACAGCCAGATCAATTCGCTCGTCACAGTCCTCCCAGTGAAGACTGCAGCAACCATCTTCTAGAATTGTCTGAGTTACAATATAAATACAATGAGGATGTTTTTTTGTGTATTTGCAAACTTGTGGACCTTAAAATCCACAAAATCCCAAAAGAAATGCTACTATATATCCATATAGGAACTAATGCTTATACCTCCCTCAGTCAAAAGATAAGGTTAGATGCATACAAAAGAAATGTCAGAAGAAAATGGTCCTCAAGTAGCACTAGAATGACTATAAGTTTCAACTGAAAGCATTACATAAGGTCTCTAATTGAACTATAGAATAGATTTCCTTAATGATGAGAAAAAATAATTATTCTTTTACTCCAATTAAAAGAACTTGATGGACTAGGCTAAAGGGTTTCAACATAGAATAGGTTCCAGAAAATGAGACTTTTTTCAATTTTCTTTGGGTCAAAATATGATTGAAGGTTTACAGAAATGTATCAATAGAGGTCTTGACAGAAGGCGTACCACGAACCTCATAATGATATCATATGCCAGATAATCCTTAACTAAAAAGAACTTATTAATAGATGACAATTTTCTACAGATTAATTGCAAGATTATGGACCTTGAATCACTGTGATATTCCGGATCCATACAACTCTAAGAGGGGACCAATATAGTAACCAAGATTTGATTCCTTACTTGAATATCAGTTCCAAACAATGTACACGTAAAGGTCTTGACAGAAGGCGTACTACGAACCTCATAATAATATCATATGCCAGATACTCCTTAAATAAAAAGAACTTATTAATAGATGACAATTTTCTACAGATTAATTGCAAGATTATGGACCTTGAATCACTGTGATATTCTGGATACATACAACTCTAAGAGGGGACCAATAAAGTAACCAAGATTTGATTCCTTACTTGAAAATCAGTTCCAAACAATGCTTATTCATGTGAGTCACATAAGCACCATCTCGGTATATTGTTTGATGGACAACTTTTCATTAGTAACAGGTGTAAACTTTAATGAGCAGCAATTCTTCGAAGTACACTTGGGCCTTGAGTTGAGTTGACTAAGGAACGTCCTACACCTACCAAACCTAACACATTATTATCATGTCCCGAAAGCTCATCTTGCATTTAACCAAGATGACAAGCAATGGAGTCAGTCAAAAGATTATGAGATATTGTTGAAGACTGAAGGGCTTAGGCCCTAAGAAAGCTAATATCCAGTTGAACCTTGCCAATGTTAAGATGATCTATGTTTGCAAAACTAAAGAACATTTGAAACTATGAAGTCTACTTTAGAACTCTTTGCTCATAGTGTTCTCTTTTCCGATACCTTCAGTCCCTTTGTTTCAAAAGTAAATTAAACAATACCAAACTAGTTTCGTGTTAACAGCTATTCCTTGTGTTACCACTTACTAGTTTCATGTTAATCGCTACGAATTGGGTTACCACTTTAAAGCCATCTCAAAATCATCCCAGACCAGTTTATACTCTAGTTAAATTTTAGAGACCCATATGAAACTCAAATGTAAAATCCTAAAATATCTATTCATCACTACTTGTCATTCATGTAAAATCCTAAAACGCAAATGTATCAAAGTTGGAACATCACTACATGTTACTCATGAGTATATAGATTAAAATATATATATACAAAAGTCTCATCTTACCAATTAACTTCCTAGAAGTCCAAAATCTTGATACTAATCAAGTAGAAAGTGGTAACAAACATGAAATATATCCCTGTCCAAGACCAACCATGGAAGAATCTCCAGAATCACAGAAGAAGACACACCAACTTAGCTTGTTAATAGAAGCAACTTCACAAGAAAAAACTCAATGGCCAGAAGCATAATCCAACATTCTGGTAAAATTCTTAAAGCAAAAATAACCAAACCTTTTCTAATTCTGATTCTGATGTTTCACTGCCACAATATGGTGTTGTAAATGTGTAATCATAATCGAGAATCACTTGCTGTGAAGGTTTGCTGAGACCAAAGACCATAAGTAAGATTGATATCCAATATTTTACCATGAACATATATCAGGTAGAGATATACAATTTGCAAATTACATCAAGCCTTTTCTCCTAATTGGCAAATAGATTGACAAATGCTTCAGCGATTACATAAAACACCATTTGACACTATAAATGCCACACGATACGAAAATATCAAAAGAAAAAGAATATCTCCAGAATTAAAGATTTTAGCATCAAAACCTTTATAGATCGACAAAATGTTCTCTGAACATTGACAATGACATTTACTATTGAAGCAACAGTTGCATGAAGATAATGATGCCTTCTAATATAAAAAATTCATAATAAACCTGAAATTTTGCAGCCTGTCCAAGTGAAGTATTGAAGTAAACTGACCTTCTGAACTTCCATTTTGCAGCAGCAGGGACCTCAACCGGTGGCAGTGCTTCTTGCATCCAACCCATTAGAGCGTCAAATGCATTGAAGTGCAATTTAATACCAGTTCCCACATGTAAAAGAAATAAAGAACTATCTCCAAACACCATTTCAGGCAAGTGCGATGTTCCTAGCTTTTCTTCCAGCCTGAAGCAAAATTTAGCAGCAAAAGTTCAATCGTAAGTACACAATAGAAATTATCGATATCTCAAAAATGTATCTGAAGGTCATTATCCTGAAGTTACCAAACCACTATGAACTTTAGCAAAAAAAATTAACAAATTATTAACCCTTGAAAAGCTATTTCTTTTACTTTCATATTTTCTTTCTTTCAATAATGTTGATGAGAGGAGACATCCCACCAACTTACTGCCTGACAACAAGCTTGCCCATGTTTGAAAAGAATTATAGGATATAATGACAAAGAAAGGCAGCATGGAAACCATAGAATTCATGGCTGTGATAGCCTAGATAACAAAGGGTTAAATCAGTATATATAAATAGATAATTCAATTACTGAAAATTTATGCTTCAGAATATTGGTCCAAATGATGAAATTCATTGCATGCAAGTTAGGCATATCATCAGACCACCTAGGTTGCAATAAAATTGTATTAAGATTATGTGAACTAAGGTTTTTGATGGCAGTATTGGTAGTCCGGTAGTAGCTGTTCTAGAATCTTATCAAATTGGAAGGTACCAATTTGTCCAATATGCCTTCATGCACAACTAAAAATTGTTTAGTATGTCAGTTATAACCATTACATTCGGTGCACCAGTGTCTTGATACAATATGGCTGATAAGACTGATATATTATAGTACTTGGAAACCATGCTGTGAAAATTTCCATTTGAATTGGCATAAACCATGATCAGAGTACCTTGTGATCACAATGATGAGTGCTCACTCAAGTTAGTTCCACATGAAAACACAAAAGTACAGCAACAACAACAAATCCATAATATCCCAACTGACTACGGTCGGCTACATGAATCTTTTGTCGTCATTGAACATGATTTATGTTCATGAGATCTAACATAAGCTGGATATAACTTATCAACAACCTGATGCAACTCCTGAAACATGACCAACAATCAAATATCGATCCTAAGATCACAAGCTAATTTTCTAGACACACATTTTACTGAACCTTGGTGCTGTATAATGAAGTTACTACTTATTGACCTAGGTGACCACGGTTCCAAGTCATAGAAACAACCTCATTGCTTGCAAGGATAAGACCAGATACATCCCCAAAACCCTGCATTAGCAGGGAGTCTGGCACCAACCTACCTTTTTTATCCTTAATAAACACCAATACATATTTTCTAAGATTCCATTGCATAATACCTACCAATTTTCACTTCTTCCGTACGTATATTAGCTAAAACATTATCAGCTGAAATTACACCACTAAGCTTCCTCAGGCAGTAGCCAACATTCTGAAAAATCAAATGCATCATATTCTAAACGCAGCACTTTAACCGGTATAATTAGATATTAAGAGAAGACTCTTCGAGTTGTTCTTCATAAATCCAAGTAGATCATAGCCCAAGTTCATCCTTCACCGTATCTTCTTCCAGAGACCGCGTGTTCTTGTCTAATTTCTCGGTGTTCCTAAACATTTCGAACCATTACATGTACCTTTGTTCCCTCACAAGTAATCAAGAGTTACACATGTTTCCATCATACCAAAGAGAAACCGGAATACATGAGTTGCAAGAACATGAACAATTCAGACTCGTACGAGGGTTCAGTGTGAGCGATCGACGTACTCTTGGCGGGCGAGCGAGCCGAGGATGGGGCGCTTGATGGACTCGATGTGCCAACCCTTGAGCCGCAGCCCGCGCCGCCCGTCAGAAAGCGGCTCCGCCCCCGCCGCCTTCAGATCGCTGTCCGAAGCGCCGTCCCAGTCCGCCATGTCGCCGCTCTCCCCCGACACCGCGACCACCGATCGATCAAACCTCGTAACCCTTTTCCCCCTTTATTCCTTTTTCGTTTTCCTTTTATCGAGCCCATAAACTCGAACCCAACCGTCAGCCATTTTAATGGCACGTGCATTGCGCGTGCAGTTTTTGGCCGTTGAAGCCACCTCGCCCTCTTTTATGTGTCATATATATATATATATATATATATATATATATATATATATTATCACCTATTTTAGTAATTTATGTTGTGGCCCAAGAACCGATACAACTTGATCCCGATTGTGTAAGGTCGTTCACGTGATCGATTTGGGGGTTGAATAGAGAGGGAACGACAGATTGGGGAATTCATACACCAATCTCATAGCCAAGCTTGGGGTTGATCGTATCTCATAGCCAACCGAAAATGGAGCTGAAGTTACCTTCGACGTCGAATTCATACACAATAAGTCGATGCCGAGAAGGAGAATTCTTGACTCGGTCCCTCCGAAGTTTAAGTTAGTTTTTTAGGAAGTGATTGATATCCCCTAGTGTATGCCTGAGAATAACGTTTTATACCTCTCATTGAAAGTTAATCGTATGCGATCGTCGACATTCCGAGCAATCGGGTCATTTGCTTCGGATGGCATGGGCTGATTGTTGTGGTTTCACACCACTTGATTTTGGGTGATGCTTCATATGGTTCGGAGCTGCACGATTATTGTTGTTTTCAAGTTTATTATATCGTTTTAAGATTCCATCGGTTGTCCTACTTTTATATACGTGCGTTATATCAATTCGAATGTGCTACATTAGTTTCAAGGTAGTTATCGACTGTCATTATGCAGGTGATATCAAAATATCCCCTATCATCATCTATTGTTTTAATGAAATAGATTTGATAAATCTTCCTTTTTTTTTCTCCAACGATAATGACTCTCTTATTTAAGTGAGATGGATTCAATAAATTCAGATACAAGAAAATTGGAGGAAGTGATAGGAATGATTAGATGGACATCTAAAGATCTTTTGACCTAAAGCCATCATGCATTTAGGTGCACTATATATTAGGCTATCCACATATTATTAATAAATTATTTCATATTAACAATATCATAATCCTGATGGGATAATTAATTTAATAACTTTATTTAATCTAAATCATTATTCTAAAATATTTAAACTTAAATTAATAATAAATACATTAATTAATTTCAGTCTTTGCCTATTTTCAATATGAGATTAAATGGAGATGTTGCTAGAAAATATAATATCACTAGAAACAAAACTCTAAAATACTTTTGTTCTAAAAAAGAAGACAAAAAGTATATGTATTTTTCATTTGAAAATTAATAATAGTAACCAATAGACATCATAATACAAGAATTAGAGAGAATACAAGAAGAATCTTCTAAATAAATGGACCACTTTAATTAGGTCAACTTGACCCATCTCTCTCGGTTTTCGAATGAAAAAAAATGATTTTTTTATAAAAAAAGATAAATAATAAAGGTATGTGATAAATCATCAAAATTCATAATATTTAAAATATATAGAATAATATTTCGAGTCTATAGACCAATATTTTATGTGTATTTATTGAGTGAGGTTGAATATTTTTTTTCAAGTTTCACTATCCTAAGAATTATTCTCTTTTCTAAATAGTAGGATTGAATATATTCACTACCCCAAAATCAACATTTAAGGTCCAAAATAAATCACCTGCATGAAAGAACACCATGGGAAACCAAGAAATTGCATGAACATTACAAGTATGTTAAGCTCATGAGAAACAACAATGATTTTGCTATTGTCCAAAGGAAGTCACAAAGTTCATCATCAAAATGATTATTTTGTCCCAATTCCAAACATGATTTTGCTATCAAACTCTGTTCTAGTCATCTTGATTGTTGAATCTTGCATTTAACAAGGAAGCTTTTTGCACCCACAAAATTCAAAAAAAAAAAAAAAGGAATACTTGATAATTCAAATCATCTTCTATCCCACCACCAACCACTTTAACACCATAATGATCACATTTTATGCTGTGTAAGCTCCTTTTGTGAGTATGTGAAGCATTTGGTTCAGATAAAGTCAGCTTTAGAAAAGTTTTGAATTTTAAATTCAATTTAAGAATTGAAAGGTGGTGATATAAGTAAGCCTCATGAAAAATTCCATGAAAAGGAACTTCAATTCTCCTTTTTAGCTACCTTCAGTCAGTTCAACAGAGAAAGGCCAAATCTTAAATCTTATATTATAAATTTGGAACACATGTAGTCATCATCACCATACACTCACAGACTTGGACCAGCTAATATATAATTACATGGATGTGCTGTTGGCCAACATTAGGATACTTTGAACACACAACAGGAATATATGCATACTCTGCTTGAAAAGTTCCTCAGCCCAGCAATAGTCATTATGAAGTCTGAAGGGGCACAATAAAGTTCATGCTACTGACTAAAGTCTGTACTGTCTCCATCATTATCCTGGAGAAGAACCCAGCTTTACTTGAGCAAGCATTTTCTTCTTTTATGAATCTTTCATAGTATATACATATTTAGCTGAAGTTATATATACCCAAAAAAATTATGCTACATTTTCCAACCATGTGAGCACATTAAATTACAAGTCTATGTGACAAATCAAGCTTTATCCAATACATGTTTTAAATCATTTTTTGTCATAATATAATTTATACATTTCTTACCAACCATTACCTTTTTTTTTGGCTCTTCCCAATTTCTGGTTGTTCCACCCAACTTAAATTAGCAGCAATGACAATAATAATAGGAATAATCGAAGCATCAGAAGCAGCAACAAACAACAACAATTAGAAAGCAACAAGTAACAAGAATAAAAAGCAGAAACACATTCTACCTTGGCTTGTTTTAAGAAACAACTCGCTCCGCCAGCCAGCGTCCATCAGAGCCGTCCATCTTCGGAGGCAGCCGTTCTTATCGCGAACTTTTAAGTCCACGTGAACGACAGCGGGCTCGCGACCACGTGTTTGCCGTCGGACCACTCGAGGCGGCCGAAGGCGGCCGTGCCGGACGGCTGCGACGCCGCGGAGAAGGCCACCGTGTAGCTCTTCTTCTCCCCCGCTGCCGCGAAGCTTAGCTCCGATGGATCCACTGTCACCTTTGCCTCCTGCGGCGCCGACACCGTCGCCTTGTATGTGCCCGGCGCCCCGACGTTGGTCAGCGTCCTGGTGTGCTTCACCGTCGTCGCGGCCGAACCTCCGCCGCCCGCGCCGCTCGCCGTCGCGAACGCCACCGCGAAGGAGGGGTAGTTGAGGTCCGACACCGCGTAGGCCTTCTTGTTGTCGCAGTTGAAGTTGGATCGCCTGGAGACGCTCGCGATCTGGAGGGTCGTGTAGTTCAGGGCGCAGAGGAAGTCGAGGTAGTCGTCAACGGTGAGGTCGTAGACGAGGCCGGGGTCCAGAGCCTTGGGTGGATCCACGTGGCCGGCGCCGAAGTCGAAGGGCGTGGCCGGCCGGCCGGTGGCCACGTCGAGGATGCCGCCGCCGCCAGGGTAATCAGCGTAGGCGGTGGTCATGAGGGCAGACTTGATGGCGCCGGGGCTCCAGTCCGGGTGCGCCCCCCTGAGGAACGCCGCCAGGCCGCTTACATGGGGGCACGACATGGAGGTGCCGGAGATGATGTTGAACTCCGTCCGCCGCGGGTCCGCCGCCTGCCCTGTGGGCCCAACTGACCCCGACCAGGCGGCGAGGATGTTCACCCCTGGGGCGACGAGATCCGGCTTCAGGATGTCCGGCGTGACGGCGTTCGGACCGCGGGAGGAGAACGCCGCCACCACTGGTGACGGCATGACCCCGACCTTCGTTCCACCGAAGGCGACTGTCGCCTTGGGGTTCGGATCGGAGAAAAGGTAGGACTTGATGGCGTCCCCTGCCTTTTCCCCGACAGCGGTGGCCGGGAGGAGGTGGGCGTCTGCGACGAGCTCCTCCCCGTTAGCAGCGGTGTTGGCTAGGATCATGCCTGCCCCCCCAGCGTCGCGCACGACGAAGCCTTTCTGAACGCGGGCGTTGATGCCGCGATCGCAAAGGACGATCTTTCCAGATACCTTGTCCGGCAAGAGGGTCCCCACCATGCAGAGGTTTCCGTTGGTGGCGTTGGTGGCGTTACCAGCGTAGATCAAGGGGAGCGAGGAGGAAGGGAGGGGCTTTCCGCTGTAGAGCGAGACGCCGGTGTAGTTTTTGCCGTCGCCGAGCACGACGTAGGCCGGGAAGTCGCGGTCGATCGTGCCGGCCCCGACGGTGGTGATCCACGGCGCGACGTTGGAGAGGGTGGACGTCCCTGGCCCGGCATTGCCCGCGGAGCAGGACACCACAACCCCCTTCGCCATGGCGTTGAAGGCCCCGATCGCGACGCTATCGCGGTAGTAGTCTGACATCCCACCGCCCAGGGACAGGGACAGGACGCCGCAGCCGTCCTCGATGGCCTTGTCCATGGCGGCGAGGATGTCGGAGCTGAAGCAACCGCCAAGCCAGCAGACCTTGTACACGGCGACGCGCGCGCGGGTGGACATGCCGCGGGCGGTGCCCGCAGCGTAGCCGAGAAGGTTGGCGTCTGGCACAACAGAGCCGGCGGCGGTGGAGGAGGTGTGAGTGCCGTGGCCATCGTTATCTCGGGGAGACCTCGACTCCTTGGTCTCATCGATAGGGCCCATGCTCGCCTCGTACCCCTTGGAGAAGAACCGCGCGCCGACCAGCTTCCGGTTGCAGGCGTCCGCGGCCTTGAAGTCCTTCCCCTCCTCGCACACGCCCTTCCAGCTCGCGGGGACGGGCCCGAGCCCAGCGTCGTCGTAGCTCTTGCGCTCGGGCCACACGCCTGTGTCGAGCACCCCGACGACGACGTCGCTCTCAGTGTTCGACTGGGGGATGAGCCCCTCGCTGCGGTCGAGGCCGAGGAACTCCGGTGTGCGCGTCGTATGGAGCTCGTAGCGCTCCTCGAGGACCACGCCCAGCACGCCAGGACGGTGCTCCAGGGCGCGGGCCTCCGCCGGGGAGAGCCGCGCGGAGAAGCCGTGGGCAGCGGTGTCATAGGCGTAGATGATCTCGGCCGCGTCGGAGACGGATCGCAGGGAGGCGTCGTACCAGTGACGGTGCTCCGCGAACGCGGGCGGCATCTGCGACTTGGCCATATGAACTATGTAAGTCCGCTTCTTGGCCACCGCCGCCACCACCGCAGTGCTGCTGCAGCAGAGCATCAGCAGCAGTAGCAGCAGCAACCTCAACGGCTCCATGGCTCCTCTCATCACCTCCACAACCTATTCCCCTGAGCTTAACCTTCTTTTAAGCAGGCACACACTCTTCCGAGAGTGCGATGCTTTCTGTGGTGGGCAAGAAAGGAGAACCAATGATTGCTGCTACGTTTTGGTTAAAGCACTGGTTGCTTACACAGAACAACAAAAGAATACACAGCAGACAAGAAAGGGAGAAAGAAAGAGAGCAGAGACGCTAAGCGGTGGTGGTGATGAAGTAGCAACCACAAGGAAGAGGAGAAAGCAGACAAGAGGAAAGCTTATAGATTACACGATGTAGAGGAGGACACAGGAAGAGAGAGGCAGGCGGTCACATGTGTTTCGTCGTCTGTTGTGCTGCTTGCTTTATTTATCTGACGAATTCCCATAAATATCTCTAAATTTCATTTTTTTTTCGGATAACGTCTCAAAATTCGAAAAATTCTCAAAAATATCATAATTTTATCTTTATTATTAAAAAAATCTATCTCAACCCTAGCCATGCTTCTATCTCACCTTTAGTCCCCCGTCCTCGACCTTCCTTAACCCTCTTGGCTCTCACCATCGTCAATGGTCGTAAAGGTGAGTCGCACCCCCTCCTTCTTTGTTTATAATTGATGATAAAAAGGGAGCATAAAGAGATCACAATAACAAAAAAAAAAGTGAGAAGGTTATGCGTCTCTCATCGTTATCATTAATCACGGAGGTGTCGCGTAGCATCACCTATACTTTTGCTCGTGCGAACACAACAAGAGTCATTATTAACTGTCAAGGTATCGCATAGTACTAATACCTACATCCTTACTCATGCGAGAGCAATGAGAGCCACTCTATCGTTGTTCCAACAAGACAGTAACAAGAATGAATAAGAGTGATGTGACCAAGGGCTATGCAAAGAGTGATCGTCGATAAAAGTAGGATGATTATTAAAAAAAAATTAAAAATATTATTTTAAAATTCTAGAATTTAAAATATTTTCTTTTTCTGAATTCGCCCTTATTTATTTCTACGTGCCATACTTGTTTTACCGTGCTAGATTCTCCTGCCATCGGGCTTCTCTCTTTTTACCTCCACCATCTTGTGTCCTCCTCCCCAGGCAAGAAAGAGAGACACCGGCAGGCACATCAAGATCCACGTTCGTGAGCTTCTTTAAAAGCATATATAATTCCCATCGACATATACGTTCACAACCTTATCTTTATACATAAAAAAATATTTTTTTATACCTTGCTTGGGAGGATGTGTAAAAATAAAATAAAGCTGGCAGTGGGAAGTGAGATAGGGAACAGCTAAGATCAAATGTGGTGATAAACTCCAAGATATGGTCCTCGGCGGTACTCTTCTTCTCCACGAACTAGGAAGAAGAAGAACGCAATGTGATCTCATTCGCGAAAACGGAGAAACTCGAACCTACTACTTGCAGACGGTGCCGCCGATGGAGTTTCTCGGTGGTAAATGAGTAAAGCTCAGTTGCCTCTCGCTTGGTTGACTGCGGCCTGTAACGAGCACATGTGCCCTCACGAGAGTTCCAGAGGTGATAAGATCTGATGTCAGCTCCGTGCTGTCTGCTTCCCACCTTAATTTGTTGGTGAGAGAGCACATCACAGAGAATAATTGTGAGGATGATTCGGTCAACTCAAATGGCATTTTCTTTACGCACGAGAAAGATGCAGTAAAGGCGGGATGCAGCTGCCGCTGCTACTGTGTGTTTTATCTTGTTGTTCGTCACTCTCGATTGGACCATCATCATTTTGACCAAGGTTGATCCAAAGAGGATTCCACCAGTTCATCATAATTAGTCTTTCTTAGGGAAGAAGAAAACGGTACATGCTTACAAAGGTTGCCATTACCCAGCTTTCTTTTGTCTACTGCAACAGTCTGGTACAGCTTGTTTGCATCCCACTTGGTTCATTTCTTGTTGCTGTTGTGTTCACAACACTGTACTGTACTTTGAGAGAACCGATAAATGGATGTAATCCAATAGAACCATACATTGACTACTACGTGGAACTATGTATGAATACAGTTGTTTTATACTTCCCCATCGTGATCCGTATGGAAGAGGGTTGGAAATGTATTCTCTAACCTAATCATAGTTCGTGGTTTGGTGACCGGTCGCAGTCTTAGGGTTGGGGGTTTCTTCTGCTGGGGGAAGAAGACATTGCCCTCCCTGCCACAAGTATGATAAATCAGTATTAATAACTCACATTAAACCATGAAAATGATTGCTTGTTTTAGCTGCCAATTCTCTCTGTGACACCATTTACTGCACTCAAATACCGGTTGTCTCACAAGTATTTGACCTTTATGGCATAAATGTGTAGGTAATGTTCTGTTGGGCTGTTGTTTGAGTATTATGTACGATAGGTATCTTATTGCCGATCGAAATTGAATGCCTTAATAGGCGTGAAAGGTGATATACCACCTAATCGCTGTTCCATCGTTGTATATCCGAATCACAAGGCAAGCGAGGAGTTGCATGTTACATCCTCCTATCCGGTGACCTTATTTTCCTTATCGAATCTGTTCAATGGCCTCGATCAAGGATGTTTTAGTGATCCTTCTTTTCCGACGTTTAGAGAGAGAATATTTTTATGTGCGGAATACTTCTGCAAGATATAGGAGCTTGATCTTACCAAGAGTGTCTGAACCAAAATGATCTGATCGATGAAGACAATGAGTCGAGACGATGATGGGCGTCTTATGAGCCTGTGGGGTAAGAGTGTGATGGGATCGTCGCGGCAATGTGTCGACATCCGACTGCTATACACCATCTTTCGTGATGTGTAGGCTTACGTGAAGAACTCATTTTAGAGTTGAGAGTAGTATGTTGTGATTCCATGACGTATGTCCTTCTACCGGCAGCTGCTGCATGTCAGGGAGCGCTAACACTAGTACTGATACGAGTTCGAGCTTCACATGTAATTATTGCTCGGGTTTGATCGATCACAAACCTGAGCTGGATTCCAATGATTTGGTGCTACTGTCCAAGGAGATGGACCCTCACAAGTGGCATGAAAGGTGAGAGTCGATATAAATCAGCAGTAGACAGAGGTGAATGATGAGGTCGGGAGCAGTGCAAGAAGAGGACATGGTTGCCACAGCAGAAGTCTGCCTTCGTCATGGAAAAGAAGACTTGCACGCCAGCAATTATTGGAGAGAGCATCGATCATCAAGTCTTCTTCTTCTTCTTCTTCTTCTTGATATTGTGGTGGTGGGTGCCGGCAATGCTGCAGTGTGAGCCGAATGAGGCAGAAGAAGCACATCGGCAGGCTGATTGCTGTCGTGCTTGTTTGGTAGACTAGCATTTGCCGTGAATCATGGAGGGGCCAATGACTGTTGCTTTGCACCGTGATTGAGTACTGTTCATGGACTAACAACACACTTGCACCAGTCACTCCTGCATCTTTGGTGTATCGGGTCCCACTTTCTATCTTTGATCATACTGATTGAATGATACATCAAATCAGATTGTGTCTGATAGATTGTTTTTGGGAGATGTCCATGATAACTGGATTAGTGATCAGAATTTGTATGTACAAAAATACAAATACATCAAGACAGATTATTTTTTTGATACTCAAAATAATAATAGAGTAAAAGTCGAGGGTAAACAGTGAATAATCTTCATTATTATATTATAGTAAACCTTTTATGATTATTTTATAATATTATATATATATATATATGGTTTGATTGTTGATTTATTTTTGATTGGGATTAATATTTTTCTTATGATCGATAAAAACTATTATACTTAAAAAAAATTAATTTGATTATTATGTAGTAAATTTGCCGTTCACATGTCGAAGTTATATCTAATAAATTAAAAATATTAGCTAATTTAAGTGATAAAAAATTTATGCAATTTAATTTATGTGTATATCGATAATGATATATTTCAAATTATGATATTATCATTTTAAAGTTATAGAATCTTAAAAATAATCTCTCTTTTTACGGTCGATAGAAATGGAAAATATAAAACTAGAGAAGGTCCAAAAAGTGTTTTATGATTTGAGAGAAAGATTGTGACTTGCAGATGACAGAGAATCATCTTATAGAAATTAAATTGATATAAATGATTTGTCTTATTACTTTCTTAATTACAATAAAAACATAAAAATAATATATAGTTATTATTCTAATGAACAAGTTGAATCGGATTGACCAGTGTCAATGAATTATCAACTACATGTCATGTCGACCACCATTTACCAGCTGGTTCGACACATGATTTGAATGTGCCATGAAAGGCGTGTTTGACCTAATTTGTGATTAATATGTTTCTAATAGCATGAAATTACGAGTCACCAATAGTTGCATCCATGAACTAATTTCCACATGTATATATTCAATTAGAACAGTGTCCTGCAATCATGGCATATGACTGGCTAATGTCACGAGAACATGACAGTCATCATCATCATAGCATTTGGACCATCTGAGCACACCGACATGAAGCAGCAATCCATGTCACTTAGCTGGATGGCCCTTCCACTTGCACTGATGACTGAGGAGAGCAGCGATCCTTTGATGTCTACAGGTCTGAGATCATCATACAATATATATATATATATATATATATATATATATAATATTTAAGGATTTTTATTATTTTAATCTAATGTTTCAAATTGCAATTATCTCATTAATGCTCGTATGAATGTCAATAATTTGTATGTTCCATATATGCTCAGTTAGTCTGAGATTGAGATGGGAGAAAAGGAATTATGAAGGGCGGAGATTTAGATCGGGAGGCGGAATTAGATTCGTGCAAGCTTGATTCGATCCCAATGTATCCGCTCGATCTCGATTTGCGGTGGAGTGAATGGAGTATCTCTTTATGCGGGACCAATGCTGCAGCCAATGGACGTGCGGGTAGGTTGTGGGGGAAGGGTGAACGAGCTGGAAGAGCGTTTTTTGCGATGTATGTGGAAAGATCCAAAACCGTAACGGCTAGTTTCGATTTCAAAAACTTGACGGCCCTCCCGTTCCTTGCGCTCATCTCCATTTCTAGGGTTTTTGAGGAAATCGGTACCAATTTCTGGCTCCCATTCGACTTTTGAACTCCCCTCGGCCATGGAATCCTGCGGTGAACGATCGCTCGATGAGGCCGTGGCGAAACCCTCTGCCGATTTCGAGAAGAAGGGTTCGGATCTTGAAGCGTCGGCGTTCACCAGGACCGGCATCGGCGCCAGAAAGGTTCTTTTGGCAATCCAAACCACCCCAATTGCAGTTTTCTATCATCTTTTCCGCTCAAGAATTGCACTTTGAATACCTTATTTGATATGATTTCTTGGTTTAATCGTCTGCCGTAATGATGAATGGTGTTTCAGGCAGTTAATTCCCGTGATCAGGTATGTTGTTCCAGGGGATACTTGGTTTAGAGCGTAACGTCGTTCTTTGTTGTCGTGTTCATCTTAAAAAAAGAAAGCTCAAATTCTTGTGGAGTATTTGGGTTCTCGATTTGATATGGGCATTTAGGGAGGAATTCTATGACACAACCTTTCCTGACCTTAGGTAAATCATAGATGATTGTGGCCATGAATTCTAGTTAATACTTGAGACATAGGTACCATGAATTCTATCTTCCTGTCCTACCGTTTAAACTTTGATTATGAATTTCAAATATATCACATATGTTTTTCTGTTTTACCGTCAAAAAGGCATCGGTAAAGCCTTTGTATTAAGAAGGCCATTATATATGATGCAGAAACGAAAACGAAATGTTTAGGTAATAAATCATGGTGGTATCAGAGCTGCAAACTGATCCGAGGCAAAAGGAATAATACTAAGTTGCGAACAAAACATGTTCGCATGAATTAGGGTTTCTTTTGTGCTCTTCTGGGGACGACGAAGGCAATAATACCCTGTTAGAATGCTATCTACTTTAGTTTATTTGTAAATAATTGTGAAATATGATTAAATTTATTTCCCAATAGACAGTGGGTTGTATTCCTCTTTAAGCTGGGAAGAAATGGTTGGAGCTAAATGCGAATAACGATTGGCAAGAAAAATAGACATGCATTAAGTATGCTATTTTAGGTGATGAAGAGCATGCCTTTGCGGTACTGCCTATCTATCATACTTGATTCTCGCATTATCTTGTCAGTGTTGTTTTTTTGGTTGAAAAATAAAGTTGCATAGGTTTTCACATTTGCTTTTGATCAGTGATTACTAGCAATGTTTGCATATTCTCTATATGTTCATTACCATGTACCTCTGTTGGTCATTACATGATCTTGTGCAGGAGCTTGCAAGGATGGTTTGCTTTTGAACAATTGTGGTTATAGGCCTTATCCCTGGGTAACCTAGAAGGCAGGAGTATATCGAGGGAACCATGAATTATGTTATGTTTTGGTAATGTAATATATGCATGTTTTATCCTGATTCGTAAGAGAATTTGTTTATGGTCAATCGTGTGAATGATTTTTCCTTCTTGTTGAACTAGATAGGCCTCATTAATGACCTGCTGAATTTTCTGGTCATGCCTCCCAGAGATCACCATCGCGATTGATTTCCTTCTTTCTGTGATGTTCGACACCATGTTAAGAATTTTGTTAGTAGGTTTGCTCTTAATCATTGCTACCAGGACAATTATTTATGTTCGAGCTCTTTGCTGAATTTCATGTTATAAATAAAGTGAAAGAGAATAATTAGCTGAAGCATTGTTTTTTTTCTTTCATTCTTGGATGTCAATCTATGAAGGATTGCAGCATTGAGCCATAAAACTAACTGTCAATAGATTGAACATTGAAGAAGTAAAGCTTCTCCACTGTTAATGTTGCATGTACAACTGCAAGCTGGTGCTGACCTCTTATTGCTCATGCAGAATGGTGGATCCAAGGACACTGGACATTCAATTCTGTATTCTGTTAACAAGTCCACATCACAGATTAAGAAGAACCTTCATCGGAAAAGTGCTTCTCCACTTAATTGGTTTCCTCGAAAAAAGACTGATTCATTCTTGAAGAGAAAAATAAAGCATCTTCAGGTGCTGTCATCACCATCTAGTCTCTCTGTTTTGACATTGAACACACTTTGATGGCTAAAATTCAATTGTTGTGTTTTCTTGTAGGAGATTGAAGGAATGAACCTTTCTCTCGATGAAACACTTGGAAATGCCAATCCTCACTATACTAGGATCGCAAGGGAGAAGATTGCAGCTCAAGAGGCAGCCCGGAAGGCCATGGAAGCCAGGAGAGCTGCTATGATTGAAGCCTCCTGGTGTCGGATACTTGGGGCAGCCAGGTTATTATACTCGTTGAGATCTTATATCAATATGCAGGACCATACTAGTCAAAGTGAATGCAAAAAAGTTCTTATTTTTAATCGCAGGATTAGAAGTAAAGAAGCAGAAGCACGGCTGGAGAAAGCTGAGAAATGTGCGGCAGATGCCTTCGAAGCAGCAAGAGCTATGGGAGTAATGATGTACGATAGGCCCGATCGTCAAAGGAGGCAATGGGAAGTAGAAACATCTTTAGCCATCGGAGGACGATCCACTCACAAAGTCACTACCTCTTTCGAGACTGCATTCGAAGTGGATAAGGAGGTGGCAGCAGCAGTTAAAAGAGCATTCATGCGGCTTGCAAATTGTCCCTCTTCTTCAAACAAAGAAGAATTCAAAGATTTACTAAGCAAAATCAGTCAAAATCCTGATACCAATGGTTCCATGGAGGATCTACCAGAAAAGTTTTCAGAATGTGAAACTGATCGCGGGGCAGAACCTGAGCAAGATTCACATATTAGTCGTGACACAGTCAAGAAGCATGCCACCAGAATAAAACAAAGAAAACAGAAAAACAGCTTGCTTCCAACTGTTGGTGGCAGCAGTAGCTCTACGTCACCAACGGTGCTCATCGATTCAATGCTCGACAGGCTTACAGGTTTGCATGAAGAGGAGCTTGCTTCTCTAGCTGTTATTGTTGCAACTCGTGGCCTGAATGCTGTCCTTCGGGAAACGGAGAGTAGCAAAGAGAATGATGTTGAGCCCATTAGCAGTTGCATTTGTACGCTACAGAAAGAAGCTCTTGCCGAAGTACCAAGTCTCGACAAGTTTTTGGTGAAACACGTATCGAGACTCGAAAGAGAAGTTCAAGAAGCAAAGAGAAGTAATGCAGAGATAGACAAGCAGAGAACAGCCGATACCCGAGTTGTTGAAAGCAAGATATCGAATAAATATGAAACACAGGCAGATTCCAGTTTGGATTTGGGAAGTGATCTCGTAAAACATGTCTCTGAACTTGGAAAAGGTATCCTAGAATCCAGGAGGGACAACTCACAAGTGAAAGATGGAAGTATGACGGCCAAATCCAATGCTATTGCACCTTCATCTGACAACATCCCTTCCTTGGAAGAGTTATTATGCAAACAGTCGAGCAGTTCTAACAGGCTGACTGAAGATGTAGCACATCTTGACTTAATGGTAATGCCCGAGGAAGTTCAAAGACGGCCTTCTGATGGTAGAGGAGGAGGAGGCAAGGAGAATATAGACCTCGTTCCCGTCGATGAGATGCACAAGGCTGGTAAACGCATGTCTCGAGTCGAAAGAGCTAAAGTCGAGGTTCTGAAAGCATTTTCTGGCCAAGAAACAAATAGAGGTGGTGACACAGTCGAAGCAATGGGCCTTGATAAGATCTTAGTCAAACCAATTCACAGGTTGGAGAAGGAGAAAATGCGAGCTGTGGAGCAAAGGAGGGACGAGATCGTGCCAAGAGACCACAAGAAGCAAGGAACCGATGTCAATGCTCCAGAGAGTCTAGACATGGTCTTGGTAAAGCATGTCTCCAGACTCGAGAAGGAGAAATTGACAGTCGCAGGCACAAGGTCAGTGAAAAGAAACAATCAGCAGCAGCCCAGAGAATGTGCGGAAAGTTTAGACGAAATCCTGGTGAAGCATCAATCCAAACTGGAGAAGGCCAAGCTGGCCGTAACTCGACAACCGGCAGATTACATCAAGCATGGGGAAGCTCGTAGGGAAGCCAGGGAGAGAGAGTTGCAAGAAGCGTGGGGAGGCTTGAGCTTGGGGAATTCATTAAGGCCCCATATATCAAGGATTGAACGAGACAAGGTCAGCATCGCTTCACGCTCTAATGCTTTCTTTATTTGCGAGCCGTAGGAAATCAAGACTATCCCCCTCTCTGATGCTTCTTTCAGGCTGCTTGGAGGAAGGCCGAGGAAGAAGAGCACACGCGGGAAACGGAATCATGAAGCGAACACAACACCGCTGCAGTAAGATTCATAAAGTGAAATGGTTCTGCTGTACTTTGGTAGTGGTTCCATTGTCAATAATAGATGGAATAAGGACATGATCACAGACTGTCCGTCCTCTAGAACACATCACATGAAGTACATTGCAGATATAAAATGACATGATCATTTGATGAGGGAACATTTCTTTAGTCAAACTCTGTGGTCTCGAACCAGACAGCTGAAAGAAGTGGCATTGTTTAGGAAGGATCGCACAGTGGCACAGATACAAGGTGGTGGTGGGTTCTGATGACACCTGCATTGTCTTCATCCACACAGAGTGATTGCCCTCTGCCAACCACCTCTTTGGTAGTAGATGCCACTTTATTCCCATCAGATATCCCCAGCCATCGAAAGATCACTCACGGAATCTCACTTTGTTGACTACGGACCTCTCTCCTCTTTCATTTCAAATTAGCAAGAGATTCTTATCTATCCTTACAGAGTTTGATTGAAGACACATACACACACACTCTCTCTCTCACACACACACACACACACACACCCACACACATATATATAATATCATCATCAATACATTATTATCATAATGGTCTTCCAGAAGGTACTGACATCAATTAGAGTTTCAATGACCAGCTTGAGGAAGCGTGTATGTGTGTAATTTTGTCTGGAATGAACAAAAGATACATTGATGATCTGAGATTTACTAATCACGAGAGATGCAGACGGTTGGTGGCCAAATCTGAGTCGATCCAATCTGCGTCAGAAATTTTACGCCCAAAAAAACAGAGACAAAATCGGACGAATCCAATCGAAGGATAACGTAATCTGCCAACCAAATTCTGACACGTATTAATTACTTGACTCATCCCAGCCGTCGGCCACCGCCTCGCACGCATTTTAAAGCCTGCCCTCTCTCGCGTTCTTTCCCCCCGGTTCACCTCTCTCGGGTTCACACGGGCTTACTCGCTCTGCCATCCTTTCTCGATCCGAAGAAGAAGCAGCGGAGGTGCCGAGAGTAGAGAGGTCGAGGTCGGAGATGGGAGGCGGTAACGGCCAGAAGTCCAAGATGGCGCGCGAGAGGAACGTAGAGAAGAACAAAGCCGCCAAGGGTATGGTTTCTGTTCCTCCCCCGATCTTTGATTTCTTCCGTTGATCTTTTGGGAACTCCGAAGAATCTTGTGCTGTTCTCTGACCGAGCGATTGCTCGATCGACTTTTTCCTTGTTTCGTGTGCGCAGGGAGCCAGCTGGAAACGAACAAGAAGGCCATGACCATCCAGGTTACTTCTTTACTTCTCCTTCTTCTCCTCCTCCTCCTCCTTTTTGTCTCACGCTGGATTTGAAGTTGGAAATAACGATTTTGGGATCAGATTGGAGCTATTGGTTGGATCTGTGCTTCTTGACTGCATTGTACGGTTGCTTGTTGATAGATCCATTGAGGGTGGAAGGGCAAGGGTAGATGATCCGGGAAGTCAGGGTTTTTGTTTCTGGTCATTTGCCTTCAGAAAAAGAAAGAAAGATCTGGTTTTGGGCTTTAAGATGATGCGGAACTATTTGGATGATTTTGTTTATTACTGTTCGTCTTTTTTGGATATAGTTAGCTAATGATTTGATTAGGAGTAAATAGTGATTCTTGAAGAATTTGATGGTGATAACTTGCAAAGATTAAATTACAAGATAAGCAATCATGTGCCCATTGGAAGATCTGGTTCCATGTTCCATATAGGTTCTCCTCCTCTTGATGGTCTTACTTGGTTTCTATTGAGGTGATTATTCATTTTCATGGATGTGTCGATGTCTTTTCAACTAGGCTCCTGTTTTTTATGGGTACTTTTTATCTGCACTTGTATGCATATAGAATCCTAATTTTGTCTTCGGTACTCTTTGTTAGGAGTTCATCAAGGAATTCTGATGCCCGTAGGATTTTTTCCCTTAGTCTTGACTTTGTTCCCTGGTTCTTGGACTAAGGTTTGTAGGAGATGTAGTACTATCATGAAGCACATTTGGTTTGTCAGCAAGAAAATTCGGGTTCCACAAGTAAGCTGGATGGATTTGTTATGATCTTTAGCAAAGGCAGTCTATAGGTAGAGTAAAGTTTTTCTTCTGCTGTTCCAAATTTTAGCCACAGATCTTTCACCTGTAGAAGAGGTCAATAATTGTTTACATTTGCCTTTACGGAGACGACCTCAATAAGACAGGAAAGGATTGGGTTTCGAAATGTGTCTATCTAAAGGGATATATTCGCACTGGAGAAAGCTAATTGAATCTCATGAAACTGATATGGCATTCAGTTTCACCAAATAATGTGATTTTCCTACTTACAAATGTGGAAATGATGAGATGATGCACTTGTACGTATTAGTGACCTGCCCTAATAAGGCAGTTTAAGCATCTGATACAATTGGCACATACAAATAATCTCGGTTGTAGATCACCTGAGTGGTCTTATACCCTCTATCTGGAATTGTTGTCCTCTACACTCCTTTGTATGTATGAGATATACCTTTTCTTTCTCCTGCAATTCTCTATTAGCTTGCAGTATACGTGCTAAAAAAATTCTGCTTCAGCATATGTTATTGCTGGGTATATGGAATACAGAAGGCTATTGCAATGAAAAGAAGGAATAAGAAAGCTAGGCATGGTCATCACTTGAAGTATATTTGACACTACTAGACCAATTTGTCGATCGATAACGAAGAACCATTTCGTAGACTTCCTAAATATGTGTACCTTATCAAATCATATGTCCTCAGCACTTTGCTTGCCATGTTGCTGGTCAAAGTTCTCAGGGGTGAAGGTATTTTCTTTGACCGAGGTGTATTTTCTGAGATCCTATGAATTTTCACTGCTTATTCTTCCCAACATTAGATTGCTTATAGCTGCTGGCTTTCAGATGCATTATCTGAGGATCTCATTATCAAAACTAAAATATATTTTTTGATTATAGCATGATCATATTCTTTTATCTTAAAAATGCTACCGTATAGTTAGTTCCTCCACTTGATATTTACTTGATTCACTTTTCTCTTGCTGCTCTCAATTCAGTGCAAGGTATGCATGCAAACTTTTATGTGCACCACATCAGAAGTAAAGTGCAGAGAACATGCTGAAGCAAAGCATCCGAAATCTGATGTTTACCAGTGCTTCCCCCACCTTAAGAAGTAGTAGCAAGCCAGAAGGGAGCAGATCTAGATTGTAGTTATTATTAGGTATGGATAATATAAAGGGTGCAGACTTCATTGATTGGGACTGTTAAAAATGTGTCGACATCCCATCTGTTGTGTTTTGAACTAAAAAAAGAAAGTGCCGTGTGCTTCTGTGGACCAAAATGTTATTGTGCTCTTTCTGATTCCACGGCAGAATGATCTAAAATTCGCCGTTGAGAACATGTCATTGTGGTTTTCCTCTTTGTAAGCATCAAATTTGTTGTGAAGGAAGCATTGTTAAGACTTCACTTGCCTTCATATATCTAACAAATTATCCAGGAAAATAGCAGGTTCTCAATTTCGATCCGTACCTGTACTTATGTATCGAGCTCTGCTTGGTATGATACGTATCAAGACATACTGATGATATGACGGGATCTATCGGTGGTAAGCTAAAAAAGAGTTAAAATTTTTTAAAAATATTTGGAGATAATGGTCAAAAAAATATCGGAACATATCAAGAAGGTACAATACTGCTTGATATGTTCCGATATTTTTTTGACCATTATCTCCAAATACAAGTATTGTACCTTCGATGAAATTTGGGGTGTATCGATTGGTACACCTTGATAACGATTGAAATTTGAGGCCTCGATAATGATGAGATCAAATCGATAATGATGAGATTTTGATCGCCATCTTGTCTAAGTCCAAGATGGCTTTCTCTGATGAGACTTGTTCTGTTGCTTGAGATCATGGCTGTTATAATTGATGTTAGTCTGCATGATGAACTCAATCGCAGGATAACTGAGAGAAAGCCATCTTGGACTTAGACAAACTAGAATTAAATCTTTCTCACATACAAGTTTATGAAGCCTCCCCATCACTGCATGCCATGTCCTGTAATACTGGCATGCTTCATATTATTACCATTTTCTGAGCCCAACAACATGACAATTTGAGAAAAAATGAATCTCATTTTTAATAACACAAAGTGTTGCCACATCCAGTTATACATACTGCTGGAAAATTATATACAAAGTCAAGAGATAGACCAGATGAACTGATTCATCATAATTAAGCGAAACCCAAAAATAATAAGGGAGAAAACTGAAATAATTCAATTCAATGGAATCTTCAGATCCTGATGACCCATAAGAATTGGAGGGTTCTTATGATACAACAACCGGGCGATATCATTATAACTACTTTGACATGATACAACATGATCAAAATTTTCAAATCAGATACTGAACAGGTAATACTCTTGTGCCATTGGATCATCAACCATCTGTGCCTTCAACATGAAGATAGTTCTGTATGGCAACGTGTGTAACTTCTCTTCTATGCTCATCCAGTTCATTGGAAATCCGAAATATCTGAGGATTGCTAATGTTCATATAAGCTTCAGCTCCACGGCTCAGGCAGACTGCTGATCAACAATTTAGGATATTGCTCAAGGCTCTCTCTCTCTCTCTCTTGCCTAATTTTGCCTTGGCTGAAACTGAAAACTAGTTTACATGGCTTACCTTGCTTGACGGATGCTCATGCCCTCTTTTGGCAAATCTTCAATGAAGCAATCACAATTCTGAGCCATGCTCCATAACCAGCTGACATTGATGGAAATGACTACAAAAACCTAGAGTTATGTGGGTGATACTGGTGTTTCAAAGTCTCTAAGCAGTCCAGTTGTAAGAAAAGTAAAGATGTTACACAACATAAATGCATCTAGGAAAAAGAAATAAAGATGCAATGGGATCTGTATATTAACTGTTACTTGATATTGTGATATTGAAGAGAAACCAGTGTGACCCGTTCATCTTGTGCTCATGCAAACATACACCTCATATCATCTCAAATTGCTCTTCGATGTTTTTGACATAATAACAACAAATAAAGAGACGAAATTTGCAACAGAAGAAAGAAGAATGTTTATTTTCAAAAATAAGTAGCACATATTAAGTAGTTAAAATTACAGAATACAAGCTAACTTCCAATATTTCAATCTGTTGACTCAAACACGTAGGTTGGACAACTCCTCAAAATTCAAACAAGATAATTCTAAAAATATGTAAATGCAACAAGTCAGCTGCCCAGTCAAACAATATGCCAGAAAAAGCTGACGAAGTTGGGAATTAGAATAATAATAGATAGGTCCGAGATATTAGAGGCTCCATTCATACTTGGGATGGCATCTTTTATTTACAGTGGAGATTTATCAGGTTATATCATCATGGTTTTAGGATGTGAATGAATTCGATAGATCATGAGAGTTCCATTATGTGCTACGTGTCTCACACTAATCAATTCAACGCAATGCCATTTTTTATAATTTTGGCATGAAATGTATACTGATCGATAAACAATTGCAGATAGGAGAATATGGTCAGTCAAGTTACATCAAGCTTAGAATTATCTACCAAGGGTTCCAACTTCAGTACTGATACCCCATACTGGTCCTTTACTGCACTAATATCATACTTCATACAGATGATATATTAGCCACACCCACTGAACAAAAGAAGAAAAGGTGGAGAACCAAAAAAGAAGGGGTAAGGGGGATACGTACGGGTGCTTCTCTTATTCCTTCACTACTCTTTCTCATTGCCTCAGATAGAATAAGTTGCCGACAATCACAAACAAAGGGAGAGGTATGACTTGTCCAGGCCCTCTTCTCTCCTTTGCAGGTTGGTCCATTTCTTTTCTTCTTTGCAGGTTTATGAGGAGGAAGTCAAGAAACACGACAGACATCAACAGCCTGGAACAATCTTGGTGAAATCACAATAGACACTGAAGGTTTTGCGACATACCATTCAATATGTGGTAATTCACAAACTAGCTAGACTCGATAAAAAGCACACCAGGCAGTATACCATGAAATTTAAATCTATGATACCTACATTTCTTGACTTCTCGGCACATCTCTTTTGATGTTTTTACTGTTCAAAAGCTGGTTTTCTTTTTCCTAGAACTAAGCCTTCAGGTCCAAACAAAGTGTACAAACCTAATATGAAATTTAAAAACCTTGCCATAGATTATCTAATTTTCAAATTATTACTAAAATATTATATACTTATTGAATACTTGTGAGAACGTCCCAAGGTTCCCAACAATACCTACCAAAAGAACATTGTTCACAATGGATATATGATTTCAGTTATGATGTTTCATGTTGTTCATAATAAGCATAAGGTTATTCTTAACGAAAATTAAGATGGTGATCTTATCTTACTCCTTTCATCATTAATTTTTATCTTTAAAAACATTTGTAGAGCATTTGGATACTAAAGATAACTTCTTCATGATAAGGATGCTCCTCAATTATTTATTATTCATCATGATCTCTAGCTACAATTTTCTGGTAGTCTAGCAAAATACAAAATGATTTCTATACACTATATTTGCCATACATATTCCATATCATTTCCTATATTTTCAAGATTTTGGCATATTGGTTTATCCGCCTTATGTTGTATATGCATCCCATATCTACATCAGTTCTTCAAAGACTATAATTAAATTGATTTGATGCTTAAAGCAATAATAATATCTAGACCATGGTCTGTTAAATGAAAACAATATATGGACAGTTAAAGGCTTGATTGTACACCATGTTCAATTAAAATTTGATAAAGCATGGAAGGTTAATGAATTGTATCTCACTTTGTAAAGTTGATAAAAGAAAGCCTTGTTGTAATTGTAAAAAACAACACAACAGGTGAATAACTTCATGTACAAGCACAAATCAAATATTCAGAAATGTCTGAACTTTATTTCTTTAAAATGAATAGTTACAAATTGGAAAATTTTTACAACTAATAACTAGGATGTAGATCCATCACAAGAAATCAACAGCTTTAGAATGATCGAACCTATCAAGGGGAAAGTGTATCTCTTTGTCCTCTGTGACAAATGTTGGCATGATGTTTGATGTGTAAGTTCACGGTGTCCTGAAACTGAAATATTCTCTTTCCGTTCTAGATTCTTAGAAGAACAATAGTTGCATATTCTTACTTCAACAGTATTGAAAGCTCCAAGAGGCACAGGAACTTTTAATTTGGAATGACCATGAAATCACAACAACAAAGGGACTGAACCATGCACAGGTCATATTTCATTAATCCGATAAATGCAAACATATTTTCTCAAGCTGTTGAGGCCAATCACCACCAAGTAATTCAGGATTGGATTCCATGGCCAGCCGAAAATCAAGTAAAGAAGCATGGGAGGACTCATTTGAGGTTTGCACTTGATCCAGTTGCCATAAACCTTTCGTATTTGGAAAAATACTTCCATTTGCTCGAGTCACCCTAATTGAACTGTGCCTTGCTCTAGCTAAATCCATACAGGGTTTTATCAACCTCCTCAAAAGTGCATCTAGTCCATGATTTAAGACATTTGCACAGTCAATTGACAAACCAAAGCCCTCAGCCTCCAACTTACGCTCCAACCAACCCATCAAAGTCCTCGTATCTGGCAGTTGAGAAGTGCGATGACAGCCAACAATCATGTTTGACTGGACATGTCGAAAGCTTGAAGCAAATCCACTACGATATGATTTGCGTGGAAGATCACCAGCAGCCATCGGAATGCCTAGAGGAGGCCTTAGAGGACTTCTACTTTGAACACTCGGGCTATGTCTAAATTGTTCAACCTCTTCCCCATCTTCCACAGATGCTAGAGCTTTGCTACCAATGGATATCAACTCCGGAGCACTTTGCTGCTCTCTCGACCTTTGTAGATCACAAGAATTTGTGACTTCTTGAACATGTCCGGGAGGAATCTTCCCATAAGGCCCTAGGAGGCTTGCTCGGTCACCTAATCTCCTGTCCCTGCTGTTTATCGACCTTCCCCTCCTGGGTGATGTCGGGAAGGTTTCACCAAAGCTTGACATTTTAGATGTCCGCGAATTTCCCGTGATCGTTTCTCTGCTAGGTGGTGCAAGTGCGAGACAAGCATTGCTAAGGATCGATCTGATGAACAAATTATGAAGGGCAAGATTTTCCTTCCCAATAATCCCATAGCACAACTTCTCGAACGCCAACTTGCTGAGTTTCAAGCTAAGTAATCTCTTGAGGTTATAGAAGTACCTCTCAGCTTTTTGGCGCCCAAGCTTCTTGAATAGCTGAGACTTGAGCTCAGCGGTATCGATCCGTGAGAACTGCCGGCAAGACGACATTTTGGCGTCCAAACTTTAAGACAACACCAAAATGCAGCTCATAAAACCTTGATGAGAGAAAAAACCCAAGCCTTCCGGAGTCCACCGAGACGCGAACCAAACTCGGGTCTGCACAGTTGTAGAGGATTAGGTGATAGAAGCAAAAAACAAACCTAAAATGACGTCTATCAAGACCCGCAAACAGTGTTCTTCAAGAACCCCACTAATCAACCAACGAAAACAGCGATCGATCTCGAATTCAGGATAAAATAAATAAAACGAAGACTAAAACGAGATAAGCTGCCGAAGATTAATAGGGACACGCAAATCGCTCGCAATTTGGAAGATGGAAGTCGGATTGGAACAGGAACCCTACTAGAAAGAACCGGAGATACGAATGGAGCAAAGAGCAACAACAGTCAAACGAAGTAAATTGGCGCGATGACGAGGAACGGCAGCAGAAAAATCTCACCTTGTCGACGAAGATCCTCAGGATTCAGCAGTCGATCGCCGAAATTGTCGTCCCAGAATTTGCCCCCTTTCCGCCGGTGCTATTTAGTTATATAGTATTTTGCATAATCCCCCCCTAACTTATCACTTTTTACATTGCAAATCCCTTCTCATGGACTTTTTTACATTCCACTCCCTGTATTGTCGAGGAACTAACTTACGCCCCCCGAGTCTGATATTAATAATAAGAGATCCATTTTTGCCTTCCTCACTTATTTTTACAAAAACAAAAAAAATCAATTCTTCATTAAATTAATACAAATAAAATCTAAATTATTTATTTTATTAGAAGATACACAATCAAATCCTTATATTCTATGCTCATTATATTTTTTATTTTTATTATTATCATTACTATTTCAAGTAAATATTATAATATTTTATTGTTTTAATTAATATTATAATTATATGATAATAACAATAAAAGTTAATCTTATATACTATTTATTGCACGATGATAATAAAAGTTCATCCTCACTATCTCTTGCATAGTATATATTTTATTATCTTATTCATCAAATAAATAATAATCTCACCCAACATAAAATATATATATATATATATGATAGATTCAAGAACTTTTTTATGTAATAATTATAATAATAATATTATTATTATTTAGTTTGTAGTGTAAATATTATAAGTTAGAGGGTCTTAGTAACAATAGTATCCTTCTTCGCAATAAAGTAAAAGAAAAGGGGCTTTCTGTAAAAAGAGGATTCTTCGAATCATTAAGCAGGCGAAGACGGTCTGTCTCGGCGGCGGAGCTTCGAAGCTTCTCTCTCCGCGGGGCTGAAAGCACGTGTGGTTTGCAGACACATCGGTGTAAAGAGCGTGTCGCTATGTTCTTCGTCGCACGAATCGGTGAACTCGTCATGGTTTAATCCAAACAACGACAAGAGTTCACCGCTAAATGCATCAGCGGGAGTCGCAGTGATGCCTCAATGTGTTGTCGAACTGCTGTGTTAGCTTCATATCGAGGGAAAAATTATAGATCACCGATCAAAACGATGACAAATTTCTTCCATTTAATCTACTTGATGATTGATTTATATTCTTTGTTCGATCGAAAGATTTCTGCTTGTGAAGAATTCAGGTTAGAGGGGGAAGAGGCAAATGAGAGTCTTTTGCTTCATTAATGTCGATATTATGAGTTTTGTTTTCATTTATTGTGATTTTTTTCTTTTTGTTTTAGAGACAAACATGAGGAAATCGAGAAAACAATAAGGAATCCGAAGAAAACATCTTTACAAAGAATCTAATGTATCATCCATCACGCATCGCTTTCTGTAGGGAAAATATCCAATTGCATGGATCCAACCACGGTCTGGAATCATGTCGAGGTGATCAGTCCAACAACAAAAGACCAACACCGCTCCAATAGGTTATGGAGCATGGAAGAGTCGCACTGCATCGTCATCACCTCATCATCATCTCGAAGGAGGTGAAAGAGCTGAAAAGGTCAGCTGGTCCTGTCCTCGAAGACGACAGCTCGATGCAGGCTTGGAACATCCATTGATTGGGGGATTCATAGCACCGGTTCATCATCTCTGTGCAGGGTGTGGCGCTTTGCCGAGTAACTTGCAGGCAGCCATGGCTCCTCTGACTCCGAGAGTTGTAGTGCCGGTAGACGTGAAGAAGAAGCCCTGGGAGCAGAAACTTCCCCTTCACAACCGATGGCACCCTGACATACCCGCGGTAGCAGATGTCACGGAAGGGGAGGTCTTCCGAGTCGAGATGGTAGACTGGACTGGAGGTCGAGTTGGTGATGACAACTCTGCCGAAGACATCAAATCCTTAGACCTCACAATTGTAAGTGCAAAGTTACTAGAAAATTTGTTGTGCTGTGAATTCAATGAACTGTAGCAGAGCTGAGGAGAAATATTCACAGAAACAATCACAAGCACATAATAGGCACTCACTGTGGGTAGGAATGGGGGAAAGAAAGATGATATGAGCTCATCAGAAAGAAAGATAGATTGATACACGCAGGAGCAGAGTTAAATGAGCTGTACTGTTACCCAGTCATTTCTAGCATATGAAGAATTTGAAGCCTGTCTCTATTCATTGAATTGCATAACATTTCTAGGGTTTTACCCAGTCATTTCTAGAATATGAAGAATTCGAAGCCTGTTTATTCATTGAATTGCATAACATTTCTAGGGTTTTACCCAGTCATTTCTAGCATATGAAGAATTTGAAGCCTGTTTATTCATTGAATTGCATAACATTTCTAGGGTTTTACCCAGTCATTTCTAGCATATGAAGAATTTGAAGCCTGTTTATTCATTGAATTGCATAACATTTCTAGGGTTTTACCCAGTCATTTCTAGCATATGAAGAATTTGAAGACTGTCTATTCATTGAATTGCATAACATTTCTAGGGTTTTACCCAGTCATTTCTAGCATATGAAGAATTTGAAGCCTGTGTATTCATTGAATTGCATAACATTTCTGGGGTTTCACAAGACATGAAATAAATTTTTGTTCGGTCCCATTCATGCCGACGGCAAAGTAGATAAGCATATCTGCCACTGTAGGACTTAACAAGCAGAAGTTATGAGTATTTGTAGATAGATGACAAAGCCCTAAATTTGTGTCAGTCTATCAGCCCCTTTTAGGAGCTGCAAGAAACCAAATGCATAAAAGAATTTTAGGTTTTAAATTTTTGAAACCTACTTCTGAACATCATTGAAATATTTCTGATTATTTTCATCAATAAAAGTAAAAAACTCAGATTCTCATGAGCATATATCTCATTATTCGTGAACTACGTAGATTCGAATTATATTTTCAGTATGATTACAAAATGAGCAACCTGTATAGGAAGATAATTATTTTCAAAGAAATTATTAATCACCTCAAAGCCTGACATAGGACATCTGAACTTTCTGAGCTATATCTTCTCAAACTATTAAGATTTGACTGAAGAAGCATTAAGAAAAATTGAAAAAAAGCTGCGTAAATTTGCTACTTGCAAATAACAAAAAAAAATAAACATCCGGAGATAGAGGAAAAAAGTCTGAACTCAAGAGACAATCCAGCAAAGTCAAGAGTAAACTTCATGCAAATCAAAATTTTTTGTATACATCTCTCCTATTTCAATGGCTGATAAATATAAAACCGGGTCCGATAAATATCAAACACATGAATAAACATTTAGGCACTCTCTGAGGTCAACTTCATTTTAATTTGATGCAGTTTGCATAGAGCTACTGATAAAACAATTTGTCACAGACTCATTATCTCAGTGGCCCTTTAAGAGTGGTGGATTCAAAAGGCATTCCCGCCAAGCCTGGTGATCTTCTAATGGTTGAAATATGCAACTTGGGTCCACTTCCAGGTGATGAATGGGGTTATACAGCAACCTTTGACAGAGAGAATGGTGGAGGGTTTTTAACAGATCACTTCCCCTGTGCAACTAAAGCCATTTGGTACTTTGAAGGAATATATGCATACTCACCACACATACCAGGTAAAGCTTTTCCACATTATGATCTTCTTTATCTGTTTTTTTTTTCGATCTTCTTCCTGTAAATCTATGCACAGTAAGTTCTTAACCTTTACAAACTCGATATCGGATCTCTAGGAGTTCGATTTCCTGGTTTGGCACACCCGGGGATTGTTGGAACTGCACCATCCATGGAACTTCTATGCATATGGAATGAGAGGGAAAAGGAATTGGCGGAAAATGGCATTGGATTGCTGAAATTATGTGAAGTTCTACACCAACGCCCACTTGCGAACTTACCGACTGCCGAGAATTGTCTCCTCGGAATGGTATGATGGATACAAAGTATTTTAGATGTTTTTTCTAAAGATGTTAATAGCTAAATTCATTAATTTTAAGCGACAATCTTCTGAATCTCGGACAAGGTTTCACAACATCTGACATACAAAAATATAACCGTATGAACATAGTGGTAAATACTAATATGAAAACTTAAAATGCATCTAAAGCATAATCTCATTTTAGGATTTAGTTTTACATTCTAAAGGAGATGGTAAAACCCACTCGATGAAAGAGCAAGAACACAAAAAAAAACATCCAAAATGCGACATGCATACCATAAAACCATTAAGAATCCGAAAGAAATTCTTTGAAGCGAGAAGAAAAATAATCACAAATACATCAACATACTAATCTTAGTAATCACAGTAAGGAAATCTTGACATAATTATAGGAAAGAAAGTTAATAAAAAATATATGAACTTACAATTGAGAACCAGACAACAAACTACTGAAAAAACTAGCTGCTTCTTTATTACATAACTGGTGTTCAATAGATTTGCAGATCCTATAACATAATGTGATAGCCACAGCTCTGCAACCAAAATATTGCATCAAATGCTTAAACTTAGAGATAAAAGTAGCAACACAAAAATCCAACCACATTTTAGAATCATTGCCACTATGGAGTTTTATATGACTGCGTATAAGTTGCATATGGTTTGATAATGTTGCTGAAGATGAAGTGTATCGTTCTTCGTAGACTGCTTTTAGAAATATGTTCTTTATTACAATGTAATGGCACCATATAACTACAACGTTGACATATTTTATTCTTGAAATTTGCAGATAAATGAAGGAACTCCTGAATGGAAAAAGATTGCAGATGAAGCTGCAAGGACAATTCCCGGAAGGGAAAATGGAGGGAACTGTGACATCAAAAATCTCAGCAGAGGTTCTAAAGTATATCTACCAGTATTTGTGGAAGGGGCAAATCTCAGCACTGGTGACATGCACTTTTCCCAGGGTGATGGAGAAGTTTCATTCTGTGGAGCGATAGAGATGAGTGGATTCCTAGAACTCAAGTAACTCCTCAAACTCTGTCAGCCTAGTGTTCATTTCTTCTTGTCCATTACATGATATAACAGGCTGAACTGATCAAGGGGAAAATAATATATATATTTGAGACAAAATTAGTACTAATTTTGTGAAAATTCTTAAAGTTTGAACATTGCGATCAGATAAACATGTCGATGAAAAGAAATATTTAGATCACAATGTAGATCCATGATAGGTACCGCGTTAATCCTACCTAGTAATCATATTTTCAGTCAATCATCTATTAACACATACAATAAAAACCAAGATTGCTATAAAAGGCAGCTACTAAGAGGAAAAGATACATCACGAATAGTTTGTGATTACGAAACATTCTTAAATATGATTACATGAGCTACAATAGGTAGAGTGTTGTTTTCGCTTTACATCGGGACAATCTTATAGTTCCGATATCTTCTCAGGAAATTCTCAAAATGTGTTCTCCATAGTCCATTTCATGATCAGAACAAAAGTTAAAAAAATATTTTTGTAGCTTAATTACCATGAAAAATGGCAGAGAAACATGGCAACCTGAACCACTTATTATAGACCTTTGTTGATCACAATTTTCCGAACACAAGCAGAATTCGAAGCCCAAAATGCTTGGTGATTATCGATCATTCAAGTGAATAAAAACTTAATAGTCCTAACTCCTAACTGCTACTTATAATTTGGAATGAGGAAACAAAGACAGCATATGTGCTTTGCAAAATTACCAAATATCTAATGAAAATCTGACAGTTACAGTTAGGAAATCTGCAAGTTGTAATGTTCGATAACAATCTAATTTGGTTCTACAATTTAAAAGTTAAAATCTCTTCATGTTGTGCTTTGCAGGTGTGAAATCATTAGGGATGGAATGAGAGAGTACCTGACACCAATGGGCCCCACGGTTCTGCATGTGAGCCCAATCTTTGAGATAGGGCCGGTGGAGCCGAGGTTCTCAGAGTGGCTGGTCTTCGAGGGAATCAGCGTAGATGAGGCAGGGCGGCAACACTTCCTCGATGCAACAGTAGCCTACAAGCGAGCAGTCCTCAATGCCATCGACTACCTCTCGAAATTTGGATACTCCAAGGAGCAGGTTTGGAGGCTTCTCCATCACACCTTCCAAGCATTTTCATCGTAATTCTATGATGATGATGATGATAACAGCTCCAAACCATACAAGTCAACACCAGAATGAATAGATATACCTCAATTCAATGCAGGCGTATCTGCTGCTGTCATGCTGCCCCTGCGAGGGAAGGATATCAGGAATAGTAGACTCCCCAAATGCTGTAGCGACCCTTGCCATTCCTACATCCATTTTTGATCAGGTTAGTCGTCTGGACTTGTACAGATACTCTTATTCAGATTTGATTCTTTCTTTCTGTCATTCATTCTTTTCAGGACAGAAACATTAGATGTAAGTTTCTCGAGCACAATGGACAGAAACTAGTTTTTGCACCGATGTCCCAACCTTCTGCTAAAAAGTTCAGTATTCTTTTCAGGCATCAGCTGATCGATTCCTTGTTCTTCTATTTGGTTTTTTTGCATGGCTACGATGCGACGGGAATGAAGGATATAAGGCCAAGATCCGGGAAAGTGCCAGCAGGACCGAGGGTGCTAAAGAGACTTCCGGATGTCCTCAGGTGCACATACGATGGAAATCTGCCGACGACACAAAACCCATGCGGAAGCATGTGAATTCGATGGGGATCTCGGTTCATGGTGTTCTTCGGATTCTGCATTGGCTCTTCAGCATCCTAACTATCATACAAATCTGTGGTCGTAGGCCTGTGTTCTTGGAGTTCTTAAAGACTACCAGTATGGACAACTTGAATGCCATCTGCTGTCACTGAATAAATAGTGAGATAGATCGAAATTGTTCCCAGAAATTTCTATTCTCTTTGGCAGGCTAGCGGTGATTGAATTGGCTCGAGAAACTTCAAGGGATGGTACGACGATCGGAAGATGTTTGAAGTGTCATGAATCACCAAGACTTTTGTCGGACACCAAGCAGCATTCCATTCAAGAGCGCAGACCAACTAAAACAGCAAACTGAAATCGAACATTCGACCATGTCCAAAAGCTTCGTTTGAATATGAACTCAAAATTGTAGCTCATTTATTGTCATGTCTGATTCAGCCTTGGGTAAGGCTCGTTGGTTCAACTGGGGATTGCTCGAGCAGCACAAATCTCAAACCGAGCACGTAGATACCCAAAGAGAAAACAAATTAGGCACTAATTATTCCTTTTTTTTTAACAATCGAAAAATTGGGACCATGGAAATTTTAATGTTAAAGGGAAATAAAATAAAAGATTCAAATAAAATCATGCTTTAACTCATATAGCCAAATAAGAGTTAAATTATATTTAGCTACATGAGTTAAATTATGCTTTACCACATAGGTTGGGTAATGTCTGATCACATGAGTAAAATCATACTTAACCATATGAGCTGTATTATGCTTATCACATGGGCTGATCTGACCAATCAACTTAACTAAAATCAGATCTTAATTTGACCCATTTTATTAAATTAAATTTTAATATTTAAATAAATTTTTTAAAAATATTAATTAACCTCAAATCTATTTTTTTCATGAATTAACTAATTTAGATTCATGATTCCAATTTTAAAATTAATTAAATAAAAAATATACATAATTCTTTGAAACATAAATATGTCTAATTAAATGACTTAGAATTATTATGAAATTTACTAATAATTCTAATATCATAATTCAACAACCATTATTTATTAATTATAAAATTTTAAAATTAAAATATTATTATTCATCATATATATAATAATAATAATAATAATATCAAAGATTTTAAAATTTAAATAAAAATTGATAAGAAAAGAATAAAGGATCTCATCTTTCCTTAGAGATGCTTCTTAATTATGCTCCGTAATGAACAAGAGAAGGATGACCTTTATTTTTATTTTACTTTCACACATAAATATATAATTATAATATTTATTTTTTATGGTTTATACATGAAAATAAAATTTGAACTATTTATTTTCTATAAATTACATCATTTATTAGGAAATAGATCAATTAATAATTTAATTGATTGAAATTTTTTCTAAATTATTTTCTTAATCATACTATACAAACAAAAAAATTAAGGGGATCAGGATGCATACCGTAAATCGATCATGTATGATTGTGGTTCATGAGTCGAGGGTCGAGGCAAAGTTGGAGTTAGGTTAAGAGTTGGTTTGCATAGGAATAAGGATCTTTGTGATATCAATATTTTTTATTAAAAAAAAATTAAAATATTTTTTTATTAAGAAAAAAAAGAAAATTTAAGCTCAAATGAGCATGGTCTTTAGTGTCGAACCATCTCTATGTTTCCCATGTTCACTTTAAGATACTAACTTATATCGTGAATCTTTATCAACGTTAATGGAGAAATGATTTGGGCTTTAATATCTATTACATAAGTAGACTTTAATTATATTAATAATTTATTAATATATAACTTTAATATATATTAACTCAAACTTGATGTGAGGGACTTATATACTACGTTCTTAAAAATGTATGAGTTATTTTAGACATGAGTAAATCATAAGGACTTAAGTAGTCTATGACTAAAACCACAAGGGTTATTTTAATTTTTTTTATTTAAAATATATATATTATTATATTAATAATTTATTATGAATCAACATTTTATGTAATACAGGAGTTATTTTAAACACAAATAAACTAAAAAGGAGTTAAGTGAGAAAGGGTTAAAATAACTATATATATATATATATAGCCACCTTCTTTGTTAGCCCGTTCTAGCTTCCTATTTCTATGGCCTTTGGGCCTCTCCGCTCCTTCTCCCTCCTCTCCCGTCACCTGCGATCCCTCGCTCCCCTTCTCAGCTTCTCGTCCCCACCCGGCGCCCACCCACTTCGCCTCTTCCACCCCTTCGTCGCAAGCCCCGGGAGCTTCCCAGGCCGCCTCCGCCCCTCCGCAGCCGGAGCCCTGGCGCAGAAGATCGGAAAGGCCGTCCGCAGCCCCGGCGCCCCCTCCCGGGCTCGGGTCTACGCTGATATCAACGTCCACCGCCCCAAGGATTACTGGGACTACGAATCTCTCACCGTCCAGTGGGGGTGAGGGCACACGTGATCTTTCTCACTCTTCTAAATCCATAAAATTTTGAGATGTTTTTGCTTTTATTGCAATCAAGGTTTCTTGGTTTAATAAATTTTTAATTGCATGCAGGGAACAAGATGATTATGAGGTTGTTCGGAAGGTCGGAAGGGGAAAGTACAGCGAGGTTTTCGAGGGAGTGCGTGCCACGGACAAGGAGAAGTGCATTATTAAGATTCTAAAGCCAGTAAAGAAGAAGAAGGTGGGATTTAAATCTGATCTGAATTTGTATTTATACAAGATTGTTATGTTAAAGAAGACTCTATTACAAATTAGGCTTGCTGTGACAATGCATTATAGATTTAATTATGTATCTAGGTTCCCTTGTTTTATTGGATGGTTTCGGTTACTTGGTTGCCTTTAATTTCTCGCTATTGAATTTTAGCTCATGTAGCAGTGCATATTTGGTTTAGGGCTTGAGAAAAGTTTCAAATAATTGTTGCTTTGCAACAGTTGTAAAAAGAAAGGACATGAATATTCAATTATACTTGTCCGGTAGATCTAATGCTTCACAATGTGATTTATGGGGTAGGATGAAGATGCTTAAATTATACTAAATACTGGGAGCATGAAGAATAATCCATGCCTATGAAGCAATTTAGGAAGTTTAAATTCTTACTAACTTCTATTTGGTTCTGTTGCTTATGAGACAAGCGTTGGGTGCAATTTGGTGTGGATCTTTTCTATTATATGCTTTATGTGGTGTTATCTCTCTAATCACGTCCTTCATCATCTACTATATCACTGTCAAGCTTGTTTTAATGCCGTAGTGAATATACATAATTCAATACTCGGTCTGTTTGGCTGTCCAAGAGCTAGAGATATAATCAGCTGTTGATGAGCTGGGTATCCAAGATGTTGCATCACCTATAAAATGGCTTCAACAGGCCCTGTTTGCTAGATAGTTTAGCAAGAAGGTCTGGCAACTAATTTATTTATTTTTGTATTTTTTTAATAAAAGGGTCTTTCTTGCATTGGTTGTCTCAATAAGATTTTTTTTCGTATTTCTATTTCATGCTCGTGCTATTTCTTTCATTGATGCTCTAATTTTACTATGACTCAGTCATGGATTCCCTTGTGGATTCAAGTATGAGGTTTGCTTGATGTCGTGACATCTCTCTTAACTATCTGCTTCTGCTTTCTATTCCTTTTTTTATTTATCATTCTTTTCTTTCAATGCAGATCAAGAGAGAAATAAAGATATTGCAAAACCTTTGTGGCGGATCCAACATCGTCAAATTACTTGATATCGTCAGAGATCAGCAATCGAAGACACCTAGTCTAATTTTTGAATACGTCAACAATACCGACTTTAAAGTTCTCTATCCAACTTTGTCAGACTACGACATTCGATACTACATATATGAACTATTAAAGGTAAGGTTATCTTCCCATGTGCAATGAAGTAAAGAATATCAACTTGTTGGTTAACAATCCAGCTAATTATGATTGTCATGACACTTTATGTTATTGTTATTCTTATAACAAGCACTTATAAAGTTAGTATATATAGTTTTCCACTTTGAGTAGCAACCTTGACTTTAACTCTTATTGCCCTCTGAATGTTAAGTTTTCTGTTTTTTTGTTATATATTGATATGATACTTTCCTTCGCACATAGTTTGTAAGAGATAGTGATGGCTCCACTTGGGTTTGATTTGTATCATAGTTTCTCTTGCTACTAGACACCTACTATTGTCACCAAAGGAAACAAAGAGAAAATCGTGAGACCCTATAGCTTTAAGTTGTACTTAGTAGACTTAGTGAGGTGAGATGTTGGACTTGTGTGGTCAAGTTTTGAGCATATTTGGGGCTTTTGGGTTTGGCTATGTCCGTATATGCATTATCTATGTGGCTTTTGCTGCCGCATGCATAAAATGTGGACAGATTATGTAGTTGAACCATGCACTGCTACTGCATATGGCTTATTAGTGCAGTCTTGTGATTGATGCACAAAAGCAGCCGCTTAAACCACTTCTTAGATAGTGGTTGTATAGGTGATATACAGCTTCCTTTCCGTGAACCATAAAGTGATAAGATGAAGGAATTGAAGAGACCCATCCGACCTAATTCTTTTCAACAAGATTTAGTTATGAGATCCTTAGATTTTGCTTATGTTTCTTTATTGCTAGCTTTGAATCATGTAGCTTTTGTTATTTTAGGGTTAGATATGATAATTGTAATTTTTTCCTTGGACAGATCCTGATGTTTCTTGAATTATGGTTTTGTGATTTTTGTGGACTTAAACTGATTATAGGATTCCTGACATTGATTTTTGGTGAAGTTTCAAAAGACAGAATATTGAATTTGGCATGTAGTTTGCACATTTGATGTGGATCAACAAATTGGTGTTTATTGGTGATTAGCTTATTATGGACTTTTTGGGAGAATGGATGGTCAAGCTGTTGACCATACATCATATACTAAATCTCTAGGAAAGGATCAGTTGGATTAGTCGTCAGTTAGCATATATACTTTTTGATCCATTTATCAGATCCCTTATGCTTCAAGGTCATGCTGAATGAATTTTCAAATCTTGATTTGTTTTTCACTGAAGATATGTAACATTAGTTTTTCAACTCGATATATTGAAAAACCTCTGGTGTGCATCTGCTGAATGCATGTGTTTGTGTATTTTGAATTTGATATCCTGTGTTTCTATAATTAGATTTCATCAAGTTTGATTGCCTTTTAACTTTTCCAGGTTCTTGTGTAGGCACTAGATTATTGCCACTCTCAAGGCATCATGCATCGAGATGTAAAACCTCACAATGTTATGATAGATCACCAACAGCGCAAGCTTCGTCTTATTGACTGGGGCCTGGCAGAGTTTTATCATCCAGAAAAAGAGTACAACGTTAGAGTTGCCTCAAGGTATGATGTTGAAAAATGATCCCTTGTTGAAGAGCATTACCTTCTCTCTTGAATCTTCGATGATAAAATTATTTTCAAAATGTGAACATTTCGTTTTTAGGAAGCAAAATTTCATATCTACCCTTTTGTAAATAAGGGTAGCTTTTCAGATTTAATGTTTGTTAAGTAACACAATATAATATCTTTCTTAAATTTTTAAAAATCATAAATATTCATTTCAGGAACGTGTATCAAAACCTTTCTCCTGCATCAAGTTCTCTATAATAGTTTCTGAATTTTAAAGGGAAAATCATATTATATTTAATTGGTAAATTTGAATTTTCCGATGTATGTATGGACACAAATGAGCCGAATATCAAAAGCATGGACTACTGTACTGCCCGCTATGATATGAAATTGGCGGTATGCACTGGTCCCAAGCTGGCTGAGACAAGGGTCAAAATTTGACCGATGTGTATTGGTTGTTAATGTTTGAATTTTGACCATGCCACCCTCATTTTGAGGGCTGTTTTGGGCTTGTAAAAGCCCCACACTCTCTCTCTCTCTCTCTCTCTCTCTCTCTTTCACGGACTCTCATCCTCACTTTCTTTCTCACTATTTCTCACACTTTCTGACTCCTCTCTAATTGGTGATTAGTGGAAATCAAGCTCTTAATTTGGATGAAATAGGGATTCTAACTCGTGACTCTAATTAAAGGCATTTATCTTCTCTCTATGTTTTCAAGATCATGTCATGTAATTAGCAGAAAGAATATTGATAATTCGTGATTGATTAGTGACTAATGATTAATTGAGACCTAATTAGAGGTTTTTAAGAATAATTAGCCTAGACTGGCTATGTATTGACTTCTTGCATGATTTGTGAGCTTATTCTACCATGTTTGATCGTTCATTAGAGGCTTATTAATGCATGTTTAGGCACCAAATTGTATTTATATACCAATAAATTAGACGAGGATAAAAAATTTGAAATAGGATTTTATTATAATTTTAATTGAATTTTCTGCCCTTTTTCGGTTTGTTGACACATACCGGTATATTGACATGACACGGCAATATCGACCAGTATGTACTGGTTCAACCAGGGACCGATACGCTTGCACAGCACAATGCGGTGAGGGTGGAAAATTTTCTTTTGTTCTCCTAATCAAACGCGGAGTGAGTCAGATTTTTTGGGTAACAGTGTATGAGCATTTTAGTATGGCTTGAACTGGAAGAGCTTTTATGGTGACAGTCATTTAAATTTAAATGTGTATATGTCTGTTTAATTGTTGACTTATATTACTATAATTCAAGTAGGCCATATCGAGGAATAAATGGATGAGTAAAACCTTCCCTGGATGAAGTTTGGTTGATTTACTGATAAATCTCATGTTTTTGTTTGGATGAAGGCAACAGATCACTGTTGGTATTTGCTTCTCATTTCTTTTATGGTTCCTGACCATATTACTGCCTCTTTGCTTTGTAAAAGGAATCTTTGCATAGTTCTCTGTTGATTTATATCAAACTTTTCTGTCTCTGGACTTATATCAAACTCTTCTGCAGGTACTTTAAAGGCCCAGAGCTCCTAGTTGACTTGCAAGATTATGATTATTCACTGGATATGTGGAGCCTTGGTTGTATGTTTGCTGGGATGGTATGTGATTTATATAGTTATGTTCCCTGGACATGTTTTTTTTCTATAAAATCGTGCTTTCTGTTGATTGGCAGATATTTCGGAAGGAGCCATTTTTTTATGGACATGATAATTATGATCAATTGGTCAAGATAGCAAAGGTATGATTTAGTTCTCAAGTGAGGATGAAAGAATTAGATATTTTGCTGGTTGATTTTGTTAATAACACGTGGAAAGGACAGAGCTAACTATTTAAATTTTCACCAACTTGTGCTTATCCTCTTAGATTGTGCCTTTTAGACATAAACGTTACTTGCTTGCATCAATATAATTTATGTATTACATCCTAGGAACATATGGACTTCTTCTGGATTGTGTAGAGCTAATCATATTGGCATAAAATTTCAACCCTAAGGGATCTCATACTGGCACTTGAAGATGGAGTAGTTAAGGAAAAAGAAACTCATTACTATATTCCACACAACATCCAGACGGGAATCGTGTGGTACAAACCGCTAGTATTCGTGGGACTCAAAAAAAAACTTTATACACAAACATATATATGATGATCAGCTGAGTTTCAATGTTGAGACATTGGCTTTCCATGAACGTCTTCAGCGGGATGTCTATGCATTGAAATAGTAGAAGAGTCATGTTGTTATAGTTCTTTGGGAAAACAATCTGGATAAATTAGCATGATTGACATTCACCATTTAGTCCATGTTCTCTCTTCTTATTTAACCATCTGAGAAATTTTGGTATCTGGTTTAGGTACTTGGTACAGATGAGTTGAATGCTTGTCTAAAAAAATATCAACTAGAACTCGACCCGCAACTTGAAGCTCTCGTTGGAAGGTTCTAGAGTGCACTCTGAATTAACTCCTCTGGGTTTGCATTCCAATATGTTTTCTAATGTCTGTTAATCATTGTTACAGGCATAGCAGGAAACCATGGACAAGGTTTATAAACGCCGATAACCAGCATGTGGCAGTTCCCGAGGTGACTATTGCTGCATGAACGTCGAGGTTCTGATCAGTTTATCACATAATTTACTTCAATTTCTTTTTCTGTTGTTAGGCTGTTGACTTTGTGGACAAGCTGCTTCGGTATGATCACCAGGAGAGGCCAACAGCGAAAGAAGCGATGGTAAATGCTCTTCCTATAAACTTATTCCTCGATAATTATGAGCTTCAGCTGCTAAGAGGATTGCTGCTCTTCCCTTCAGGCTCATCCTTATTTTAATCCAGTGAGAAGTCCAGAAAGCAGCAGAACTCATGCTTAGAAATCCAAGTGATGAATCCCAGCTCTGGTTTCTGTTTCTTTGCTTGCTGCATATATTTTTGTCATGCGTTTATCTGTGTTGGATTACTGTTTAATTACGAAAGTGTTGCAACAATTAAGCTTGAGATTTTGGCCATTTTCTGGAGTCAAATCTCTTCCTTTTTTTTTTTGTGTTCGAATTGAATGGTTTATGTGCTGAAATCCATGTGAAGGGGAAAGAAAGAAAGAGCTTGCAACCTGTAGCAACCCATCTTCCAAAGTCATTCACATTCTTGTAGTTGACTCATTATACTCAGTTTGTTGGGAACTTAAAACGATCTCTTTTCTTGGAAAGATCATAGCATTCTAACCATTGATTGCATTCTGCAGTGTGTTAACTTTTAAGAGTATAAAAGGAAGCTGTACGCAAATCTCATCTCATCCACTCCTTTGTGAACCCTAAGGAACATAGGCACTCGATGCTCCCTAAATAAGCTTCTCTGCAAACATCACTATCGAGCCAGCCGGCAGGCAGTGCAAACGTAAATGTAGTATCACAAGATTTAAACCAGAATGATCGGAGAAAAAGGGAAGACGGAAGAAGAAGGTCATGCAGTCATATGAAACGAAACAGTGGAGCAGCAAAAGGAAGGAAGAAGGTTCATCCGATCTTGTTTCTGCTGCTTCTTTTTGCTTGCTGCTGCTGTGGCTGCTGCATTGAAGGAAGGAAGAAGGTCAACCTGTTGGATGAAGAATTCGAGGGTTACATCTGATAGAAGCAGTTTGATAGGGTTTATGGAGAAAGAGCACATGATGACAAGTATTCTCCTCTTTAAATCTGCATTGGAGATTTCCTGAAAGAAAGACCTATTAAAGCTCATGGAAATAGCTGCCTTTAAATCTTCCATCCTCTCATTTGCTTGAGGACCAATGAAGCCACCAATCAAATCTGGATCGGCACATGTTTAAGAAACAATAATCTTTGTGAAATCCTGCTTAAGATGCTCAGGATGGCCCAATCTAAGACAGGCAAAATAAAAATGCACATCCAAACCAAATCTCTATGTTCTCATCCTCAGTGCCACCATGTCTCGATCATCTCCTTGGCTAAATGATCTGTATGTTGTCTCGAGGCAATCGAAATCTTTCTCTTCCACTCCCCTTTCTCCATCCTCACTGCTCATCCACAATGGAACAAAAATATTAGAGAAGGAGAAGGGGAGGCATGGGATATTGTCACAAGCTAGACAGATAAACCTTAACAGCAACATTGACCATTGAGAGTACACAGCAATTTTGCCCTACATGGCATTGATTATCCACTCCAAACAGTGTAATTCCATAAAATGTACTTTATTGTGATGTGGAAATTATAGGGAAGGTCATATGTTGTAAAATGGAGACTGAACATCCTCTCAGCTCCTGTTTGTACATAGACATAGCTATATATGGTCAGCGTTAGAGAGGTTTATAACCATCTCTGCACCATGGTACACAATGGGAAGAATAACAAGATAATTGATGATATTGTCAAGGTGAATATTTTTTGTTCTTTGAAAGGTATATATAATTTATATATGTTCATTGTATTTATATATGTCGTTCAACTACTTTGATCATTCAATACATGTGTTATTTTACTACTTTGATAATTTAATATATATGCTGTTTTACTACTTTGATAACTTAATTCATATACTTTGATAATTTAATATATGTGTTGTGTTGTCTATGACATCATTTATTTTTCATTGAAAACTCTACTCTTTGAATATCTCCCGCTCCTTTATACCAGAGAAAATGATTCTCAGTAACTCAGTGCCGTCAAGTTGATAACTACAGTTGTATACTTTGGAAAGCAAGCCTCACACGTATTTACTCGAGAGAATTCTCTATGTTTTCCTTTTGGATTAAGAATCATAAGTACGGACCAACAAGTTAAAAGCTCTTTCAATTGCAGAACTGCCGACTACCAAGTTGATTCATGTAAGTCGGCTAATATCAGAACTACCGCATGGTTCAGTTTTCGACAAGCAAAAAAGATATTTTTAGCATAAGTTAGGAAATTGAAATTTTCTTAAGAAACAAAGAAGAATTGTAGACAAAATGGTGGTTGTGAGGGTAAGTGGTGGTATAATGTGATGTACCTCATGTTGCCTATGCATAAACTGGGTGAAATCGACCTGAGCTCTTCATCTCTGCCAGGTGCTTTTCCAGTTGCGCAGTCAGCACTGGGTGGCAATGGTCAAATCCTAAATCTGTGAGGAGTGTCGGGAGTCCCTTCTCCGGCAGTGATTGGATCTGTGGGCAGTCACTTACAACCAAAGCATGGAGGGAAGGAAGGGTATGCAACTCTGTTGGCAAGGACTGGAGATTCTTGCATCTGAAGAATTCAAGGCGCCTGAGAGCTGTGAGGCTGTGCACCAATTCCTGCTCCTCCAAGTCAAACATCACTTTCTGAGGAGACCAGATGATTCTGAGAGAATGGATGAATGGTAGTGTATTTTTTATAAGTGAGAGTTTAAGTAGGGCTGTTTTATCTACTGATAATTCAAGCAGTGACAAGACCTCCCCTTGCTCATCCCCTTCATTTAGCAAAAGCCTGGGACATCCTATGATTGCCAATCTCTTGAGTGATTTGAGAACTTGTAAACCCTCTATTGATCCCAGCCCATCACAATTCTCGATCCTTACAGTTCCAAGTTCCTTCAAGTGAAGCATTACTTCCCTTGGAAAGGATACCATGTATGGACAATTGGATATCGCCAACTGAGTAAGTGAGCTGAGGTTGTGTAGGCATCCAGGCAGCGATTTCCCAAGATTTCCACAGTCACCCAATTCTAGTGCCTTGATTGACGGCGGGAGGAGGAGGTCATTCTCCTCACACTGTGTCATGCTCATGAGCTTGGGGCAGTTCCTTATTGACAAGTTCTCAAGGGTGGTGAATTCTCTAAACCTCTTGACAGGCAGCCACAACAGTTCAGCACATTCCCATATCCGAATAGCATTGATATGTGGCAGGTGGTTTGATAGCAACCCTTCTCCCAGATTTCTCAGATTTGGACATTTAATAATGTGCAAGAGTGAGAGAGAAGCAGTTCTAGTGCTGCTACCTCCACCAATTCCTTTGCATAATCCTGGAAGTCCTGTCAGCCCAACTTGCCATAATTCAAGTTTTATGAGAGAATGAGGGATGGGAGGCAAGCATTTAAGTTTGGGGCATTGTTCAATTTTAAGTCTACACAAGCAGGAAAATAACTCCTCCCTTTCAGCCCACGACCACTCTTCCCATGCTGGCATGTCGCTTAATACGAGATCTTCCAACCTTGGAAAACACTCTCTCTGACAGGTAGAATCAAATAATCCATGGCCTATCTTTTTCACTGCTGGCAATCCCTTGATGCGGAAAACCTTGAGACATGGCAGTTTTTCAAGAGAATGGAGTTCCTCAAATGTCAGCATGCCCTTGATTTCTAGCTCTTCCAGCCTTGGAAACCATTTATTCCTCGTAGCACTAAAGAGTCCATGGCCTACCTTCGACACCTGGATGCGAAGAACCTTGAGACATGGAAGTTGTCCAAGACTTGGGAGTTCCTCCAGTGCCAGCATGTTCTTCAGCACTAGCACTTCTAGCCTAGGAAACCAAATTTTCTCTCTAGAACCACATAATTCACGACCTATAAGTTTCAGTGCAGACATGTTCTTCATGTGAATAACCTTAAGATGTGGAAGTTGTCCAAGATTTGGGAGTTCCTCCAATGTCAGCATGTCCTGCAGCACAAGCTCTTCTAATGATAGAAAACAATTGCTCTCTATATCACCATATAATTCATGACCTATATGTTTTACTGCAAACATGTTCTTCATGTGAATAATCTTGAGACAAGGAAGTTGTGCAAGATTCGGGAATTCTTTCAATGTTGGCATATCCTCCAGTACTAACTCTTCTAGCCTAGGGAACAACTTGCTTTTCGTACAGCCACATAATTCATGACTCATTTGTTTCACCACAGGCATTCTCTTCATATGAAGGACCTTGATATGTGGCAGTTGTCCAATATATGAAAGACCCTCCAGTCTTGTACAGTTCTCTAGTTTAAGAGTTCCCAAGTTCGGTAGCATTTTCACATCCAGCCAACTGGGTACTGTAGCACCATTGTACCCTCTGATTGTCAAACTTTTGAGGAAGTGATGTGGTTGGAGACCTAAAAGTACTTCCTCCGAGACAAGTAACTCATGCTCCAAGCTGGAAACCTGGCCAGCTGCCCACTCTAACTCTAATGCTTCAAGATACTGTTTGCTGTGCAGTTTAGCCTTGCTTGCTTCTTCTTTACTCCCTACATTTTCAAGATTTGTAATTCGTAGAGTGCCGTGGAGTTGTGTCAAACCACTTAGTTCTGCAAGTTTGTTTCCATGATTCTTTAGCACTTTGAATGCAGACAATTCTTGCAGAGAAATCAGCTTCCCAACCTCGTATATCTTAGAAATTATCTCATCTTCTACATGAAGTTGCCTCAAGTTGATCAGCTTGCTCAGGCCTTGTGGGAAACTCTGTAATTGACAGCCCCATAGCCTCAGTGCTTGCAGATTGTAAAGGTCGCACAATGACTCGGGCAACCTCTGAATGCGAGCATTGTAGGATATGTCAAGGTACCGAAGTTGTATCAAGTCACCGATAATATCAGGCAACTCTTTCATGCCACACTTCTGCAAAACTAAAACATGGATTCTTTTCAGTCTTTTGAACAAGCTTTGAGGCAACAAGCAGCTGTTGACTTTAGTCATATATGGATACTGATTTCTCTGATTGTTGATCATAAGGGTCCGCAATTTATTGTAACCTGAAAAATTCACCAACTTCATTTGCTCAGTTAATGCTACTGATAGATGACGAGTCGTACTAGGGGTCTCTTTGGACTTGTCATCATCTATCCTATGGCACTCTCCCACAGATATAAATTGGGCAAGATCGTGTATGAGGTCATGCATCACGTATCGCCCTCTCCACCGAGATTCCTGAAAGAAAGACCTATTAACAAGCTCATGGAAGTAGCTGCTTCCGACATCTTCCACCCTCTTGTTTCCTTGAGGTGCAATGAAGCCTTCTGCCATCCAAGTCTGGATCAACTCATGTTTATAGAATAAATAATCTTTGTGAAACACAGCGCAAAAAGCGAAACACTGTCTAAGATGTCCGGGAAGGTGTTGATAGCTCAGCCATAGAACAGGCAATATTTCATTTTCAGCTTGTGGCAGTTGCCATACCTCACTTTCCATTATAGTTCTCCAGTGTTCTTGGCTGACATCCGACCGCAACAAGCTTCCTAGTGTTTTTGCTGCTAGCGGTGAGCCCTTCAACTTACCAGCAATCTTTCTACCGATAACCTCGAGCTCTAGATGCTCCTGGGGGTTCACAGAACCAAATGCACATTTCTTGAACAGCTCCCAGTAAGCATCATCCTGGAGACCATCGAGCGAAATTTCCTTCATTGTGCCAATGATGCTGGCAATCTTTGTGTCTCGAGTTGTGACTATAACCTTGCTGCCTCTTGCTGCAAACCTTAGTGGTGCGCACAGCCTTTCCCAGTCATCCCTGTTTTCGCTCCACACATCATCGAGGACTAGCAGAAACCTCTCTGAAGCAATCTTCTCCTTGAGGATCTGTTGCAAGGTGTCCAAGTTCAATTTGTCAGATTGTTCCACCTTGGTAGCAGACTCGATTATCTCTTTGGTCAGTCTCTTCACATTGAAATTGTCGGATACACAGACCCAAACCTTGAGGTGGAAATAGTTGCCGACACGATTGTCGTTGTACACGAGCTGAGCCAGAGTCGTCTTCCCAACCCCTCCGATTCCGACGAGGGGTAAGACAGAGAAGCTACTGTTACCAGATCCTGAATCCAACAGCAATTCTACTACTTTCTCCCTTTCTTGGTCCCGACCAAACACGACGGTTTCGGTCAAGAAAGAGCTCGTTTCTCTTCTCACCACCTTCCAGTCGAATTGTCTCCCCCCATCATCGGGTGCCAATAGCTGCATGACATCCATCATATCGGCAGCAATGTTGCACAGCTTCCCCTGGATCTCCCTCAATCGAGTCCCAGCATCATCACCATCGGCACCCAACCACTCGCTCGCAGTACTAAGGGAAAAAGAAAAGAGGTCGCTTATCTGGTCTCCCCGGTGCTCGACCTTTTGCTTCGCGGCTTGGTACTCCAACTCCTCCAGTAAGTCCTCGGCGTCATAGGCAGCATCCTTGAGCTGCCTCACCAGCTCCACCAAGCTCGTGTTTTTATGGTTCCACCTCGTCTCTGCCTTGTCGAGGATGGCATGGATCCGGAGCAGAGACGTCCGCAGCCGCCTCAGGTCATCGTGAAGGCCGCGGCACCGCGCGAGTTGTTGGATCGCGCAGTTGCTGGCCTTGTCGAGCAACGTCTGGATGAAGCTTTGCGCGAACCATCCTCCGATTACCAGCGCCGTCGACATAGAACAGCCGATCCTTCTTCCTCCCAGCTCAAAAGGGCAAGAAAAGGAACATGCTTTTCTTCTACTACAGCGCCATCGAACGGTGGCAATGGCACCAAAGAACACGGCAGACCGAAGTCTTCATTTATCTATCTATCTATATATAACATATATTATTACAAATTAATTATAACGTTTGCACCAAAATCCTCTGTATATGTCACTGTCATCGATATCCATCCAAATAAATAAAAATTAATTATATTTAGCCACGATTAAAATTAATATATTTGAATTATATATATATATATATATATATATATATATATATATATATTACTTTGATTATAAGATTGCTCCTTTACTATTTAGGAGCATATGGCAGTATGAATATAAGCATATTAGTTTCTTCATCCCATAAAATATTGTATCCGAGTGTTTATATGGATGTTTATGTTATTGAAAGTTTTAGATGAATCCATTAGCTTTTAAGATAAGATTGTTTGACAACATATTTGAGAAATCCTTTTATAGTGATCTTTACGAAGTGTTACATAATGAACATAGTGCGCCTCTCCTAGATTCTTAGTACGTGAAAATATCATATCATGTGACATCAATTGGATGACGATGAGGTAACGGTTGGTTACGTGAGACTCGAATGCTAGTGTCGATATAGGTCACCTAGCACCGAGGTGTCAATCACTTATTGTCGATGCATGAGTCACTTGGTGTCGAGATATCGATTACCTAATATTAAGATATTAGACATCTGGTATCGAAGTATCGCATAATCATACCACTAACAAGTAGTATATTCATCGAATCTTTATAAATCATCTTAACTCTTTAATATGCGACTAAACCGAAGTGTTAGTTAGTTCGCTAAATAAGAAAATAATCTATCATTTAGCTTTAAGAAATCTTCTTCTTGTGTTCATTTCAACAGATCGACAAGATCCAGCCCATAATCTTAGAGCCGGCCCAAATGGATCGACTCATCTGTTCCCATGTAAAATACAAAATGTTAGGCATCCTATCTTTATCGGATCAATAATATAAATGAATCTAGTTGAATTCGGGTTATCATAAGGAAACATATCAAGATTGGGCTCACAAGTAGACCCATCAATCATAGATGTTGCTGATATTGTCACAAACAAACAATATAGATTCACAGAGACTCATATAACAGCTCATATCTGAGGATTCTATCACTATTGTTGTGGGATCAGGAGATCTCAAGGCTAGTGATTCGGATGTTTGCCTGTCCTCCCTGAGATGGACACCTTTGGTCCCATGCTGTATTCTTTTGATGGGGAAGAAGATGAGAGAGGTTTAGTGTAACCCACTTGACCATTACTGCATGGTTAAACAGAGGATTAAGCAAAGGGTAGCTATGTTCATTTTGATGGCTACAACATTGCAATGATGAAGGATAATTAGATGGAGACATTGTCTCCTAAGAGAGTCTCTTTAGTCTTGTTCTTGTGAAGAGACCTCCATGAACTTTTACATGACCACAGACACTAATGGCCAGTTGAAGAATTGGCATCTTTCAACATCTAATCCAATAGGAATACCACTATGTTGTGGAATAACAGAGCTGTATCAGATGGCAGTTCTTGCGAACCAAAGAATCTGTCATGTTCGATCTCCCGCAATCAATCATATCATGGATTTAGTTGATTTGGATTTAGTTGATTTTGCCTAAATCATGCAATCGTCTACCCTTGAGTTCTTGCGAACGCATTGGCAGACTATCATCGTTGGTCTTTCAAGGTGCAAACATCGAAATGGCACAAGCAAGATAGAACAAAGCATTGCAAATTGGGCAACTTCACAGGTTCAGAGAAACTGAGAGAAGGATGGAATCTGCAGGTTATGCATTTGGGTCTTAATCTCTCCTTTGTACAAACCTCTTTAGACACTGAGGAGCATCTCTCAGAAATAGAGCAGTGGGGGGAAGAGTCTCAGAAGGCAGCTGGGGACATCATGTGAAATAGCAATGGCATGCTACTAGCAAGCAGTGAGTAGAATCCATGAGAGGATGCACTCTGTCAGACAAGCAGATGCATGATGAAATGATCCTCGATGCCACAACTGGCCCTACTGTGCCTGAAATGATTCTTGATGCTTTGGCTTTATCTCATGCCCAAATGCAGTGGAATGTCTCTTCTGTGCAGCTCACAGAAATGCTGGATGTAGAAAACCTTGAGATCAGAAGCAACAGAAAGCTCTGATGGATGGCAGCAAAATGTTCTCCTTGGAAGAGAGAAGCTAAATTGCTGGTGCTGACAGACCAAGGCTGCTTTGCAGCACACAAAGAAGATGTGGCAGACAAAGGACTGGCCTGAAGGTATCACCTGAAGCCATATGAATTCATTGAGAGTGAGCACTGAGTGTTGCAGGATGATTTGAACTATATGTTTTCGGTTAATCACAAGAAAAATCTGGCTTCATGAAGAGACAAAAAAGGATTGATATGGAACTATTAGCTCAGCAGCAGATGCAATTAACAGCTACACCTTTTCTCCTGCATCATCTTCCATGAAGATTCCAAATAGCAGCAGACAAAGTTTTGGCAATGCTTCAAGATCCAATCTTGTCGAAAACCAGCAGACCGATATTATGGGGACTAAAACTTACAGGAAAATTGAGATACTAATAATGTAGGAAAACCTGCTTAAAATCTCATATGAGGAGCACTCGAGAGTCTTCTCTAACCAGCAAAAGCTACTATTGACTCTGCTCCAATCCGATCAGATCTTGCCAAGTACTGTATCCACAAAACTCTCCACATCTCTATACATGGGAAGTACTATGTCAGTCTCTTCACAATGCCCCTAAAAGCCTCTCTTTCGTATTATTCTTCTCCGATCTCACAAGCTGCTTTCTTGTTTACTGAGTCCAGCAGCAAATTCTCCTCATCTCCAGTTGTGGCACTCTGACTTCCCACCTTCTTCCTCACAGCTATCTCCAGCGGTCGGAGAGATGGCTCGGCGGGCATCGGCCAACTGAAGAGGGCTCTGAGGAGAGCCAGACTGGGAAACACTCTTCTGTGGTGGTGCGGTGTGGTTCTCAGGAGGAACCCACAAGCCTCCCAAAACCACAACCGGTCGGCTAGCAGGAGGTGAAGCATTAGGCATCTTTCGAGTGTGCAATCGGTATTTCTGTAATGGAGATCGAGAACACCATGTCAGTGCAGACCAAACAGGAGTAGACCGATGGAAATTGAGAGTTAGAAAGCCATGAAGCCACCTGCAGATGGCTCTTCACTTCATCGTTGGTGAGACCATCCACCTTCATCAGTTCTCTGATCTGCTTTGGAGTTGCCACTGCATAAAGAAGAAGGTTTACTGAGATAGAATTCTCACTACATAGTATTTGGAACAGATTAAGTGATCGATTTCAGATATCCGCTTCCATTTTCCCCTCCCTACCTACGACAAAATCCATTGTGGAACGAAAAAATTGGATCTTTTCCCCTTCCGTTGAATCATCGAATCCAATTCTACGTATTTGAGATACGATAAGAAGCCAATCTGACCTTGAGCGCCACCGAGCTGCTGGAGAGCGAATACGAACCGGCGGTGTAGCTCCGGAGACCAGCACCGCCTCGCCTTCCTCTGTTGCTGGAGCTGCAAGCTAAGGTGGGCACCTGCCGTCGACGTCGGTGCTCGACCAACGCACTTAGAGACCGAGCCGCTGCCAGGATGGTTCCCAGCGACGACAGAAACGGGGAAAGAGGCGCTCCCGGCGGCAGGTGAACGCAGGGAGAGATCGGACAGCCCCGCCGTGGGAGTCACCTGCTTTGAGCTCATCACAAGCGCCGCCATGCCCTTAAATGGCACAAACGTGTCGGCGCCACTCTTGGATTCTAAGCACAAGTTCTCCTCCTCCTCCTGGCGATCTGGTCCTCCATCTCTCTGCCACAAAGGAGGAGAAACATGGAAATATGAGAAAGATGCTTCGCAATCCAAGAAAATAACGTACAAAATTCCGCCTTCGTACCTCATCCGCCACGCTCTGGTCATCATCGTTCCTGTTGTCGTCGCTAGAATAATCGCTCCACAGCTGAGCGGAGCTCATCCATTTCTTCTTATCCTTGCAGTCGACTTCCAGCTTCGCCCCACCCTCCTCTTCGCACCTACTCCTGATGGGCATTAGCTCTTGGAAGACATGCACGAATCTATCGCCCCGGCACCTCTCAAGCTCCTTCTTCAACCCTTCGATCACTAAAACCCAAGGAAAAATTCGCATAATTAACATAAAAATTCGATTTTTTTTACCATAAAATTGGAAAAAAAAATCCCCAAATTTGAAAAAAAAAAAAAAATCTCCACCGTCGGTGAGGAGAAGCATGCAGAGGGGGAGCTCGCGCTTAAAGGCCTCGATCTTTCTCCGCTCCTCCTCCAAGCTCCTCACGGAGTTCTCCAACTTCGCGACCCCACCATCGCTGCTCTGAACCGCCGCCGCCGCCTCTTTTAGAAAGCCACCGACGGTCCTCATGGCGCAGAGCTTAAAGTCCAAACCGAACTCCGCCGCCGCAGATCCCATCTCCAGCTCCACCAGCTCCCTCCCGATCTCTCGCGCCGTTGCAGATGAGACGGGGGGCACGTCCATTTTATACGTACGACACGCAGGAGGGAGGAGGAGAGGACGAGGAGAGGGAGAGCGGTCCGGTTCAATTGAACCGGCGACGTGAGAAGGAAGGCGGGGGGCAAAAACGACCGAAAACAAGTGTCGGGCTCGAGTCGTCACGTGTGAAACGCGTTCTCTCGAGAGCCGACACCGATACCCAAGTGGCGATTCCGCTTCTTGACGCGGCGGTTCGACTCGCCGAGTTAGACTCTTTCCAACTATTTTGGCCCCTTTTTTTGTCACTTTTTAACGCTATATTTTATTCATTTCATTTTTCTTCAATGACTCCTCTCCAATTAATTATAATATAAATTTCCAAGTGTTATGCGAGTGATTTCAACTCCAATTCCGCATTGGAAAACTAAAACCATGGGCTAAATCCACACAATTAAGTGCAATGGAAAGTATCACATATATATATGTATATATATATATATATGTATATATGTATGTATATATACATATATATATAATACATACATATATATATATATATATATATATATATATATATGTTTGATGTCATGAATTATTGCACATAAACCTTGAAATATTATGGACTGACTATATAGTAGAACTAAGTAGATAAAAGGATGATGATAACTTTAAAGAACATACTATTAGATGCTAGACATTATTAGTGAGTAGAACATTAACAATAAAACTTAGTAAAATAAATTTTATTAGAACATTATTAGTTCTTAGCCACAATATATGTTTGACAACAATAATAATTTTTAGAGCAAAACAATATTCATGTGTGATATTGTTTTTGTTTTTCTTTTATTGTTTGTGTGAAGGACAAAAGGCTATGAGTTCCGCTTCAACCAAAAGGTGCCATGTACATATTTGTACTAGTAGTAAAATGAGGGGGTGTGGTCCTTAGAAGGGACCTCTCTTCCATTGGAAGAGGTGGAAGAAACCCACCCTTAATCTCCTCCCATGGTGTGTCTTCGATTGACTTGAACGTTTTTATTATTATTTTCTTGCCTCTCTCCTTCATGCTCTCTCTACCTTTAGTAGTAGACTGTAGTCAACCTCGACAAAAGCCAAGTGATGCATGTGGTGTTCTCATGCACATCGATGGTAGAAAACGAAAGGCTTTGAGATTGGACCACCATTTTTAGGTTTGCATGTGAGCACAACATCTTTTATCTGACCTACATAAGATAGATAGGTTGGACCCAAAACCTAGACGAGCAAGAGAAGGTGGACACTGTGCACTCGCTATGCTGGCCAAGAACAACTAAAAACTCTCCTCTCCTCTCCTCCATTTCCATGGCTTTAGTGTGTGTGTGTTGGAGGAACAAGTGGGTGGTGGAGCAGTTCTCAGGACCGTCATCATGTTGCTACTTCCATGAACGTTCAACTTTTGAGCGAAAAGGAAACATAGTGTGAGTGACCCTACTACTGTTGTTGTTTTGACTCATTAAAAGTCCTTGGTGTTATGATCAAGTTTATACCTCGGTTTCCAGTTTCACCTTTTGGAAAGTTGGCTCAAAGAAGCTCTCACTACTTCCACCTTACAAGTATTTTTATCCCTTATTGGGTTATAGATATATATATATAGTATAATTTTAATTTCCCTATAAATTATACTCTTCAAAGGATTTTTCTTTTATCATTTATAATTTTTAGTTATCTTTTCTTTTTTTTTTTTCCTTTATCTCGCAGGATTTTAGCTTTTGGGAAAAGATGTATATTTAGGAAAAACGGGGGGGGTGGGGAAGGAATAAAGCACGAGTGGGTGGGTGGGGTCAGCCGCGTGGTGGAGGATGACGCGGCCCACTCGACTCGGTTCGCCGCGTTGGGGAGCGGCATCGCGCGGCGAGGCCACCGCGCCGCTGCCGACTGAGACCGCGAGTCGAGCCACGATAGTACGACGGCTCTCTCAACGCCCGCCGGCACCGTACGTACCCATGCCGTGACTCAAGTCGGGTCACGAGAAGTACCAGCACGGAATCGTGCTTCCGAGCGGAGAAAGGGTCCGATCGTAACACGCGCCCATGACTCCTTTATTCTATTACTCGGGGCCCCGCGAATTGGGAACCCCGGGATTCTCTCACGGACCTTTTTGCCGGACCCACCGTGGCTGAGGTCGTTGTGTCCTCTGTTCCCCATTTGGGTGATATATATATATATATTTTTATCCTACCGTGAAACAGTTCATCGGTGATTAGAGTCGACGTACACGTGTCGAAACATCCTCCTCTCACAAGCCTGACTGTGGGCCCCACAGGTGAGACTAACGTGAGCTCACCCGCATGCCACGTATGATGAAAATTTTGATGGGATAAAAAGCTTCGGCCACGAAACATAATAACCCACCGACAAGGAAAAAAAAATTCATTCCTTAACTATCACTAAAATATTCAGATAAATAAAAAAATATGTAAATGAATAAAGCAGACAAAGATTGCTCGACATACAGATAGGTAGTCACAAGTATTAATTACAATGGGATCTCAATCTTGCTTTGGACTGATTCTTTCAAATAGGATCAACATGAGATTAGCTTCAAGTGCCTGTGACCTGCAAATGTCAACCACGTTCAGCTCATGAGAATCCAATTAGAATCCAAAATATTATAAATCAGATAATTGTCCGTTCAAAAAATTCAGCTGACCACACATTTTGTTTCAAGTGGATAACATTGTTAATGACCCTAACAAGTAACAACAACCAAGGCTAGAGAAGGAAGAATGGAGATAATATTTTCTAGCCTCCATTATTTGGGTGTGTTAGGCTAATAGGGTGGACAGTAGTAGCAAACTAATTCTTCTACTTAAACATACGATTGTGGTGACTAAATAGAGATCTGTGTAAAAGATTATTTATCTAACACAACCAAGTGGCATTTTCTTTTCCCAAGCATTTTTATTGGTTGTTGTGAGGTCAACTTTGGAGCATCATGATGTGACAAGGAAATGGGAGGAATCCTTTCTGCTAGTCTCCTCATCTACAGAATATGGATAATTAAAGGGAAAGGTTGATGTCATTCCATCAATTGCCCGGGGTTCTTTGTTCTGGTTCCCCTCATCCAAAGAAGAATATTAAAGCTGTCCAAGAAGATAAGGACATGATTAAAGGAGGTTGTCTTGTTGAAGATGTCATGGTTGGCTTCCCACTAAGAGGGAATCCTACAGCATTATGGACATCCTAATCATCTCTCAGACCATTAGATTCTAAGGCAAGCAAGGGAGAGTTAGATGTGGGTTAAGGAATCTGACCATCCCACCATGCCAGCTTAAAGGAAAAAGGGACTCTGTCCACAAACTACTGTCAGTATTCTCAGGGAGATTCCATGATAATTGAGTCTTAGAAAAAAAGTCTATCCCTGGCTTGCTAGATTATGATTACTATATATATATATATATATATATATATATATATATATATATATATATATATGGAGGCAGAGATGGGATCTAGTAATCCTTAAAACACTGGATGTATATTATGAAACTGATACCTCCACTTGTGCGAAATGGCCTCTGCTGGTTATAGAGTGCAATCATTCCCAAACAACTTTACCATTAGCTTTTATTGACAGGCTTTTGAAGTGGGAGTAGCAGTAGCTGGTCACCAGGGCATGCTACTATTACTCCAAAAGCTTAAAAGCTGAAGGATTTACATACATATGTCTTGCAGGGACCATGGAATCAATTGCACAACAAGAATCCAAATATGTCATCAGATATATCCAAACCCTCACTTTCTCCAGTGGATTAAGTGTTCTACTTTCATTCTGAACTGAGGAATGTAATCACAGAAGATGAACCCCTCAGTCATATTTTACAAAATCTTCATCAGTGTCCTCCTATATAATATGCTGATGAAGCTCTTTATTTTGAAGGAAGAGGCACTGATTCAGGATACTACTGAGAATTAATTCAAAGGAAACTTGTTAAAAGAAGAAGAGGGATCCAGGATACTGACCATCCAATCAAAGCACACAGAACAAAGAAGCCCTCCTGAGTAATTTTAACCTAGAAATCTATCTATGCAAGGAACTTTCAAATATCGGGTTAGGTTCTTCTTGGATCCACAAAAAGGGTAGCTGTAAAGGGAGAGACTACTTTAATCACTCATCCTATGTTATCCTGTCTGCAAAATTTAACCAAAGAAAGAAGAACACGAAGACAAGTTTAGAAACATGGTCGATCCACCTCTTTCATGTTGATAAACATGTTGAGTGTGCCCTGCCATGCTCAATATCACTTTCCTCCATGGTCAACGTCACTCTTGGTCATGGACCTCATGACCATTCATGGCTTGTAGCCACAGGCCTATTAGTGCTGCGCATATATCTATCATCCACTGTTCAACACCTTTCTCTATGAATAGTACTCAGCACTAGATACCACTTTCTACCATGTCATCAGTAAATTGAAGGCCTTTTCCTATGTCATTCATCAAATAAACTTAGTCTTCAACAAAATGTAGAAGTTCCATATCAAAAATCTAATCTACATGATTTTTGACACATACAAATAATCCTTTTAGCAAATTTACTAATGAAACCACCCCAAGAAACTGTCCTATTATTACTTCACTGGTTTAACAACTGTATGCAAGTTGAGTGATCCCAAGGCACTGAGAAGAATGTTAATAAGCATGCATTAATATAATGAAAGAATAAATCATTTTTTCCACTTAAAACTCATGGAAACACAAAAAGATATAACATCTTTATAACATACCCTAGCAGTGCATAGAAGTAAAAAACAGATCCCAGCCAATAGCACTATCCAAGTCTTCTTCACAAGGAGAATCAAACTTTCAGCCTAATAACAGTTTCCAGTTGGTAATTAATTTTCCATGTTAGAAACAAGTAGATTAATAAAATAAACCTGTATAGACCAGAAACTCATGGTAGAGGACCGAGGAAAAAGAAGAGAATATCATTCTTAAAGAAACCATACAAGCATATATATCAAAAGACAAGCTATATGACAGTGGAGTTACTGTATGACTTTCACCTTTGACTTCTGAAGCACTGTTTGGCTTTTGGAGAAAGCAAGGCACAATCAATTGTGTGATAACCCAGAGACAACGTTATCCACAGTGCACATCTCCACTGACTTCTGTCCCTTGTGGTTTCCAGAATCTTCCCATCCTCCACCCACCTGTACATGATCATCAAACACCTGCGATATGTTTTTTGTTCTAAAATAATTGAGCTTTTTTAATCCTAATGTTTCCCAAGTTTTTCTTTTTTATTCCATCGTGGTGATAACGAGCATATAAAGATCTATCAAATTACTTACATGTCACCATCTTAAATTGATGAGATTTGACAGCGAGTTTCCGTCCCTTTTGTGCCATGGAATTCACATGGTGCAATGGCTCAGCAGCAACAGCTTCAACACCCCTTATCAACCGTCCATGGTCATGCTAATTGCACCCAACCAAATTAGCATTCATGTCCTTTCACTGGCTGTGTGGCTCAACTTACCCATCTTGATCGAGACATGGTTTGGTGTTTTCCTCTCGGAAGAAGTGGTGGGCTTCACCAGGACAAAGACGAGGAAAACTTATTGAACCTTGTTTGAGGGTCTCTAATAACTCCTCCATCTCAATCAACCACTCCGATGGATTCCATTCAGGACCCACTTCACGTGGAACGGAATCTGCATGCTCCCTTCTCTGTCAAATCCTAGCATCATCGATCTGGAAGAATCAGATAAATGAAACATCAAGATCTCTGGTTGATTTCGAATTAAGGTCAGGTCCAAAAGATGCATTTCATGGTCGGAACTATCATGTCAACATGAACAAATGGACCGAACGCAGCAAGAATCTAAGGCTAAGATCTATAGGAAAATGTGAAAAAGATCTAAATCATGTATGTCTCAAATGCCTTTGAACCACTGCCCATTATTTAAAGAGAGATATTGGACTGGACTATCGAAAGATTCTGTAAAAAGGTGGCATGAGATTGTGGTGGTTGGTTACCACATTCTCTTATGTTTGTAGTAATTGGCATCAAGTTTAATCAACTTCTTGAAGGTTTGATGAGGATACATGTCAGGATCAAACACGGAGCTGGAAATCCACATGCTGCTGCATTTACGTGGTTTAGCTGGATGTTTGAAGAGGAGACACAGATTTTGTGAGCCCAAAGAATGACCAGCATTTTATATTAAGGTAGTGATGAGGTCCCTCATCATCCCCTTTATTTCCTGATTCTGCAAGTTAAGAGGAAAGCCAACAACATATTTAACAGATAATACAGGTGCAAAAACTCATATTTTCTAGATAATGTAAGAATTATATCGGTGTTAAATTTTAACAAAGTCCAGAACCATGAGTACGAATACCAGCCAGATTTGAGATCATAGTGTATAAAAGAAAAGAGAGAAGCATATTATCTGTCCGTAAAGTGTTATTTATAATGCATGCAAATCCATTCAAGTAACCACATCATCAATTCCTCCCTCAGCTAAAAATACATTCTATGATTTTTTTACATTGTTTTTGCCTATTAAGAACAACCACAAAGGTCCTTACAACCTGTGATATTCAATCTAATCAAGTAGTTTCTAGCAGACATCAAGCAGAAATTCAATCTAGACGAACCTGTAATCAGGTCATAACGGGTCATTCTTTTTCCCTTTTTTTTTTCTTTTCTTTTTTGAGAAGAATGTTGCAAATACAAGAAAAGATATCCACAAACAGCAGGAAGAGCAGACAAATTGTCAAGGAATCATCGGCTAAATTGTCAAGAAAGACATGTCGAGTTATTCCATAGCATTTAACATCCAATGAAAAGCAGCAGGAAAGCAGACAAAAACATGGAGAGAACTCAGATCCACAACAACAATTTCATCACAAACAAATCATCCAAGACTTTGAATTAGAACATCTGCACCATACATCAACTGAACAATTGCACCTCTACCAGCAAGGAGGGGCTTGAAAAAATTTTCATCAACTCACCTCTAAACAAATGGCTTCCCTGTTGCTTATATGAGAGCTATTACTTCTTTGAGTTGATGTATCCTCGCATATTCCCTATCAATGGCAGAAAAATAGAGGCAACATTTAGAAATGAAATTGCCAACTACAACAGGTTAGTTTCTTGGAAGCTATTAAATGTGGTTGGACCAGAACTTTTACACATCACTAAAGCAATCACAAAATGGCACAAATAAACCTTGTGGACTCTTTGCACGAACTTGAACTCCAAAAGGAACTTGGATCCTACACTACCAAGGAGAGAACTGGAGTAAGGAGATCAATATATATTTAGATAAATGTAATGAAACGATTTTAATTTTTAGATGCAATGCCTTAACATAACTAGTTCAAGAAGGTAATCAAACACAACTGTATCTGCTAGAGAGAGAAAAAGCTACATTCATTGTATTTTTTCATAAAAATATTGTCTTGCTTGCATACTGATATTGCTGAGGTTTAACCTCACGTTCCTGGCATCTTCAGGCATATTTCAAAACATTAAATCATTGTCGATTAGAATGATATTTAACCAAATGGTCCTAGGGTTGATGGAGTGAAACAGTTCATTTTCTTTGGATGAACTATGGGAAGTTACTCTTGAAGGAATGAGACTCTCAGGCTATTGTTTGACATAGAATTCCAAATGGATTATTGGGGTTTCAAGGCTAATGTTTTTGTTCATCATCTCTCAGACATTCATCTTGGGAAAGACAAACAATGCCCTTCTTTCTAAGAAGAGTGAATTTTAAATAAACACCACTATCATCAGATTAACTTGATTTACATTAATCGTTCCTAAAATCTTTGTTAGCAATCTCAACTTTTTATTCTAATTTAATAAATCAATCACAATCACAAGCCTAATTTGCAAAATCTTTTACAATGTAAATACAGAGTTTTTCTTTAAGATTTTGGAACTTCATGGATTTATGATAAAAGATTGAATGGGTCAGATCTCTAATGACTACTAGCAAATTGTTTGTTTGCCCTAGTGGCAATCCAAGAAAATGGATATATTATTGTTGCTGGCACAGATATGGTGATCTCTGTCATCAGATCTCTCCATCCCTTTTATGGATTTACTCCAAACCTGTCTGCAATTAAATTGATGAAATAAGGTGTTTCAGGTCTAGGTATTGATAAGTTTCATATAAAATTTAAGCTAATTCCCCAGACTTTCAATTACGATATTGGATTCAAAATAAACTTTTCTTGACCAAGTCTTCCGGATGTTCACATGTTTGCCAGTATGTGTTTAATTATCTTCCCCACATAAATGTATATGGATTACCAATGAGTAACAAGACCTCTTCATAAAGACTATATGGATATTATTGCCCAGAATCATACTTTGCTAGCTTCTCACGTTGCAAGATCATTATAATTTTTCGGTGATCAGACAAGGTGTTACAAGAACATAGATAGTAAGAAAAAAATGACAACAGCATAATATGCCAGATTTACATGCTAAAAACAATTGGACAGTTCTATAAGTGAGTACATGGAATTTGACATTGAACTAATGATTTTGATATAAGATTCAAAATCTTAATAAAAATTAGGATCACAATTGGTCGGCTCAGATTTGTCAAATATACATTGTATTAAAAATAATTGAAAAATGCAAAGTAAAAGAATAAAAATAAAACAAAAATAAGAAGAATTTTTTAGAATCATAAAGTCAGCTAAGATTCAATTAGATCCTAATTGATTCATTCACAATCAGCTGATCCAGACCAGTCAATGGAATTGGTGATGCCATATACTAGTAAAGGCATAACTTAAGTTAATTCAATCCAATAATCCATGTCTCTTGCTGAAGTCTTAGATAGATTAGGCTTTTTTAAATTAGATGTTAATCGATGCAATGTTCCAAAGATGGTGACTACTGACAGTGGGAGACATCTAAGTGCAGGTTGTAGGCTGCAGGTTGCCAATACACACAGCTCATTCCTATATTTTCCATAAAGGATATGATGACAATGGTCAAGAATGCCGCAAGTTGAATTCGAAGCTAGTTCAAAAGCAACCTCAAGCTTTCCAGGCTTTAGCAATATTCTCATTGCACGCTGTTATCAACAAAACATGGTCAGTTTCACGCATTAAGAAGACACTTACCCAAGAACTACATTGGAATTACACCATATCCAATGTTTCTCCTCTATAGGGGAATTCGGCAATCACTATTTAATAATAAGCATAGAAATTTCCACCAGGCCCTCTCATCGTACTCGTTTACCAAGAAAAGATGCAATTTCTAAGCATCATCCTCTGTGCCGGATGCTGTTTCCAATCCCTAATTAACCGTGATCGGACAAATTTGCTTCATCAAAACGTAATAAAGCGAAGAAAAGGAGGAGGAGAGTAGAAAGTTCTCACCGTTCATTCCGCTGCTCCCACCAGCACTCCGCCCATCCTCCTCGCGCTCCTGGAAGCCCTACTCGCCGGAAACGTCCTCATCGTCCGCGGTCGCCCCGGCACCTCTCACCCTTTCTTGATACGTCTGGTAACTGAATCAAGCTCGACCCGATCTCAGCTCGATCAAGTCCGCTCGAGTCCAAAACGGCAGGTGGGACCCACACTCGTGGCACGTACAACCACTCGTGAACAGATAAAAACGGCTTCTTCCCCAGCAATAAAACCTTGCCGTTTCCAGCGCAAACCACGGCGACGACGACGACGACGACAGTGTCTTGAGGGATCAAAGGAAGAAGAGGTCGCGGCACGGACCGATCAGCGTGACACGGAGAGAGAGAGAGAGAGAGAGAGAGGTCGGCGGGGGGTCCCGGCGTGGGTCCCGCGGCGAAGGTCATGCCCCACGCTGCCCACCTCCGCTTCTCCTTGCTTCGTGCCGGAAAGTGCAATGAGTACATGCGTCCACGAAGGTTCCAGTCTCCGTAAAGCCCAAGGAAGCGTTGCATGATCACGTCGCCTTTTGCAGATCAACACTGCATGGTATCACACGAGAGAGCACTGACTGGTATTGCTTCTTGCTGAGCGCTTGGCGTTCCCTTTCAAACTCGGCATCATTTCTTCTTGCCTATCTAATTTCGTGTAGCGATTATGATTATTTATATTATTATTATTATTATTATTATTATTTTCTTTTACAAGTGTTGTGAGGTCGAAAATATATTGATTTCTTATTAATAGGTATAGTTTATTGAATTCTATGATATTGTTGGTCATAAAAGCCACATTTCATCCTTAGTAATTGAATAATATAAATAAAAATTAGAAATCTTAGAAGTAATTTACGTACAAATTCCATGATTATAATCCTCAAGTGATGGCAATCATCATTGCCTACCTGTCAACATAAATCACCTCCTCTCCAATGGCGACAAATTGATGAGCCGCTCCTATTTGTGTTGGGAAAGAAGGAAGGCGAGCTCAAGCAAGCCCCGGCTGTACGCCACCTTCAAACAAAGCGTGCTCATTACTACGCCTCTCCCTGTGCCTCAATTTCCGTGCCGTCCGCTAACCCCGGTGGAAACTAAGCAAAGCCGTCCCCACACGCGACCATCACGCCGTGGAAACCATAGATCACGCTGTTCGCCATTAACTACATACTGCGAGTCACAGAGATGGAGATGAGGAGGTGGTGGGACTTCGAGAGCTCAGCTTGATTCATATGAGTCTTTTATGCTTCGTTTCACGGACTTGTGTTTGTTCACAGCTCAGTTACCACTCACCGTTCATCGCTACGCGTTAACGCGTTCGATCCTTGTAGCTGTCGCCACGGCTTTCCTGCTTATAAACCCACTCCATCCTCCTCCTCCTTTCCTCGTCCGACGCTGAGAATGATGAGGCTGGTCTGTGGAGTTTTGGTGTTCTTGGCCGCAGCCTTCGTCGCCGGAGCTGACGACCCCTATCGATTCTTCACCTGGACTGTGACGTATGGGCCTATCTATCCTCTTGGAGTTCAGCAGCAGGTTTGTTCGTTGACTGCGTTTGATTCATGCTTTACAGAGAAGAAAGTAGATGGTGATCTTGGTTTTGGTCTCGAAGGGAATCCTCATCAATGGCCAGTTCCCTGGACCTCGCCTCGACTGCGTCACCAACGACAACATCGTCATCGACGTGATCAACAAGCTCGACGAGCCACTGCTCTTGACATGGTAGCGACGGCGCTTGTTCTTTCTTTCTGGTCTGGATTTGCGTTTCCTTAGAGAGGGATGTGTGTGCAGGAACGGGATCAAACAGAGGAAGAACTCTTGGCAAGATGGAGTGCTGGGGACCAACTGCCCCATCCTCCCCAGTGGCAACTTCACGTACAAGTTCCAGACCAAGGACCAGATTGGTGGGTTCACCTACTTCCCCTCCACCGGCATGCAGAGGGCGGCGGGTGGTTTCGGCTCCCTCAATGTGTACCAGAGGCCGCAGATCCCGGTGCCGTACGCGAAGCCCGCCGATGATTTCAGCTTGCTCGTCGGCGACTGGTACAGGGCCAGCCATAAGGTAACAAGACTGAGCTGCAGACATTGCTTCTCCGAGAGTGACGCTGAATGCGTCTTCGCGCTGTATGTTGCAGGTGTTGCAGAAAGCTCTGGATTCAGGAAGCTCGTTGCCTTTCCCAGATGATCTTCTCATCAATGGACAAAAGTACACTGCCTTTGCCGGAGATCAAGGTATCTCTGCTTCACTGATCAGCAGTTTCTTCTCCGTTAAATTCCTAAGCAAAACATGGTGCATTGTGCAGGGAAGACTTACCTCTTCAGGATCTCGAATGTGGGCATGACGACCTCTATCAACTTCAGGATCCAAGGCCACAAGATGAAGCTTGTGGAAGTAGAAGGATCGCACACTCTTCAGAACATCTACGATTCCCTCGACATCCATGTCGGTCAATCCTTGTCCGTGCTGGTCACGCTTGATCAGGCTCCCAAGGACTACTACATCGTCGCCTCCACCCGGTTCACCCGGAAGGTCCTGACCGCGACCGCCGTCCTCCATTACGGCAATTCTAACTCCCCTGTTTCCGGTCCGATCCCCGGCGGTCCGGCCTACGGGCTGCATTGGTCCATGAAGCAAGCTAGAACATTCAGGTACGAGTCGTTCTAGCCATCTCATGATCGATGTTTTTGGTGACAGCTTCCACGTTTAATCTGATCTTTTGTTTTCGTTGGCTGAAGGTGGAATCTGACAGCAAGCGCAGCCAGGCCGAATCCGCAAGGTTCGTACCACTACGGCAAGATAACCAGGTCGAGATCGATCATGTTGGCCAATTCAGCAGCCGTGATCGGTGGGAAGCAGCGCTATGCTATCAATGGCGTCTCCTTCGTGGTGCCCGGTACGCCCTTAAAGCTCGCCGACGACTTCAACATCGCCGGGGTCTTCACTTGGGACAGCCTTCCGATTCCGCCGGCCGGAGGTTCCCCTGTTCTTAGCACGCCGGTGGTCCGGTTCAACCTCCATGATTTCGTCGAGATCATCTTCCAGAACACCGAGAACACCATGCAGACATGGCATCTCGATGGCTACGACTTCTGGGTCGTCGGGTGAGCTCTACAATCGAGTTGCTTGGTTGCATTAGATCAAAGCAAGCTTGCAGTGGCAATATGGATCTGTTTCTTACGATCAACTGCATGAATGATGCAGATATGGCTCCGGAAAATGGACAGAGCGTCTCCGAAGACGGTACAATCTAGTGGACGCTGTCACCAGACACACTGTGCAGGTTAGTAAATGCATCTTACTGTTAGCACGGAATGCAGCGTCTCAAATCTCTTCATGGTCGTATAGGTTTATCCAAATGGATGGTCTGCGATCTTGGTGTCATTGGACAACCAAGGAATGTGGAACCTGAGGTCTGCAATGTGGGCAAGACAGTACTTGGGGCAGCAGTTCTACATCAGAGTGTGGACTCCGGAGAAAAGCTACGCCAATGAGTATGACATGCCTGCAAATGCCTTGCGGTGTGGGAAGGCTGTTGCCCTTCGCTAGTGGTCGGAACAATAATATCCTTCGTTCAACCTCTTGAATCTTGTGTCACGAGAGGGTGGCTGCAAAGCAACAGAGATCAATAATGAGAGAGTGCAAGAAACCATCTTTTTTACTGTGTCACTTTGTATCTCCATTTGTTTTCTTACGTGTATCAACAGATCAATTCCATGGTGATTTCGCAAATTGAAAAGATCTCTATGAATAAGACTAATTGAAAAGATCTCAGCAATTCTTTAATTACTGAATGTTAGAATATTACAAGATGTAATTACTATATCGTACTCTGGACTTAGCTTTCATAGTTTATAGTATCATGGAGCCATCGTCCCTGATGTGGACTGAGCTTTCGTAGTTTACAGTATCATGGAGTCATTGTCATTGGTCTATTATTCGTAACATAATAGGATGAAAAGGAATCGAAAGAGAGGAAAATGATTTCAGTAAAAACCTCACGTTGCAAGCAAAAAATAATAATTTAAAAAATAATAAAATATTTTTTTTATTTTTTTACTTATATCTTTTTTACACATGATAATATGTGTAATTTTTTTATTGATAAAATTAATAATATAAGAAGAATTGAGATTAAATATTTTACTTTTAAGGATACTAATGTTACTTTTTAAAGCATAAGGACTAATCATAGTTAATTATAAAAGATAATATATAATTATTCTAAAATCTCTTAATCAAATTAATGCTTATCTATATTCAATTTCTTGAATTACCTATGTTTTTATATTAATTTATTTTCTTTTTATTTACTATGGGTACGGTTTTAGTTTGTGAGATTAAAACGATTAAAGCATTTATTATGTTGAAAAATCATCACATGTCTTTTAATCAGTGTATTAAAAATTGTCATGTATCCTCATTTAACATTAGTTTAATTCCTCTTCTTATTATGTTGTATCTTTGAAATAAAAGTGAATATATATTTTCGGAATATGCCATCTGTATCCATTACTACATTACAAAGTTGCCATGTGTCTTGCCGAGGTTCATTTACACAACGGGTTTGGATTCGGATCTAATCAACAAGTACCCGATCCGCTATTTGTTGTAACGTCTGTTAAAATCATTATAACGGGATGGAATAGGCCGCTTGATCTGTTAATACTGTTATAAATAGTTGGTGGTAAGCACGGGTCATTATGTGGCGCATTCTGAGCCGTTTTGATCTCTATATCCATCGTCGTGTGTCGTGGCGGAGCAGGATATGGGAGGCCGGTTAACGTCACCGCCGTCGCTTTAAATATGCAACGCGAAGACCAAATCGATCGAAGAATGCGAATTTGGGGGAATTAAATGGCGATGCCTTCTACTGTTCTCGTCGCCGTCTTCCTCCTCTTCCTCGCCGCCGGTTCCTCCGATTCCTCCACCGCATCCCTCCCCTTTAACTCCTCCTTCACCCTCCTTCCTCCCCCGCCACCGGATTCCCCGCTCCCTCGACCGCTCCTGAGGGAGGTGGTGAGGGCGCTCGCGGCCAAGGAGGGGTGGGATCCGGCGGCTGAGGTTAGGATCGCCGATTTGGACGGAAAGACCGCCAGGGTCGGCGTGTCACAGAGGTATGAGTTTCACGTTAGGGTCGGCAGGAGGGCCATGATCGTGAGGTTCTACGATGAGGCCGTCTCGTGGAGAAGGGCGGATGGGGCAGTTGTTGAGTCTGGGTCGGACTTGGTCGCTGGTGATGGGGTCGCAGGGCTCACGCCGGCCGTCAGGGCTTTGGAGTTGGTGGGGCCGCTCGATTTGAGGGTTGACGGCGGTGGTGGAGATGCTGATCTGATCTCGCTGCATTTGCCCACTGTGAGCTATCTTCCCCTATTGCTTTTTCTTTACACTTATTTGTTTTCTGGACGCAATTTATAAGGATAAGGTTCTTTACGTTTATATTTTTAGTTCCGGATTTAACATGCGTCTGAACGAATTGTTGAATGATGTGATGCGGTGGTAATTTAACCCTTCTTTTTAATAATAGTAGTTTTACATATCTGACGGTTTGTAACTTCATTTCTTGTAGTACGATTGATTTAATTGGGATTGAGGTCGTTGATTACAGAGTGATTTGAGTACAAATCGGTGTTGTTCACTTGTTCATCAATAATGACGATCTGTTGTACCTGCCTATTGATTGTAGGCTCAACAAGTTTTAACCAGGACTGTACTCTTTTATGATGTTCTATGTTCATATCATTTTAAATGATTGATCTGAAGTTCCAAATCACCATATATTATTTGGTCAAAAGCAGTAAAACGGAAACGGAACAGTGGGAAGATAGAGTTGAACTAATCCCAAATTCTTTCGTTAAAATGATAGCTTAAACAAGTGAGAATTGTGTTGTTGGATACTGAAGGCCGGTGAAATTAAAATTAAAGGTTTAGAAAGCATTGCATTATGAACTTGTGCAGCCATCTCGATCTGCTCATCAAACTTGAGAGTGAAACATGTGTTATTGTGACTTTCATTCATAACTGAAGTCGAAGACTTCAAATATTACCTAATATTTTAACCTGGTGGTTCTTATATTGTTAATGAAAATTTAATCAAATTCCTTCTGGTTTTGTTTTCTAGTTATGCAACTAGCATTTTCCATCATCTTCTTTTAAATCTTCTATGTGAAATTACCTATTGTTAATTGTAACCCTCGTATGAGCAAACCTTGTAAAATAGGCTTCTGTAATATTTATCGTATTTTATTTTTGTTTTTTATGTGTCTTAATTAATATATTTTTTGTGATATTTCTTTTAGCCAGCATATGATCTCATGTATTATCGTTAACTTTAATGAGTAGCCTTGTTGAGGTTCACCAGATTGTGCGCAGCTTAAAGTCTAGCCATAGTAATCTGGATCAGGATTGTCCTGAGCAGATTGGTGAACTGCTTTTTGTTGAAGACAATATAAAAGCTCAAACATTTTTAGAAGAAAAAAAATATAGAAAAAGGAAGATGATTAAGAAATTAATGGAACATATTCTTATGATCACTTTAAAATCTACAAAGCATTAACAGATTTGGTCTGTGATCTTTCCCAAATATTATTATATATACATTTAGCAGTGATTTTACTTTATTAATTCAAAATAGTCAAAATTTGGAAAATGGATATCACATGGGGTATTTAAAGCCCAAGACACTGCAATTAAGGGGTAAGCTTTTTTAAAATGCACCCATGGAATACCTCTCCCTCACATGTGGCTACAGACATGTAAGGGGACATTTCTGGTATTTTCTTTTTTTTGCATGATAAGAAGGGATCAAGATCAGTTGATTTTAGTCTGGATCAGTCAAGCCAGATAGGAAATTGGTAATTAGGATATATTCTAGTTTTTCTGGTCAATTCAAACAATTTATTGTAAGGATTAGTATTGGAACTCCCGAACAACAACAATAACAAAGTTGGAAGTCTCAACTAGTATTAGAAATATCCTTAGTAGGGAAATCAACTGATCAGAATTGGCCATTATCAACCTTAAAAAGCATTGGTTGTATTATAATATCACAATTTGTCTGTCATTGATTAATTTTTTTGTTTTCATATAGATCCTAGTGTCTTTTTTTGAAAAACTGAAGATTTTCTTTCAAGTTAAGAATTTGCAAATTACTGAACATAACTCTTGTTGTCATCCTATCAAATATTCTAATAATTGTTTGCTTTTATGATTTGTTCAAACACAGAGATAGAGGAAGTAATTTCTATTTGGAGTTTTCTTGTCCAAAAGTTAAAAAAACACAAGTTCCTTAGCTGGTTCTATTCTAGGGAGTTTGTAATATGAGCTTTCTAGAAATTTGACATTCATTTAGATTCATATGCAATCGAGAAGGTTACTGAATTAAACATTGAATCCAAAAGTTCTGTGAATGATCAACACGGTGGGATCTTAACTGGAGAGAAATCTTTCAAAAAAAAATGCAAAACTAAGCACATATACATTGCATTGTCTTTGACATGTAAATGAAAGAACACATTGCTAATTTGCTATTCATTTCATTTTAGTTTCTTCACTTGGGCATTCTTATGTCAAATCTGATTTTGAGCAGGATTTTTGGACTTTGTAAAAGGAGAAATGCTGTATCCACTTAGTTTTGTTTATAGTGTTTTGTAGCCAAACATGCTTCATGATGGTTTTCCTGCCTTAACATTTTAGTGTAGCTGATGTGCATATGTTGGTCCGACATGTATATGTATATGTGCATGTAGAGAGAGAGAGAGAGAGAGAGAGAGATACATTTGCTTTCCAAGTGCTACTTATTTTAGTACATTATGAAGAAGATGAAATTTTTTTTTCTTTTGCAGTCAAACATCACCTATAGTGGCTTAAGGCAGATATTTGTTGGTTTTGGCATCAGGATAAAGATAGAGGGTGCCCAAGGAGTCTCTCTCAGCCACCCTTACGATATTGGGCTTTCGCTTAATGGAAGCTTAGCTGCACATGTTGAACACAATAATAAGTTTTGGCACCTTGGCTACTCCTCTTGCGTACCACATCTCTCAGTGCATGTCGTGGGATCAGTATCAGTATCGGCTCATGGGTACGATAACACTGTAGGTGACATCGAAGCTGCATTCAAGACCGATGATACTGTTGAATTGCTACCTGCAAAATGTTACAGCAATGGCCATGTAAAGCAGATATCATCCTGTTCATTTTGTTTTGTCAGTTCGAGGTTGAGCATGCTAGACAAACTCGTTGGGGGCTTGCTCGGCAACAATGTCTCTCCCGACACATCCGTACGATTCACCAAAGCAAAGATCACATCGGCAACTGTAATCAAATTCCGATTGCAGCTCGAAAGAGACATTACCGAGAACAACAACAGGAGCTTGGAAAAGGTACCAGAATGGAAACAGAAACCCAAGGCTGCACAAAGCTGGTTGGAGATAATGGCTAGAGTGGAAGGAGAAGGGCGGCTGAAGCCTGTGTTAGTAAAAAAGCTGAAGAGACCTTACACTATCGCGGATTCTATTTCTTTCAGCAGTTTGATGTCAAATATTTCGTTCACAAAATTTCCATCATTCGTCGTACCTCCCGAGGCTTTGACATTGGACGTAAAGTGGTAGGGAGGATGTACAGTTTCTGTCCGGCAATCGTGGACTCACAGAAAGGAGATGAAGTGCACATAACTTTGTATCCGTCGTCTGCGTATATAGAGGAGGCCACGGAGAGAGTATTCATGGTAGGAAATTTGCTGTCTATGTGTCAAACAGAGGTTGTAAATTAGTAGAACCCGTCCTTCTGTGACGAATAATTTGTGTTGGATTACCAGAATATATATGATGGTCTGTTCCAAACTTCTTTTGGGATTGGAGTTAGAACCAATCATCCTGTCATCATTTGTTTTGTTTTTGGCTATTGGAGAAAATGTCTGTTTCAACCCAATGCATAGACAGAACGTAGTGCCGAGCTGGATTGGAAACACTCTTAGTTTGGTGTTCTGGACGAGAAATATGTTGGTAAGAGTTCGATTGAAGACAGTGGTCGAGTCTGACATACACGCGATTTCTCGATCGGATCGATCTTGTTGCCATAGATTTGAGATTTTCACCTTTCATAACTAGTCTGACCGATAATCTTTTTCCATTTGACTTCAATATTTGATTGACTTGATTATCAATTTACCATAATCCGATCTGATATAATAATTAATCTAAAATATTTAATATAAAATTAATAATAACGAATTCATTTTATAAGATAATCTTAATTAAATCGGAGTGTTATGTATTCGACCACAATATTGCACAAAAAGAGAATTCTTCTATTTCTAATATCAACGGCCATCACATTAAAATTGGCGTGAAGACTGACTACATACAGATCAGGATAGATAGATGTTGTGCTTCTTTACAGCTCTTTCTTGTTTTCTTCTTTACAGCCATCACATTAAAAGCCTCAGCTGATGATGATGATGATGAGAAATTACTAATAAAAAAAGTTAGTTAAAGCTGATCCTCACCTTACCAAGTGATCAGAAGCCAACTTCTGACAATGCCTTGGAGGGTTCGTTTCATCAAGTGGTAGAACAAAGGAGGCAAAGCTTTCAGATTTGGCTGTGGCTAACAATTATGTAACAATGTCTGGTCTATGGGTTCAAACTTTGTAACAGTGTCTCTGTTTTGACCCACCATTCAAGGATTTCTTGACAGGTCAACCAGCGATCATTATTAGGGTTCACAAGAACCATCATACTGACTGAGACTATTGGCATTCCATCCATGATTCCTAAAAACATGCATCAAAAGCAAAAGGTTGGACTCATAATATTTATTTGTTCATGGTGACAGAATAAAATTCACAATCCCAAGTAATCTTGAAATAGTTGTCTAAACTACAAAAACTTGTGTGTCTGCAAAACATTAATGCTACCAAATTGATGCACCATTTATATCAGGAAGCGAGCTTGTCCAGAGCGTTACCCAGATCGAGCCGGTAAATAGTCGATACATGCAATGAAATACGTCAAAGCTCCTTCACCAAATATGTCGGTTTCCACCACGGACACTTGTTATACCGATGGTCTCTGACAAGCAGAAAAAAGTTGCCAGCTGATAAAGGCCATCACCAGTGAAGAAGCCAGTTCAAAGGCTACCACCTTCGGAGGGTGCCACCCCAAAGCTCTTCTCAGGTAGCTGCAATATTTATAATAATAGAATGTCCAGAATGAAACGGTTTGCGTTCAATGTTATTAAGACCCAAGCGAAATCTTATGAACCAAATGAAATTGAATTAGTGTTCATAGCAAAAATACAAGCAACATTAGATTTATCATGCATATCAGTGTGACGATTAATTCACAAAGCTAGCATACGGTAATGCATCATCAAACATGGTTGCTGTGTCAATTCCATGCTTAGAACTTGTGATAGATGGCTATAAAGCTAACAACATGAGTCGAAAGAGAGATAAAGAACCTTGTGATAGACGGCATTGTTGCAAGAACACCAGCACATGCATAAATTATTGGTATCAGAGTTCTGGGTTTGTTCTTCCTAAGCCACATCAAGGACCCAAGTGCAGCAAGGGAGAGATTTAGTACCTAATATCAGGAAAGAAAAAAAAAACAATAGGTTATTATCAAGATAATTTAAATAAATTAAGCTCATATCCTCATACATAATGAATAACTTGCTATCCTGATTGTATAAGGATAACAAACATAAATCATAAAGAATACGAAAAGAGTTATAATAGAATTTTTTTTCCTAAACTATAATACAATTAACAACACTAAGGAGAAGTCCGGTCTCCCAAATGAAGAAGGATTTGGGGAGATCAATCATATCAAATAAAATTAATCTAGCCTTCCAACTCTAGGAGTTAGCATGCATTACTACTAAGTAAAACAACAGCAGATTACTGATTACCTATTACTCGTAAATTGTTTATTCTAGTAGACACTAATTTGACCATCAAAAGTAGTGCAGATAATTTTGCTAAACTCAAGCAAGAGAATTATAGATACCAGATTCGCATTTGCTTCGATGCCTTGAAAAATGTATTCCCACGTGAATTCTAATCCTCTAGCTCCCACCCAAAGAGGTGCCAATCGGTGCAGAACAGAATCTGCAAAAGCCCAACCTGCATACAACAACAAGTCACGTCATGCAAAAAAAAAAAAAAAGAAACTCCTGCAATATAATATAATAAAATGGCGGTCACACAAGCAAAATACTAAAAGCAAATAAAAAAGGTGGAGATTTAAAATTAACTAAACAGAACAAGCTGTCTAAACAGACTAGCTCCTAGCAATATATGCTGTGTCAGATACTACTGATATTAGATTCTAGAAATATGAAATTCAAGAAAATTAAAAAAGCAACAATAAGAAGGCCAACAAAGTAATGGACATGAGAATGAAGATTTATCTGACAATAAAGATGTCAACATGTGAGCTAACGTAAAAAACTTAAAGAACATAGTTCCAAACATTTAGGAGTACAATATTAACCACTATTGACACAATCCTCAAATGATGATGACACCGAGTGGCATTTTTATACTGTGGGATAGGCATCTCAATGACTAGGTCAGAATAAAGAATCTGAGAGAGGTGGGCTAAGGGGGAAGATGAACCTGTATGTAGGTAATACTAGTAAATCAAAAGAAAATCTCTCCTCAAGGGCCCAAAAACTTTCTGATCTTTTGTATATAGGAGCACATATGAAAAGATAACATGCACAACCCATCTATATAAGCTCGGTTTAGTTGTATTTTCCTCCGTGGTTCAAGGATATCTAGAACCAAGTCCCTTAGTTAACATCGTATAGGGCAAACACGAAATGCAAGTTGTGAAAATACAGGTAATAAGAGAGATGAAGTACAAATGTGAAATACTGATTGACCTGTAGGTAACTCGTCTTATTTCCTAAATTATTACATTAGTGTACTTTCACTACGAAAACAACAGAGATTCCAGAAGAATTGAATGCCCAAAAACCAGAAACCAGAAAACAAATAGCATTACTTTCTTACCAAGACCAACAGCCTGGAACTTATGATTCTGAGAAATGTTTCTGTGCATCAGCTGCGTCAATGCAAAATAAAGTCCAGCTACATCTATGAATCCAATCAAAGCTTTGAGCAATTCCTAGTGAACCAAATGAATAAATTAAGTATTTGTAGCGAGAACAACCTGGACATGCATATATTTTCGGAAACAAAAACTCTAGATTTAGGCATCTAAAAGACATGCGGGGAACCACCTGATAGGGATCAAAGCTGTCATTCTCAGGTACTTTAAGAAATGTTGCCAGGCAAATAAGCTGCAGGTAAACTATGTTGAGGTTAGAATAGGTAAAGAATAATCACAAGAGTAGGAAGTGAAAATCTTAACTGGGACATTCAGAGGTGAAACTTACAACAATAATAATTTCATATATCATGAGCATAAAAATTAAGAATAAGCAAGTAAAATTAAAATTAAACATTTTATCCTTCTAGATGATTGAACAATAGTGTATCAGTTTAACCAAGAGTAAAGGACTAGAATAATCTACAACAAACAATAAAAAGACTCCCATGCAATAAATTTAATTAAGAATGTGCGAAGATATATGAAAATTTTTCCCCAAAAAATCCACATGTTTTCTACAAGTAAGGGTTTCTCCGAATAACTCAAAGACAGCCAAAGAGGTACCACACTTTTGTCAAAAAAAAGAGGAAATGAGAAAGAAGAACAAAGTAAAGGAGAAAAGGTGGAGATTGGCTAAAAGTTGAACTAAAATAAATCTTTTTTTTGTCATAATTTCCATATGCACTTAATCTGAAGAAAAGTAGACTGTTGAGATCTAAATTTTAAAAAGCTATTATATGACTGAGTTTCGTGGTAAACACGATTAGTTTCCTCTCCCTCTCTAGTATTTTTTGGTAGGTATCCAATACCACAAAGAATGTTAAATTAAGAATGAAATCATACAGCAAGATCATTAAAATTAGACTTAAGGAAATACTTCGATAATTTTTTTCACGTACAAAAAAGTCTACTGCAGTAAATTAAATTTACAAACCTTTACTAAAGTAGTTCCCAAATAAACTACAGCAGCTTTAACAGAAGTTCCAATTGTATCATATTCTGACCTGTACCAAGCACATGGAATGAGATATGATCTATGATATGCAGAAGCATGTGAAATTTTTATGATAAGTCACCTTTGGTTCTGATAACATAAAAATGGCAAAATCTCCATCAACAATGATTACAACAACAATCATCTAAAAATAACCATACAAAAACATGTCGATAATTGGACAAAAAGGTTCTGTAAAGTCAGCTAATAGTAAACTAGAATAAGTTAGGATCTGATGCAACCATCAACTTCAACAAAGATCATAAGCAGGTTGAAGTTGCACCTCTAGCCCCAACATCCACATGTACCCTTTCTTGTGACACAGATTTTTTAGAATTTAACTCTGTTATTTCTTGTCATCTATAACTTGACTCAACTCCCTGCTGCAACATTGTGCATAATGGTCATTTGTAGACATATTTAAACAACTTAAAATGACTTAGAACTGATCTTATGGACAAGAACATCTTCAAATAATGTTCTCTAGGCCTATCTATAGTATCTCCTTAGAACTCTTCCTCACATACAAGAACTAATATTGTGTACAGAATCTTACCTTGTGTCATATACTCAAACAAAATGTTATTACTAGATCCAACCTTGATAAATCTAAAATTAGATGGTTGTTCACAAAATATATTGTTCCGTTACCAATTTCAGTAACCTATCAGGCAGATATAGTGCTGGTATACATGATGGTATGTAGACCCGTATCATCCAGTACCACTCCATAAAATAATAAAAAATTAAAATGAATTAATATGTACCAGTATTGAGCTATATGTTTCAATACTGCAGCTTGACTGGACTAATAAATACCGACCTGCATGTATTAGCCCGACTGATATCTTAAATCTTAATTTCATGCATTCTATTTCTAGCAAGATGAAAAGTTAAATAATTTAAACAGCTAAACAAACGAAAGACTAAGATCTGTATTCCTTCAAACACAAACTAAGCAAAGATTACAAACTTTGAATATTTTCAACAAAGTTCAGCAAGTCAGAAAAAGGATGGCGCCTCGCACTAGGCTCCCGCCAACGAGCATTCTTCACTTCAAGTATGAACAGAAGGTTATACCCACAACTTACAGTCTCCCCCAGTCCTACCGACATTCCGTATCCCCAGAGGTGAAATAGAATTGTGTAGCACAAACATTAGCTTCCAAAAGACACTTAAACTTAACCGCAAACTCATCCATCGACCTCTTCGGATTTACCACATTGTTAAAATGCTAGTTCGACAAGCAAATCTAAACCTAAAGCAACGTTAGCGAATTCTCTTCTTCAAGGCTCACAAATAGCTCCATCGTCACAAAGAAACACCATGACAGGCCCCGACCTGAATCTCGCCAAATAATTTGCTAACTAGAACAAAGGTGAGAATCCCTAAGTTCGATGAGAACAAGGATCATTACCAAACTTACAAACAAATCGAAGCGAGCGAAACCTAGGGTTTCTGGAAGAAGCTCAGGATCGGATCTGAACACAAATTGCACTTCAATAATCCCACAGACGAGGAATCGGACGATAAATGTGGATCGGCGATGGAGATCAAAGGAACCGATGGTCAGAGAGGAGGAATCGGGGCTTACAGAGGAGTGGCGGAGTAGTAGACGGCGTGAGGACCGAACGTGAGGATGGCGCAATTGAAGAAGTGAAACACCGTCATCTTCCTCCCGACTCCTCCCCCTCCCCCTCGCTCCCGCTCTCGGTTCGTTCGCTAACAGCCTCCGCTGCTTTGTTCGACGGCGGTTGTTACGGAGACCACGAAGAAGACTCCTCTCCTTATTGGGGCACTTACGAAGACGACGTCTATTAATGGGCATCCTGATGATAGTACACAAGTCAATATTGGGCCTTACTTGTGGGCCGGATTACATATTATGAATGATCTAATGGGCTTTGTAGTACCTAAAAGCACAAAAGAAATATGTTTTTAATTAACAGCTAAAAATACATTTATGAAAAGGTTCTGAGGGTTTTATGAGTTCTCACTAAGATAGTTATTATATTTATTATAATTGATTAAGTCTGTAGAATTTTCTGCTCAAAATTTCTCGAAAAAGGATAGACTATTTCATCCCTTAATATTTTTTCTATCAGATGTATAATTTATATTGTTTAACACTTGCTATCATAGAGTAGCTGATTGATTCAGACCCAACACGAAGATATTTTAATTTTTTTATCAATATTATTATTAACTTGATTAGAGTTGTTTGACGATGTTTTTTTATAATTTAATAACTGATCTCTAAGTAGAGGCTACGATGAATATCGAGAATAATTATATGTATTATTCAACCATCAACGTGAGATCATATGTTAAAACTGTCAACGATACAACAACGAGAGTAAAAGATTTATCAATCATTAGTAATATATTGTTAGCCTAAGAGATCGCAAATGTGATAACGACCTTCTTATGTCTCACTATTAATTATTATAATAAAAAATTAAAATCATTAGATTAGACACAAATCATGATTTATATTCTTAACAACAATCATTAGATTAGACACAAATCGGCGCATCTTCAATTAGATGCCATGAATTTGTGCACCAATAATTGCCAATCTTATCCAATCACTTCACATTTTGATGTGTACCCCAATGCGATTTCTCGAGTCATAACAGGCGGACAGCAGCTCCACCCGTTCACGTACCCCAAGTTATCCCCACACACTCCGAGACACAGCATCAGGATCGCGTAGTCCAAACCGTGCAACGACGTCGTGTAACGCCGTCACCCTCGAGAGGGTATCGTTACCACCTACCGAATCGGTACGTGGCGGGGCGGAACCGTTTGATTGCAGCAGTGGAAGAAGAGCATGCATTATGTGGCCTCTCATTCGACCTAAACTTCACCTACCACCGGCAAACAGTGGCACAGGTGGCTTACGAAGGAATCCATATTGCAGTATTCCACGCAAAGGTGACAGGTTGCATGTCTGCAATTGCTTCCCTGTCGTTTCCTTCAAACAGTGTGATGGCATTTTTGCGTTAGAGATGAAAGTTTCACGTTTATTGTGGCCGAGGATTCTGACTTACAACTTGGATATTTCCATTATTTCACATGGTAAATGTCTTTTAAAGCATGCATATATCCTGTGAAAACACGCATAGAACTCGTCGTGGTTACGCATGAGAGTACTCCGCAAGCTTGACTTCAAACATTTATCGTGGACTATTGTTTTCTGCTGCTTCTTCTTCTTCTTCTTCCGCGGATTATACACTGTTAAATCCAGTGAATATTTTCCACGATTTTTATGCATACACACATCATCAAGATGGGGACAATTGCCGTAACATTCCCTCCCACCTTCGCACCTCCATTCAAGCGTCAGATGAATACGTTTCGGTCTCCATCACTCAACTCGACCATGAAAACTGACACGCATATAAGTCTTCTCTCATCAAACCTCCACAGTCCTCTCTCTCTATCTCTCTCTCTCTATTCTTTTACGTGCCGATCTTACAGTGGCTCTTACAGTATTCTCTCTATTCTTTTATGTTGCGTGCACATGTACCAAATGGCACTCAATGACCGACCACTTAATTTGCATTGTGATTCATGTGTCGGAAGACTGAAAGACGTTCAACCGTGTCCGAAAGCTCTTCGAATTCCACTTGATCTTTGTTTCCTTCTTCCTCTTTACCGTTGACCATATCGGCAAACCTCGAGCCTCGTTTGTTGACCACTTGTCGCGAAAGCATTCGACGGCTCGGTAAGTTCTCAAAGACTGGTCAACGGGTTGAAGCCTACACGTATTCCAGAAGCAGTCAAAGGAAAGTTGTAGCAGTTACTGTGCGGATTGCCGGGTTGCCGGTCCCACTCCACACTTGCGTCCGAACGCCTTCCGTGAGTCCGAAGTGATCTTCCTCCACGTGGCATGGCTTCGTCCCTTCCTTCCTCTTATTTATACACCCCCCGCCTCCGTCGTCGACCATTGATGGTATAGCTGCAATCTCTTTTACTTCTACAGCTCTTCATCTTTCGGCTTTCTTCGCACCAAAACTTCCTCCATATTCTCTCCCCTCTCTTTAATCCGACGGTCTTCTTTGGAGTTTATATTATTGGATCGACGATGATGAATCGAAAGGGAGGCACGGGAAGCCCGCAGCGCAGCTCCAAGCTGTTCGACCTGTTCAACGCCGACCCCATGATCCAGTCCGAGGACGAGCTCTGCACCGGCGCCGGTGCCGGCGGCGACACTGCCCCTTCCGCCGCCGTCAGCCCCGGGTACTCCTCCGACCGCAACCCAACCAGCACCGGGGCTTCGCCCTACAACCTGTCCCCGTGGAGCCCCGGGGCTGTCTCCCCCTTCGCCAAATCGCCGTGGGCCTACCTTCCCCTCCTGTCTGAGGAGGCGCTGGCTGACCCCGCCGCCACCGGCCTCGTTGGATCGCTCGTCCGCGAGGAGGGTCATGTCTACTCCCTCGCCGCCGCCGGGGACCTGCTCTACACTGGCTCCGAAAGCAGGAACATCCGCGTCTGGAAGGGACGTCGAGAGATGTCCGGGTTCAAGTCCAGCAGCGGCCTCGTCAAGGCTATTATAGTCGCAGGTGACAGGATCTTCACCGGCCACCAGGACGGGAAGATCCGGATATGGAAGACCTCGTCGACGAACCCGGCCGTCCCCAAGAGAGTGGGGACGCTCCCAAGGCTCAAGGACTTCTTGAAGAGCTCCATCAACCCGTCCAACTACGTCGAGGTGCGGCGGCACCACAAGACCGTGTGGCTTCGGCATTTCGACGCGGTTTCTTGTCTCAGCCTCGACGAAGAGGCCGGGATATTATACTCTGGGTCGTGGGATAAGACGGTGAAGGTGTGGAGGGTGTCGGACTCCAAGTGCCTAGAATCCATCACGGCGCATGACGACGCTGTCAACGCGGTGGCGACCGGGTTCGGCGGGTTTTTGTTCACGGGGTCGGCGGACGGGACGGTGAAGGTGTGGCGGAGGGAGGAAACGGGGAAGGGAGGACCCACCAGGCACGTGCTGGTGCAGACGCTGCTACGGCATGAGGCCGCGGTGACCTCGGTGGCGGTGGCGGAAGCGGCGGGGGCGGTGTACTGCGGTTCCTCGGACGGGGTGGTGAACTACTGGCGATGGGAAGGCTGGCGGCGCCAGCTGACGCACGGAGAAAGGCTCCGCGGGCACCGGATGCCGGTGCTCTGCCTCGCTGCGGCCGGGAGCCTGGTGGTCAGCGGGTCCGCGGACATGACCTTGTGCGTCTGGCGGAGGGAGGAGGCGGGCGGCTACGGGGCCCACGCGAAGCTGGCGGTGTTCGCGGGGCACGAGGGGCCCGTGAAATGCCTGGCGGTAAAGGCGGAAGACAACCACGCAGACGGAGCCTGCGGTGGGCCACGGTACGTGGTGTACAGCGGGAGCCTGGACAACTCGGTCAAGGTATGGCGGGTGTCGGAATGGGACACCGCGCGGGGAAAGACGCCGGAGCAGGGACCGGCAGAAGCGGAGCCGTCGTCTCTGCGCTCGAGAGGCGGCGGAGCAGGGGCGCCCGTGGCGCAGCGGCAGAGCTACGGTGCGGTTAGAAACCCGACGGTGGGCCACGACGTCAAGGGCGGGCCTCCGCCAGTGCGGGCGGCAGCATGAGCGCACTTGCGGACAGCGTGGCCTGCTTGATTTATGTACATCCCAATTCTACATAGCAAAGCATAAAAAATAAATGTTATTTTTTGTATTTGACGGTGTGCGTCTTCTCACAGACCAAAGTATACTGGAGATGACATGAAAAGCAGTGGTCTAACGAAGAAACAACAGTAAGAGACGCTTATTTTTATGTTTGGGTGTTGTAATTAAAATCACTTTTTATAAACAAAAGGGTACTATTATTTGTGTTAGTGCACCTAATACCGTGGGCGAGCCGCTCGTACGGTTTGGTCCGATCGTCGATGCCTTGGGTTGGGATCCTCGTAGGGTCAGATTAAACTTCTTGGTTGGGATATGATTTTACAATAAGTACGTTCGTTTTTGTCACCGTTAGATTACTGCACATTAGCATAGATCAAGATGAGGGGGGGGAGGGGCGTATTATTATTCTGGTGCCCGAGGGTTCGACTTCATCGATGACGAATTCACACATTTGGGTGATGTCGTCCGGTATGTGCGGAATGGCGCCATGTAACATCGTCCCGAGCTTTCTGAAGCGATTCTTGTAGGGACGATGCTGGGTTGTGTGGCCCCACGGAAGGGGAGCGACGTGGTAGGAAGTCGTATCCACACGGCAGAATCCACCGTATACTCTATCAACTTGATTTCTTATTTTTGATTCACCTCAAATAATATAACGTGCCACGTGTTAACGTAATACATAACCAGCACGTATTCCGACTACAACGGATCGTATTATTTACGTAGGCACGGGAAGAGAATCTGTGTCAGATTCATTTGCGACACGTCCTTGTCTTTCACTTAAGAGGGTCGGCATGTCATGGCCCAAGATTCCTTCCCTGTGAGAGCGGGCTACATGTATGGCTCGAGCATGCATACATCGCTCGATTCCGTTCAGAGGCCACAAGCAGTAGCGGCCAGCCGCCCATATCGGAGGGATGCGGACTCGTACACGTATAACTATCGGTGCAAGACACCGCCGACCCGACACCGTAACCGATGTGTGATGTGGACGTGGGATCACCGAAGCACCATGCACATATGCTGAGGACAGTACTAGCAGAGGACAAATATCACTCTGCAAGTCTTGTAGGGAGTGATAGCTGGAGGCCGTGACTTATTGTGAGAAGGCAATCTTATCATGGTTTCCATGATTACATGATGTGTAGGGAGCGATAGTTGGAGAACTTCACAGAATTCCTGTGGTAAACATTCTAAAATGACAGTTGACTGAGTGATTTTTGGTCAACACATTGAGGCAACATGACAAGAAGGCCCACCAAAAAGATGGAGTGAGTCCACAATAGAAGTGGCCATCTTTTGTGGGCCACATTCTGCCAAATGGACAAGCCCATGAAAACAAAATGATAGGGAACAAGAACAGACAGGGCATTTCTATATATGATCTTACCTCTGGGTCGATGGCTACCCGCAATACTATTTGGTAACGTAATTGGTTTTATGTGGACTCGACATTGGTAGCCAATAGAGAAGCAGGTGTGTGAGCGGGTGCGGGCGCAAAAGGACCGGAAGGTTAAAGGACTGAGTAGATAGGTTCCGACTTCCACGTTTGAAGGGCCAGGTCGACGCGGGCCCCATGTCTTTCGATCCGATCGCCTCCGTTTCCTCGACCGGCTTTAAATCTCCCGCCGGTGTCCACTTGGAGCCGTTCTCCAAGAAGAGTGCAGCAGAGATGGCGGAGGAGATGAGGAGCGGGTATCTCAGGATGAAGACGGATGACTACGCTTCTGTCGGCGGCGGCGGCGGCGACGACCTGATCCGGTCGGACCTGCAGGAGCTCGGCGTGGCCGGCAGGAAGCTCGCCAACCACGCCCTCATGGTCGTTGGCGGGTTGGGTTCCGGCACCACCTTCTTCAAGCTCCTCGCTACCTTCGCCGCCATGTCGGTACTCCTCGATTTCGTTTCTTTACTTTCCCCAAACCCTCTTCCTCCTTTTGCGTGATCGATTTCTATCGGTGATTTATCCGCGTCCTGCCCGCTGGTCTCGGCTCTCTTTTATTCTCTTGGATTTTTGTGGGTTTACAGTTGCTTTTGTGGTATCTGATTCTGATTCGGAGCATTATGATCTATTTTTTGTCCTTTGCGATCGCGGGCCCTTTTGATGGATGATGAAACGAAAAGTTTCAGTTTTTCCTCATTTTAAATTGGTAGATCTTCGAGCCCGTGCTGAATTCGACCTATTTCGTTCTCAGAATCGCCAGATTAGAAGTCTTATAGTACGCATAAGAACATTTTACTTTGACGAATTTATTTGATTCTAAATCTGGCGGCCATTCAAAGTTTGGTTCCTTTCTTGTGGTAAAAGTAATTAAACCTTTTCATGTGGGCTAAGCATTCTTCATTTGATACCATATCATATCTTACCAGGTAAAAAGATAGCGGCAGCCTCAAATACCAAGTAAATTTTGTCCTCTTATTTATATTGAAGTCAATCACTATATCGAAATAAAGAATAAATAAAGAAAATGCTATCCAATCATAGCTACAATTGAATCATTTACTGTAAACCCAGGACACCAACACAATAGTATCATCGATGAAATAAAATCTTCATAATTTGTTATGTTTAATCTGTGATTAGCCCCCCTTCCTGCTCTGGGAACTTTTATTTGTTTGATCCTTTCTCATGGAACTTATGTCAGTGAATTATGTAATTCTCTCAGCAACTTTGTTTATTCACCATGATGTCATGTGATTGCCACTGTTATTGCAAACTGCATGATCTATTCTGAGTTCTGGAAGTTTTGCAATATGACTTCTAACTAATGATGCATTTAGCTTAAATCACCTTTCATTTTTTGTTCTTTCTGCAGATATCTGTTGATACTGGATCGAACTAACTGGAGAACAAACATGTTGACTTCACTTCTAATTCCATACATCTTCTTGAGCTTGCCATCTGTGTTGTTTTCTTTGCTAAGGTGATTACTTCCTCTGTGTTCTTGTTTGGAAGTACCAGATTATGAAGGTAAATATTCATTGGATCAACCAATAATCTTGACAGGATGGTGTCTTTGTGCCATCATTACTAAATGGTAGATAGCACAAAAGTTTGGGTTTCCCCTTATGATGTTTAGGTAGTTTGGAGGATCCACATATCTGAATTGTTAATATGTATGACAGTCCATAATAAACTGCTGGGGAGAATATAAGGAATCAAATCAGTAGCTAGCATTACTGGTGAAAATTTTGCTAATTTATATAGCTCAACTCAGCACTTTAGGCAAAAAAAATTGTTGTATCAGATGACTTGGACATCTTGTTTTCTTAATTTTTCTTGGATCAAAAGGGACTTATATACATTTTATCTTATCCAGACATGTAGAAAAGGTTTTAGGTTGTTGTTATGGCAATTTCTAGTTTCTCTTCTCCATGATGTGTGTTTAAATGTCTTTGTAATGAATTGCAGAGGGGAATTTGGGAAATGGGTTGCATCGATTGCTGTCATTCTGCGCCTTTTCTTTCCTCGGCACTTCCCTGGTACTTAATCCAATATAATCTAGCTTGCTTTATCATGTTCCTAGTGTCAACTGATAAGATGTGGTATATCTATTAAATGCAATCTTTTGAATATGCTCCAGAGATAGTGTTTGATATCTCTTAACTTGTAATTCTGATAAATGATGCTAATGGCACGATACTACATATCTGCAGTGGTAAAATAGTTTACACTTCAAATTTCATATCAGTAAAATTGCTCAATTACCCTTATTTACCTACCAGGAATTAAGCAGATCTACTCTTTTCAACAAATCCTTGATAATTCATTTCAGCAAATCCATTATAAATTCTAGTTGCTTGTTTCTTCGAAAAATGATCCTGCATAAGAGTTTGACAGATACACAAACGTATCTATCTGACCCTTTTCTTCATCATGCTTTCCTTAGCTCTAAAGTTATCAAACTTCTTATTTTGGTTTTCAATTGCAAAGTATTATACCATGGTGTGATTATTATTTGGATTGATGTATTTTACCTTTTTCTGGTATATGCTTGCACGACGTTGTATGTGCCAAGAACAGTAAACATCACAATTTAACAACCAATATGAGAATAGGTGGCTTTGCCATTAATTGCTATGAAAAAGGATTTTTTCACAGAATTGCATGCTTAATTTATACAACAGCACACTTTCATCAAGGTACCATACGATGTTCTTGTCTGTGTACACTGAAAATTATATCGGCTGCTAATTGCCTGAATGTGAATTTATCGGTATAGGAACTTAAATGTCCAGGGTATTGCATTTTCCCATGAACATGAGTAAACTCTAAGCTTGCCTTCTGTCTTGCATGTGACTTTGCAGACTGGTTGGAGATGCCCGGAGCACTAATCCTCCTCCTGGTGGTTTCTCCTGGATTCTTTGCTTCCACAGTAAGAGACAGTCTCATTGGTGTTATCACATGTCTGGCTATCGGCTGTTACCTGCTTCATGAGCACATCCAGGCATCGGGTGGCTTCAGGAACTCATTCACAAAAAGCCATGGCGTTTCAAACAGCATAGGCATCATTCTTCTCCTGGTTTATCCTATCTGGCACCTATTCCTGCATTTCCTTTAGGTTCCCACTCTCGCCAGGGCTCCAAGAACAACACTATTGTGTGTTTGAGTGTGAGTTGGAGCCACTGGTGGCCTATGTATTTATTTGTTCACACATTCTGTTCTTGATGTGGTAAGACTTCATGTTCCTTCTACTCAAGCATTGATGAGTAATTTGTGATACAGACATTAATGTGGGAATAATCTCTATTATAAGACCTGAAGACTCCACTTAAAGCATTAAATATGTTGAGCTGAGAAGGTTTTCTTGTTCTAGATAGGCATTGATATAGTTACTCCTGTGTGCTACCTAAATGAATTCAAGTCATAAAAATAGCTCTTTTACCTGAAAGATTGATTCTCTCTCTAAACTGTACTGCTCTCAGCCAACTCTTTGCTGCAACAGTTCGTCCTTTGACCGCTGTTGCAACGTGGATTGTTGCTGGCCGTTGCTATGGGATCACATGCTTCTGATCGAACGTTCCCTGACCATAGAAAGTGGGCAACGAGGGGGACGCAGGACTCTCACCTTTTCCCCCCGTCGTTCGTTTCCACCACACTTACGACGGGAACCAGCAGTGGGTCCCAGATGGGCCCCGCGCTGTGCCGGAAGCGTCGCGAATTGGTGGCTCGAGCTGACGGTGGTCCACCCTGGTCAGCTGGCGGTGGGCGTCACGACACGTCGGATCGTGGTGGATGTGGGACCCACGTGGTCTTTGCCGGGCTCCGGAAGAGGGGGGATCGATTACCAAAGAGGACACGCCCACTTGGTGGGGAGCGGGCCCCGCCAGGCAGATGCAGATGAATGCCACGTGACGTGAGGTATCGAACGTGGGGTCGAAAATGAAGGAAGAAATCGAAACAAATTCCTCAATTTGAGATAACGAATCTATTAATTGGACGGACGAGATCGGATCATCAGATGACGTTTCGCCGCCTGATCATCCCGCGGTCGCGCCTCCCAACTACGACGTACGACAAAATGCCACGTCGCCGTGTACTGCATTACTAGCGAAGGAAAATAAGGAGAAAAGCCTCGGCACCTCCGCTCATCCAAAGCGTCGCCTCCCTCCCACCTCCGTCTTTGTGATCTGATTCTATTCGGGGAGCGGAACTGAAATAAGACGGAAGGTTTGTGGGAAGAGGAGAGGAGGAGGGGGGAGGAGGGGGGAGGAGGGGGAGGGGGAGGGTAGGGTAGGGTAAGATGAATGTTGGCGCCGGCGAAGGCAATCCATCTGATGCGCTTGAGCTCCTCTCCTCCGTCCGATGGATGAGACTCCGGGGTCCGTCGGTACCACCTCCAGCTTGTCCTTAAGGCTGGGGCAGGCTCTCTTCTCCTCCGCCTCCCTCCTCTTCATGTCCGTCGGCGTCGAGTTCTATAGCTACACCGCTTTCTGGTATTTTCCCTTCCCCTGCTATACCATCCAAATCCGGCGAACTTCGTGTCTTTGTGCCTTAATTTGTTCTATTTATATGCATAAAAATTCAAAATTTTACTCCGTTTGTGTCATAAAAATCGTTACTTTATCCCCCTTTTGTTGTTTAGTGATTTAATTTAATTGTTTGGGCGTTAATCGTCAGTTTGGATATCATCTGATCCTTTGTGTTTTCTTGTTCTGTTTGGGACCCTCAAAGTCTGTCTAATTAGTTCTTGTTGCCCCTCCATGTTCACCTATTTGCATTCTTGATGATTGACCCTACCATGATATATTCCTTTGGTCTTTCCAACCATAGTTAAGTTTGGATAAGATGGTAGCTCAACATGTGGGAAATACCGTCGTTGTTAGTTTTGATGCTGGCAATCTCACTATACAAGTTCACATGTCTAATGCCAGTGATCATGATGAATTATAGGTGTAAAGACATAAAGAATGTGCAAGTGGAACTCATTAGATGACTTATAAACCTGTAGATAATTTTCTAATGCTGTTTGGTTGGTTCCAATTCTTCCAGTAAGCTTACTGGTTGTGGCTCTCAACTTACAGATTAGATTATCCCTGCCACTGTAATCTTAACTTTAGTCATTGTCTTTTATACATCTCCTAATATTCAACTCTTCTTGGAATTAATATAAGAATGATGTTGAAAGCAATTTGATTTCTCATGTATATATATATAGAAGAATCAGTATCATTGACGTTCAAGTTTTAAGAGTTATTTTATGTCATCTGGCATATATGCCACTCTAAATTTTGTCCGTGATTCTCTAGAGTTTCACTTTGAGGTGTTGGAAAGGGTTTCTTTATATTGAAGAGAATAAAGTAATCCTAAGGCAAAAAGGACTCTAATACTAGAGGCACTAACGCAAGCATGTAAACTATAAGATGGCATATATTCCATTTCTTACTTCTGATAGTAAATATGCTATGATGTAAATTTTCTCAGTCTAGTTAAGCAAAAAACCTGTGTTTCATTTTTTGATGGAAGAAGAGAATCTCCAAAGGGTTATCCCCCAGAAATATTGGCAGTAAGCTGCCACAACCATGGTGTATCATCTTTAGTTACCTGATCGGTCTTTTAGTCTTAGGCACTTGTCAGTTGCTAATCAACAATTTGCAGATTCATCTATTTGAAAGTTTAAAATTGACATGGACCGCCACTTCAAAAGTATTTGAAATTGGCAACAAGGGTGAAGAAGCTAGTGACCAAGTTGCAAGAACATGGGCAAAGCAATCAAGACACAAAATTGTAAAAAAGAAAACAGGAGCGAAGAATTTGTCACTCGTTCTTTGTCAGTCATTCTTTGATAAGTTTCCTATCATTTTCTTGCCAATTCTATTATAGTTCACGATCTTGTAAGACAAATACAACAATCAACGTTAGAGTCTTCTTTCTTTTGCATGAACAGTTCCTGTAACTATATGTTTTACAAACTACTTTGCATGCATCACTGGATTTTGTACTAGATGATAGATGTTAATCCTTTTTAGTGCTTGCATTGGTAGGAGAATTGTGTACTGGGCTTGCCCTGTAATTTTACTGGAAGATGAACAATCTCTTTTATCTTCATAATACTGTAAATTATGAGTCAATTTCACTTGTGTTTTCCACTTAACAGCTTTCTAGTCACAATAATGGGATTGGTAATTCCTTGGAGCTGTACGCTGGCGATGGTAGATGTGTACTGTATTTTTGTTGGTTGCTCTCTACGACTTCCTGGACTAATGGTGATCGTTGTTGTTGGAGATATGGCATGTATCTGTAATCTAATACTGCACTTTGCTCCAAGTCCTCATTTGCTTTTATTGATCATACACCATGCATAATGTCAGGTACTGTCGATACTGTCGCTTGCGGCTGCTTGTGCATCTGCTGGTGTTATAGATCTTCTCTTCCACCTTGATGGAAGCTACTGCCCTCCAAAATTTTGTGGACGATACCAGCTATCAACTTCGATGGCATTCTTATCTTGGTTTCTGACTGCCTCATCATCTCTCTTCAACTTGTGGCATGTTGCTTCCTGGTGATGTGATCTAAGCTATTCTAGCCTGTAGAGAATGGAGAATAATATTCTCAAGACCCATAGAATTCTTACTAAACTGTATTTAATAGTCCTCTTTGTTGGATAAGTCCATGTAATTTATGGAATCTGAGCATACTTGTATGGTCGGTCATATTCGATTGTAACCTCGACTCGACTTGACGAAATTGATTTTACCTGGTTTGTTTTTCTGGGGATTGTCATATCTGAAAGAGAAGAGATCTTTGAGTACTGTTCTCTCCGAAAAAGAAGAGATAATTAAATATTAGAAACTTAGATGAGAGAAATTTTCTTGAATGTGAAAGAATGCCTTGCCTGCATATCATATTCTCTAGTCTCATATCCTAAGCTAGTCCAAGGACAGAAGATGTTTGTATCTCATATCCTTATTCTCGCTAATGATTCAAGTTAATATGCATTTGCAAGTGCCAAAGATCCGCAAGCATTTGTTGTTTCAAATGAAAAAAATATCTGTGGAGGTCATATTATATAATGCCATTGTTGTAATTGTCAATTTAATGATATATTCTAAGTGAAACCTAACTTAATTCTTTGTATGTATGAAAAAACATACCATATTTAAACAAAAAACAAAAATAGGAGGGGAATACTTAAGACGAGACTAAAAAGCAAAAGAAATAAAATTAATATTCTCCAAAGAAATATAATTATTTTCTAACGAAGAAAGAGGATTTTTAATGGATTTTTGACTTATTGAAATAATGGTATTTATGCTACTATAGAACTGAAAACAAAATACTATAATATAAATAAATAAAAGAGGGGAAAAAGATAAATAACATAAAATAAAATAAGAAACAACTACTAAAAGTTTCCATTGCCGGGATTTGAACCCGGGTCGCCTGGGTGAAAGCCAGGTATCCTAACCGGACTAGACGACAATGGAATTGTTTGAGATTTCTCGCTAGTAAATTCTAATAAGCCTTAATAGGGTAGGGACAGAACGCAAACCTATCGAGGGCGTGACTCCGTCTGCTTCCATAGGGATCAGGTTGCCTTCTTTCCAATCTTATTCCTCAATAGAGTGCATGGGGTTGCACCGTTCCCCCATTCATGGCGAAAGAACAGAGTCTGCCTGCATAAACTCTCTCTCTAAATTGAAGAAGCCATTTGCTAAGGAAAACTTGTCACGAGAAAAAAAAATTCTTGATTTTGATCAAACAAGAGGTGATATAAGTTAGCTCTTTTGCTCAGCCACATGATGGAGCAAACATGGGTCCTTCTTCGTCTTCTTCTTTGAGGCATCTGCAAGCTCCATTACCAGCAAAGCATTGATTGTGTCAGTTAAGCCCAAACGAGAAGGCAGTGTTTGGTGGTGGGTACCAAATCTGTACCATTGTGGTCTTCTTGTGTTCAGTTCCTCTGCCACAGCAGTCTTTGTCTCTCTCCTGCAGAAACCAGAGAAGTCGTGTATGATTCCAGTAACATGCAGCGCGAAGGCATGAGATTTATTTAAAGGTAGAAGGTTCCACCTGGGGCTGATGATGATGGCTGCTTTCGTTTCCTCATGCTACGAAATTTCAGATTTGAATCAAAAGAGAAAGAAAAAAAAAAAGAATTAATTACTCATGATAAACCCCACCTGTTCCCTCTTGCTCACCTTTAATTTGGGGGTCTAAGGAGCTCCATGGATTGAGATGAGAGGGCTGGGGGATACTGCTGAACGATGAGTACATTTCAAGCGAGCTGCATGAGTAGGGTCACAAGACTGATGAAGCAGGTGAGTGCAGCTCCTTTGGCATGCCATGAACAAAAGTATGCATGTCTGATGCCGGAAGATGATGGCTCGGAAACATCTCTGAGGGGGAAAGCATCGACACCCGCATTTGCTAAAGCTAAAGGTGTCGTCTTTTCCACGCCTTGGATCTGAAGAATGATTTGAGGAAGCCATCATTTCTGTCTCCTGATTCCATCCATCCCCTGTTGTCTCCATTCGCACTCAGCATTGGACCTCGCTTCCGGATCATCAGAGTCCCCTGGAGGAGACGGAGAGGAGCTGAGGTAAGTGGATCTCTATGGCGCTGTTGATGCTCTCTCTCTTTCTCTCTGTCATTTTCTTGGATTCCTCTTTCCTATGCTTCGTCGTGCTTTGTCTCTGAAGCTCCGGGCCAGTGTTCTTCCTAGGAAAGTTGAGAAGAAGGATTCTTGTTGGGACCTGCAAGATTGAGCTTTGTTTCCTGAAGAACGTAGCAAGCATCAGAAATGGCAGATTTCACAGTTCGAAGGCTTCAACAGGGTCACACGAGGATCAAAACTGTTCCTATTGCGGTAACCCCGGAAGGGTTCTGGTGTTGCCCCTCCCCTGCAGCCATCGAGAAGAACCTCAAGAACCGAAACCATCAAGACAAGAGGAAAACAGCTTCTCCGCCGAACTCCAAGGCCTCGTCGATTCAGAGATCGTCACTGCCCCCCGTGGACAAAAGATTAGTCTCGGCTCCGCTGAGGTCTAAGCTTGCTGATGATGACCACAGCCATCTTAACTCTGCAACCGCCGCTTCGATCTCCTCGAACTCCGTCGATCGACCACAAATGCAGAGCATCGAGACTAAGCAACGTAAGATATACGCTTCCTTCGGTCGGCCAGAGACCAGCGACATGAAAGTTACTCTGCATGGAAAGGAAGGTTCCTCCATGAGGATGAGTGTTCACAGGAACATTCTCGCAGAGCACAGCAGCTTCTTTGCAGATAAGCTCTCGAGGCTGTCTCCCGCATCACAAGTCGAAATAGCAGACTGCGAAGACGTTGAGATCTTCCTCGAGGTCGTGGGATTAATGTACTGTGAAGAAATCAAATGCAGATTGATCAAGCGAAGCCTTTCACGCGTCCTTCGAATTCTGAAGGTACGAAACGTATGATGCCATTCATTACATACCTCTTGCTTGTGAGTTCTTCATCCTGTTCGTTCTCGTTCTGCAACTATGATTGTTCCTGAGATCCCAGAACTCGTTTTACAGGTTGCTGAATCACTTGGCTTCCATGCATGCATCGAGTCGTGCCTGGATTACCTGGAAGCAGTGCCTTGGGTGGAAGAAGAAGAAGAACAAAACGTGATCTCATCAGTCCGACACCTTCGGGATGATAGTTATGGCGTCGGTCCAATACTAAACAGAGTAGCTTCTGATCCATCCAACCCACCGACCGATACGCTCGCCCAAATAATGGATCTCGTCCTCGGAAGCAGTGAGGATCGCGGCCGGCGCGAGATGAAATCCCTGGTGTTGAATCTTCTGAAGGAAAGTGATCGTGATGGATCTGTCGGCATCTGCACTGAAACTTTGTACGGTTCATGCCGGCATTGCTTGGAGTCACTGTTGAATCTGTTCAGATGTGCATCCGAGCCTGGGTTTTCGCATGAGCCTTTGGGAAGCAGAGATCGAGTGGTGCGGCGGATATCTCTCGAGGTAGATAATCTGCTCTGGTTGGTTGAGATTTTAGCAGTCAGGCATGCAGCAGATGAGTTCGCATCGATATGGGCGAGCCAAGATGAGCTCGCAGAGCTGCACTCGAAGCTGCCAACCATGGCGCGTCACCAGGTGAGCTGCGTGACCTCCAGGCTCTTCGTCGCCATCGGGAACCGGGAGATGCTTCCTTCGAAGGAGACCCGCAAGCTGCTGCTACGTGTTTGGTTGCAGCCACTGATCGATGACTATGGCTGGTTGCGGCGCGGTAGCAGCCGGTCGTTCGACCGGCACGCCGTGGAAGAAGGAATTGACCGAACGATTACGACGCTTCCCTTGGAGGAGCAGCAGAGCGTTCTGCTGTCCTGGTTGAGGAGCTTCTTGAAGGTCGGCGACGACTGCCCTAATCTTCGGGGAGCTTTTGAGGTCTGGTGGAGGAGGACATTCACGATGCCTTATGTCGAACACCTTGAAGGCAGTTTTCGATCCGAGAAAGCCGGAGGCGGAAGAGGTTGTTTAGGTTTAGATGCATGATTGAAGCTTAAGTCACATGTGTGTGTGTGTGTGTGTGGAGAATGTGATCCGAGTGTGTGTTATCGATCATGTTTGATTAGTGTCTGAATTGTTCATCGATCTATATAGAATCGAACTTATTTAATCTGACTCCGAAGTATGGAGAAATTGAATCCTTACGATCATTTCGACAATCGAACTGATTTAATCTCCCGACTCGAAAGTGTCGATTAATTGAATCGTTATTTACGACGACTCGTGAAAGTCTTACGATCATTTCGACACTCAAGTTAGTGAGAGATTCATCGTATCGTGATACGATGAACATTCTATCTATATAATATAATGATGAAAAAAATATTTATAAAATAAATTTGATTTGATGGTGATTTAAATAACTAATTAGAAGCAATGATATGTATGAGCATCAACTACATAAAATTGGAATTACTATTGCACAACATGAACATCCATGGCCTAGTCATAGATTTGGGACCTCATAAAGGACATGTGGATGGTAGCATGGGGTCATGTGAATGGAGACCAAAATGCATGGGTTGGTAAATGATGTAATTAATATGGATCTTTGTGCTTTAATGTGACATGACATGGACATGCATTTTTGGCCATGAGATTCCAATCCACACCATCATGATAGAGGAAGAAAATGACAAGATGTTAAAGTAGGCACTCTCAAATTGGGAGTTGGTGTTCTCTAATGATCTTTCATTGAAGCATCTATCTTCTCTCCCAAGTCACTTAATTCTGGTGAAAGGTTCCTATCAAGTTGTTATTGAGCCATCAAATATATTGCCCAAATTAAAGCATCAATAGGGTTTAATTGGAGGTTCCTTCACCCCTTTTCATTTCCATGATAGGGAAGTAATGACATCATGATTGATTGCTTTGACTTAAGCCAACCAAAATGCATATTAGTGCTTATTATAAGGGAAAAGAAAAATAAAAATAAATAGGAAATTATAAGTAATGGCTTCAATTTTGCTTTCTTAAATTTAATATTTTTGAGATATATTTTTTTAATCGAGTGTACTCGATAATCTAAAAATATCATAATAAAACTAAAATTAAAATATAATAAATAATTATTGATGCCTTTCCTTCCTACATTATTTCTTATATTTTTTCCTCTTGAGACACATTAGAACCAAAAATTCATTACATTGTAGTATATGATTCCATTATTTCATCATTAATATGCAATCTTAGTTATATATGGCTTCTTAAGTAATCTACATTTGACTAAGAAAGGCTTAAGTAATCTACACTTCCTCAGGAAAGGAGGGAAGAAGGTCATGGTGACATGGAACGGAAGAGGTGAAGTTTCGGGTCGGATCGGGTGGGGTTGGTCGATCATGGTGGATCCGGGTCGGATCAGGAGTCGTCGATGGGGATCGCGGTGCGGAGGAGGAGGTCATAGGGCGCCCAGATGGCGTCCACCGGGCACGGGCGCCCGCCGTCGAGGCGCGCCCACGGCTTGCCCTTGCCACTCCAATGCAGCAGGCTCACCGGCCCCGGGTGGAGGTCGCGGCACAGCCCCCAGTAGTTGTCGCCGCCGAGGCCGTGCTGGTTCCACCGGTGCTCCACCGCCGCGATCCGACCCGCGAACACCAGCAGGAACGGTGGCAGTGAGCCCAGCTCGTAGATCCTCATCCGCTTCTGGAGATCCATCCATTCCTCGATCCGCTCCGTGTACCCGCCGTCGCGCCACCGGCCGAGCTCCATGACCATGACGCCGGTGTTGAAGTAGCAGGCCCGCCGGGCCTCGAAGGCCACGGAGAGCGCCGGGTTGGCCCAGAAGGTGGGCGTGAAGTAGGAGGTGAAGTTGGCGTTGCAGTACTCGGGAGCCGCGAGCGCGACGCCGTCGGGGATCGGGGTGGATGCCAGGCCGGCGATGTCGTCGACGAGGACGAGGTCGGAATCGAGGTAGACGACCCGGCGGACGCACTGCGGGATGAGGCGGGGGAGGTAGGAGCGTGCGTAGTTGAGGGGCCGGTCGAGTGCCGCCCGGACGGAGGTGGAGATGAGCCCCGCGACGGTCGGTTCGTCGGCGAAGGGGTGGATCTGGAATGCGAGGGAGGGGAAGGACCCTGCGACGGTCGCGCTGAGGTAGCCCGCGGCGGAGGTGGCCACGAAGTGGAAGAAGATCGACTGGGGACAGGCGGTGTGCTGGAGGACAGAGAGGACGGCCGCCATGGAGCCGCGTAGGTAGGTGACGTCGAGGGTCATGGCGACGTGCACCAGCGCGTCAGGGGAGCAGGCCGAGTCGGGCCCCGGAGGCAGGGGCGCCGGGCACGAAGGTGCGTTGTAGAACAGAGGCGCCTCGCGGAACCTGGACGTGCCCGTGGCGGGGCCATCGCGCTGTCCGGCGGCTGGCGACGACGAGGACAGGATGGCGAGCAGGAGCAGAAGGGTGGAGGCGAGCAGCAACGGAGGCATTTGGAAGCGGGAAGTCACACTGCGGGAGAGAACCACGGGAAGATTTATTATGCTTTGAGAAGTGGGACTGTGATGGAACGAACGGTCCTGATCTAACGCGGTGGGCAGCCAAAGCCTATAAACCAAACCAAAGACGGACTACCTTCATTTTTACCCGTATACTCTACCTGTCTCCTCAAGTGGGCACCATATCGGCGAGGATGCTATAAGCCAATAGCAAGTCCAGTAGTTAGTGCGGGTTTAGGACTTAGTCTTTCTAGAATTACTCCCATGAAGCCCATGCTTGGAGAACACCAAGGAATGGCTCCCACGAAGAAGAAGAAGAAGAATTCAAGTGGACTTAATTGTAGCATTCTTTCTTTTAACATGCAAACTGCTATATACTTTGTTGCGGTGGGATCAACTCGACTAAGTGGCCATATTTCTACATGTCTCTGTCTCTTAAATTTGCTGGAGGTAGCTGCACCATCACCATCAGTATCATCATCATCATATAACCCTTTCCTCTTCCTCCTCACCTTTGCTTAGAATTGTTAGTCTAAGCTGCAGTTGTTGATGTGTGAGGGACAGAAGGGTTGGTGTGGATGAGTTGCTTTACATGGGGGAAACCTCTGCAAGATAGCCTAGTTCTCACCAACTCTGTTGTTGCTTCAGGTGTGGAGTTCATGTTGGTACTCAACCAGTGATGTGGCCTGTTAGCTCATCAACTCTGGTTACATACATCAGTAGAGATTGTTCTTCAGTAGAAGCAGAGAGCCTAAGAAGACCAACATCTAATCCTGTGGGATAACAAGAATCCTTCAAAGCTATGCCTGTTGTATCCAGAAAGTGGATCTTCGTGGAGGAGGCATGTCAATGGCACTTAATGGAGCTTGGCTTGTAGGCATGTCAATGGCAGTCAATGACCACAGTACACAAAGCTGCAATGACCATATTTATGTGGGTGTCAGAGATGGGAAAAGCTTCAACAAGAAGTGAGGATCAAGTAAAAGTTGCACTGGTGAACATTTTCTCACATCCAGTACAAAAACATGATCAGAGTTCTCATGTTATGCTGTCAATGCTGACATAAGTTTTCCTCAGTTTGTGTTGCAGAATGACTTCAAGCAGTTCCAAAGCCATAGTTTCTTTCTGCAACTAAGTTGACAGGATGGCTCCATTATTTGGATCTCAACCTCTCAGGGTTCAAACTTGGCAACTGTAATGATACTGTTTCCTCTTATTTTCCACTCTGCCCATGCCCTATCACTGTTCCAGAAATTAGGGATGAGTTGTGATGGTCACCATCCATCACACAAGCCTTCCACCACCAGAATGTGGCACTGAGTTATTGATGACTGATGTGATAGTGTGAAGGAAATTGACCTTCCCTGTTACTTCAGAGCTGTGCTGAAACAGGTTATGAGCTACAAAAGTTGCAACACAAGTTTGAAAGATAGATTTTGAGAGCTATTGAGAAACAATGGACAATCATAAATGAGTTTGTACTAGGTAATCAAAGCTACAAAACAGTCAAGTAAATGCTTGTCAGAGAAAAAGTGATCACGTTTGCCTTGGGAACTGTAACAGGTCATGTCAGTGGCAAAACACTTCATGCATCATCATTGTGAAGCCCTCCATATGAATGAGAAAAAGATCATAATAATTTCAGTATTACTTTCTAATCAAGCAAATTAACTTAGATTGTCTTCCATGCACCAGAAATTATCAATTACAAGGTAATGGAAACATAATAAACTGTCAAATTATATTAATCTGTTAATGTTGCTATGAAACAAGAGAGAACTTCTCTGTGCTCTTCTTGAGTTGGTTGATTATGTGGCAAGATTCATGCATCATCAATTCAATCCATATTGTAGATATATTCTTCATAGGCATTAATCCGAGAAATGCTTCATCTGCAACAAAGAATTATGTAGCACCCACGAATTAGTCTACTAACATATATGCTGCCCCATCATTACAGTTGATTGCAAGAATCACTGTTCCATCCAATAAACTCTCTTATCAACTAATAAAATCTAAGAAATTGGAAGACTAACAAAAAAAACAAAGGCAACGTAAGATTCTTAAGTCCAACAAAGATTGTACCTGAGACAACGCTCGTTGTCTATTTCTCAGCATCGTCCTTTCCTTTGGATCAGCAGATGTTAGCACAAATATCTGTATGCACAAGACAATTTAGGGAATATAAAGGTAAAATAGCACTGAACATAAATGTCATTGGACAGAAAAAGAATAGTGAATATAAATATTAAATGACATGAATTTCTACAACAGTCTCACCTTTTCAACTCGACGATTTCCTTGAATTACTTCTACGAACTTAAATATATCATGAAGTCGCTCGTTGTCCTGTACATAACATAAAGCTCACTAATAGTAGTTCTCTAATATATTAAGCAAGAGGTAACTTACTTTCATATGGAAAGTAAATAAAATAAAATAAAATAAAATGGACATCCAATATTACTGACCTTCATGTGCTTTGAAAAGCCACTTTGAAGGAAGTGCTTAATGTGCCTCACCTGCAAAACCAAATGCATCAGCAAATACTTGAGAAAGTGAACCAATTTCCCAAAGTGGAGTAGAAAGAACACGAGAACTCCAACCTGTATCATTTGACTCCACTTTGACACCTTTAAAATCACATCTTGACTAGAAGTCTTCATTATAACTTCATCAAATACACCAGTCTGGAATGAAATATTATTTCAATAGAAGTATCTCATGCATATCAACTGTAAGTAAACATGTAGAAAAGAAAAAAGACAACTACCTCAAAGTACTGCAGGATGTTTTGCAAGAATTCTTTATCATGGATTATATCCTCACACTCATAAAGCTTCTTGACTTCCGCACATAACTTGCATTTTAGTGATTCAACAGAAGTAGCACATGCTTCTTTGGAAAAATTATTTATTCTATCTATTTCAGAAATAAGGGCCACAGCTTCAGCAACAGCCACACAAAGAGAATGCTGATCTTTTTCCAATAAAATCGAAAGGAACAAAATAGACCTGCATCAAAGTATAATCAAACAAATTTAAAGAAAGAATAAACATAACAAAAATAAATTGATTGGATTCTGTATACCCCTTCCAATACTCCGAATGTATCCTCCACCCATCAATGGCTGAGAGGAGAAATGACCATGCAGATAATGCTGCTGCTAACACAGTGTGGGTAGAATCTGCAGAATTGCATGTCTCCCATATATATTTCATTGAAAGCTGCACCTCATCTGGATTACTTGCACCAACAAAGGTGACAATAGCCAGACATTGTAACACCTACCCAAATTACAATTATTAGTATCAGTAAGCTCAATCAAGCAAAAGCTGATAGTCAAATATTAGCATACATACCAGTATTTTGAATGCATTGGAGCCAGATTTGAAAGCTTCACAAAGTTGTGGAACTGATTCTTTCATTATCTCATGTGCAGCATTGCCATTGTCAACAGTGAGAGCCAGTAATCCTTCATACGCAAGAAATGGGTAGCTAGTGTCATGTTGTCGATCAAGCATTAAGTAAATATTATTTGAAAGAGATTGATACTAACCAATGACACGGCAAGCTAAATAAGCTTCAGTTGTGGGACCCTTTGTCATTAATTTTAAACATCGATATGTTAACGTTATATATCTACAAGGCAGAGACAAATCATCAAAAAATCACAAGTTGGAAGAACAAATTTCTAATAGTATCAGTCTATCAGATAATGCTACAGATCAGAAACTTAGGCAGAGTGCGGACATCTAAACATAAAGTATGTACAATTGGGCATATGAAGCATAAATTTACAAAATGTTATAATCTCATTGAAAGAACAAGCACCAGTAATCATGCAAATTACACAATATTTCAGAGACATATCTATAAAATAGAAAAGTCACAACAAAAATTTGAAAAGTACTTAGATTGCATGTCTCACGATAGCCTCCACTTAAGATGTAAAAAAAACGAGTAAAAGGACATTGAAAACCAGGTCCATAAGAACGGCATTCTGAAAAATAAAGAAATTATTCATTTCTAAACTCTCGAATGGTAATATATTATTAGCTTTTACACAAGGTTTATGCGAACCATTACTGCAAGTAATCTTTTTAACATAATAAACTACAGAAAAATTGTTTAATAATAATACCAATTAACTTCAGCTAATTATAAAATTTTAACTTACCTGCTTTGAACAAACTCATTCAGCACATGCTTTTCAAACTCCACAATAAGCTTTTGCAAAGCTTCCTCTCCTATAGATTTCCTCCATAAAGACAAAAGAGAAAATTTATAAGTTTGGGACTTCGTAACAATAAAATGATTATAATAGTTTAATCTTTGCCATAGAAATCATAGCAATCATGCAGAATTAGTATATAGACTACTGATATCAACAAAGCTAAGTACAGATCAGGTATGACGAATATGAATATCACAAGCATGAAATCTATGCTTCATAAGTGTGAAGGATGATTTTATGAAAATAAGCCTCTTCTTGATTCGGGATGGTCAGAAACAAGAATTGGATAGAGCAACAGTTTATTCTGAGTGTAAACAGAGGAAGATATGAGACAAGGGAATCAATATCGTTATCGAATTATAGATTACCTCTTATGGCATAAATCTTCTAAGTAATTCTCACATTGTAACAAATTGGTCGAGGAATTGTGATCAGCAACATAACCAGATGGAGCTGTTGAGGAAGCACCACCGAACTCTTCGCTATATGTGAGCTCATTACGTTCTGAATTAAAGCAAAAAAATAGAAGCAGCCATAAGAAATACTAATAAAACAATAACACGGGAGGAAAGAAGGGGAAAAAACATACTCACCAAGCCTGGATTGATCTTTGTTGAAGAAGTCCTTCTGTCTTTTCAAAGCATTGCTCTTTAAACCCAATCTGCCTGTTGGGAAATATCTTTATATGGAGGATGCTACAAGATACCGTAAGCAAAATTGAAGAAGTAGCTGGAATTCATCTTACTCTTGCCCATGATGCTGTGGGCTATGAGAAACTGTGATGCTTTAGGCTGAGACCTGCAAGGCTTGGTTTCATATCCATTTATACAAGATGGAGGCGGTTCGGCTTATATGTTATAATCAGCATATTTCTTTATTATTTCCTAAATAAATTATCCCTTAATTACTAATATGTCATATCCCAGCATAATTTGTTTTCTAATGAGTGTTCTATAGAATGGAAATAAAAATTTTCAGACATCAAGATTATTCCTTATTTTAAAAAACAATAATGGAACAGTATGTTAATTAAATACTATTTACGAAATTAAAATTAGGATTTATACCATATATGACATCTTTCCTCCTCTCCTATTGAAAAGGATTCAAGCTATGTTTTAATTAATACATTTTTTATGAAATCTAGAATTTTTATAAAATTTGAGATACATGATCATTTTTATATTTTAATTGATAAAAGGATTTGTAGGCATTAAGATCCTAGGATTAATATGATTAATGTAAAATGAATAATTTCTTAGTGGTTGATGGGGCCTAATACGATGCTCTAATGCATAAAATTGAGACACTGAAACTGTATATTACATGTTCATGTATTGTTCCTCGCATTTCTACGACCCTCCTTGATTGCCAATGTATCACACTATAAAATTGATATGTTCTTAATGAACTTGTACCCTGTAACCAGACAATCATCATCCTCATCCCTTAAGATGTATTTTATCCATCCTACATATGGTTTTCATACTTGTACCCGTAATCATACAATCGTCATCTTCATCCCTTAAGATGTATTTTATCCATCCTACATATGGTTTTCATCATTTAATCATGATATGATTGTAAGGTCTAATCCCTTCATATTTATAAGAATGTTAGTGGTAAATAGACCCTTTCCATTTACTTTCATCTACATAGTATAAGGATAAAGATATATCTCAGTGGAAATAGAGGCAAGGTACAGACGTCAAAATATCAATGAACTACAGAACATGCAAAAGAACCACATTAACCAACTTTGCTCCCAAAAAGATGTCATGCATGTAGTTCATTGCTTGCTGCTCCACTAACTGGCGCTGCCATCACCCTCCTTCACTGCCATTGCTTGATGCTCTCAAGAGGAGGCCCAAAAATTGTCATCCCAGAGGCCACAACAATCCTATAAACAATATGCCAATCCAGAAGTAATAAATAAATGAGCCTGTTCGATACATAATAGTTACTTTGTAGGTATATTTCATGCTATATTTCTTGTAGCTCTTCGGTGACAGCGAAGTCCCATGTGATAAATGAATTAGGTTTATAAAAGCATGTAATCAAGTTCAAATTTACAGTCAATAATTTAAAGTACAGAGTTTGAACAGTTGCACTATGTTCCAACTGATGAACAAATCATTGGAAAAGCTATTGCAATGCAGTAATATGATTGAAGATAATACAACAGAAGCTCCCACATTATGCAATAACAGATCACGTCTCTTTATTGGCTCGAAAGCCATCAAATTAGTTCTTCATAGCTTCATTTCATTGTATCAATTTATTTCATTATCTATATGCTCCACATTCAAATTAGCCTACTGGAAAATGCATGGTTGGAATAGATAGGTTCATCAAACTAGAAAGAATGGTTATGGTTTTCTTGTCCAAAATAACTCTTACGTGAAGTAGAAGGCACAACAAACTCCAAATCAACGAGAATTGGCATGTGTTGCATAAAGATGTTTCCAAAGTAGAGCATCCGACGGTTACGATTCACGGATCAACACAACTAAGTCGAACTGCAAAGAATCTAAGATCCGCCGTCCAATCATAGATGGACGGCAGATCTGCATCAGGAAAGAGAGCGGCGTACCTCCGGTTCCCAAAAAGACCAGAACCCTCGCCGCCTTCCCTCACTCGTCTTGCTCCTCCTCCTCCGGCGACGACGGCTGCGCTTCCTCCTCCTCCTCCTCTGCCGCTGCATCTCCGTATCCACCGCCCATCTCGCAGATTCTCTCCCAGATGCCCTCGGGCACGGGCACCACCGACAGTCGCGGCTGCTTCAGAAGCGCGAACCCCTTCATGGCCTTAGCCTCCGCCTCCGCCTTGATCTCCCGTAGCTCGACGGGCTTCCGCATCTCCCCCAGAGACCGAACGTCCACCGCGCCGTCTTCACCTCCGGCGGCGATAGTGTACCAGGGTTTGACGACCTCGACGACGCCCACGACGCGGCGGGCGGCGGCGCCGGAGTGGTAGAAGAAGCAGCGGTCGCCCGCCCGCATGGCCTTCATGTGGTTGACAGCCTGTCGGTTTCGGACGCCGTCCCAGGTCGAAACGCCGCCGTTGGACCGCTGGTCCTCCCACGACCACTCCTCCGGCTCCGTCTTCAGCAGCCAGTACATCCGCCGCCGCTTCCCCATCGCCTCCGCCCCTCCTCTCGAGTTCCGGAATCTCAAGGGCCGGTGAGGGGATAGTGCTGCCCCGATCCAACCGACTCTTTCGCGCGTACTTATCAGCCCCCTGAGTGGTATTAGATGAGGTAGTCCAAGGGGTCCCATGATAGCTTCCAGTGCTAGGCCAGGTATGCCAGCGTACTTATGCACAAGTAAGAAAAGTACTACTCTATGATCATTTGGCGGGAAAGTTGCTGTGCTCGGCCCATTGAAGCCCAATACGTACACCGCTAACAAAACTCATGACTTAAGTCGTGAGTCACACAAGCACTGAGTGGGTATTCCTTCCCGAGGGTTAAGCCACGCCAAGATGTATTTTCCTCGAGAATATTATTACTTATTAGGGCTTGGATATAGGAGGAGTAGGAAAATTAAGAATTAATAAATCTTTAGAGGTATTTTTGGAACTTATGAGCTTGAAATAGGCAAAATCAAGATGGATATACCTTCTTTCAAAACGAATAATTTTTTACGAGCCTATAGATCACATCAATGATCAATCGATCAAATATTTTTTTCTCAGATTAGTATTAGAAGAAAGGTCCTGGATCCCTGGAGTACTGATAAAAATATTTAATTCTACATTAATTGAGAAATGGGAACGAATAACTCTTTACATGCCGATCAAACATTACTTTATCAGATATATAATTAAATACAGGGCCATAAACTTATTGCTAACATCCTTGACCATTCTAAACTCTTTTGGATAACTGTTAAGGCTTAGAAGTTGACATGGACACGATCGAATTAATATTCATGAGACAAAACTTTGTAGATGACGACAAGTTGGCAACTTGTCCAAGTGGCTGTTTCTCGGGGAGAACGAAGACATACTTTGTTTCGTTCTTCGGCATCGAAGTCGTGGCTCGAAGGGTGACAACATCGAAGGATATGTATGTTGGAGGTTCCACGCATCGAGACGTTCGAGGTAATACCAGTCGTAGCGTCGACCTTCGAGCGAAGGAGAAGATTCACAGGGATCCATTTGAATGGTTCTCAAGTGTTCTATAGCCTTCGTCCACAACATAGACTGAGAGATACATCATTGGCCATAGCGTGTCCGAAGTCGACCTTACGTTGATTAGGAAAAGGATTTAACGAGGAGGAGGAGGAAGAACGATTCCGTTTTTGGCTCCGTATACGCCACCGGTATCGGGGTACTTCGAGTTGCGAGGGAACGTTGAGTCTTTAACGATGACCGAGTGTATTCATCGCTACCAGGCCAAGTCTCCAATGGCGTGTTTGCTCGTGGAGAAGGAGAAAGAACACTTGTTCTTTGTCGGCATCATACATTCGGATAAGAGAAGAATAGGATTAGGAAAAGGACCAGCTGGTTGTTTAGAGAGTTTTATCTTCCTCTTACAGATGAAATCAATGCTTTGTTCATGCACTTTTAGGATGACAAGAACATGAACATAAAACCAACGTTTACCCTATATTTATTGGTGTTTACGAGTCCTGGAAACATAGAACATAGATGCAGGACAGCATCACACGGCCTGCATGTTACTCCTAAAGCCAGCAACACACATGAGACATAGCAGTGATCATGACACAATGGATGGAATGCTTGTGGCAGAAAGATCCACCAGCCAAAAGAGCACAACCGTGTCACCACCTCCCTCTTAATGGTGCTCCTGGGTGTAGATGTAGTCAGTGTGAGCTGCCAGGGATCTCCTCATCAAGCATTCATCCGCCCCGACGCCCTCACATCCTTCCACCCTCTCCGGCGTCTCCTTCTGCACGCCCTACAGTAACCACAGATCACTTAGTTTCTCCAAACAAAAGCACTAAAAACCAGAGTGCGTAGGGGATCATCGGTGCACCTGAAGGCTGGTCTTCTCTGGATATTCCACTGGCGCTGTCCGGCCCGCATGGGCTAAAGACACGAAGACGAGGAAAGCGATGAGCACAAAGGTTATCTTCATGGAGTTGTGAGAAGGAAGAAGAAGAAGAAGAAGAAGAAGAAAGAGGAGGAGGAGGATGGGTGAGGAACGTGAGGGGCTGGAGGGGGGGTTTAAATAGCATGGGGAGACACTGTTGGGAGTTGTATTTGGTCAGCAAAGGACATGGCTTCCATTCGAGCATTGATTTCTTCGGCCGAACGAGAGGTGGAGATCCATCGTTGGCATCCATGAAAGCGCAGTGGCTGTTGCGGCTCTGTGGCGAGCGGGCCTGATCGGGTCAGCCGGAGAGAAGATTTGATTTCATTTAATGCCTTCAGACCTCCTCATAACTCCGAAGCAAAGGAGGATTACTTGACACAGATTTCACAGCACAGATCCTTAGAGAACTGAGCGTTAGGTTTTTGTGGCTTCTTCATTCACGCATCAGACAACAAAGGAGTCATTATTATGAATGATTTCATCACGATAATAAAGGTTATTTCACTCCTAATAGTAACTTGATAAGCTACATAATGCAATCCAATCACGTCCTTATCGGTGAAAATGAACCCCCAAGACTTTGGGAATTTGGTTTATATTAAAATCTCCTTAGGAGTAAATCATGTATTGCCATACATTGCTTTTGAAAGCAACATCAGATTTTTGTCCATATATGAGGTGTTGTTTTGCCCCACATATATATATATATATATATATATATATGAATTAGTGTAATAATATTTTTAATCATTTAAAACTCGATTGATGAATTTATACGTTTCAAAAACTCAAAGTTAAAATTATAAATAATAAGAATAAGATAAAGTCACAAATACAAATAAAGAGAGATAAACTAATTTACAATGATTCGATCTTTTCAATTTACGTCTATTTTTTATTTCTCTTCTCTTAATGTCATCGACTTTCACTATCGATCTTCTTTTCAATTAGTGAAGATCAACTACCCTTGTTATAATTATTTTTTTTTTTAGGTTAAAGAGATAAATTTCACATACTTTTTTTTTATATATATACAAGATCTCTCATCTCCTACAACTTAGAATTATAATTAAAAATAATAATACATAAATTAAAAGTTTATCCTATTATTTCTAAAAAGTTCAAAGTAAAAAATAATAGACGAGGTTAAAGATATAAAAAAAAAAACGTTACTTAAAAGAATTCCTTTTTTTTGCATGACCTTCATGTGATAACCTTATATTTCCAAGATTATTAGTGGTAAGTAATATTAGCGGGCAGCAAATTAATGAACAATTGATTGGGTTGGCAGGGCTGAGATGGATCGATGCGACTCGAGGCATTCAATGACATTAATTGCTGTCCAAAGCCTCTTTTGCTTTGAGAAAACTGATTGCCTCCACCGCACCTTTGATCGCCATTCCCAAACCTAACTTGTTTGAAGCAGATAAAGACGATCAACTTCGGCCATTACTTAGCCACCTGCCCTAACACGTTTCTCACACACACACACACGCTAGAAGACGAAGGCTTCTGATCTGTGCCATAGAACATCAACCAGTTGTACCCATCACTCCCATCTATATGCGTATGTTGGAGGAAACTCGATCGCTTTTTTGCGGGATGATCCTTCACGTGATTGGGTGCTCCGATCACATGGTCATGGACCCATCTCGAATTGATTGATCCATGCTTTGCTTTTATATGTGGATGAAAGATTTTAGATATTTATAGTATATCATAAGTTTTTGAACGGTATTAGCATCCAATATAATCGATACGAAAGCCCTCGAGATGTTCTATATGATAGGGCATATTCGGGTACTACACTTGCAATAATAGTAAGCCATGTCAACGCCATTACGAAGCCTTAGGATTGATATTGTTCATTCCGTTAATATGACACCTCGAACTAGGATTGGATGATCGCTTGTTCCTACGCTATTCGAGACTATAGGATACGATGCCGTATAGCACAAAGTCGCTCCAGAAAGCTCGGAACGACGTCACATGGTGCGGATTCATGCAGGTCGGTTAGTGCTCACATAGGAGGTATAAGCTAGTAGTTCGAAGAATCGGCTACCATTAATAGATTACGTATGATAGACCCTCGTTTGTAGGTATAAAAGCCAACCCCTTGATTGGTGTCAATGGGAGATTTCGAGCATTTAACTATTTCTTACTTCACTTAACACTAACTTAACCTTCGGAAGGATCGAGTCCGGAAATCCCTCTCATAACCTCAGCCTGCATGTAGGAGTCTGACAACGAGCAAGCAGGCTACTCGCTTCCACCACCCGAGCTTCTGTGTGAGCAAACCTTGTGCATTCGGGATTGGATCGAGCCGCGCTGACATCTCGGCCACGGCGTAAAGGTTCACTAACACTTTCGGTTTTAATTTTTGAAACGATGATTTCGATTTGATTAAACTTCAAATTATCAATTTGATCAAACTTCAAATTATCGATTTTGATTTCATTTCAAATCACTTGTTTGATAAAGAAAAATAAATTATTTTACTAAGATTCAAACTCATTACACAATTAAATCCATTTGTGTTTTTTCTTTTTAAATGGGTTCGGAAATTTTAGAAATTGAAATCGAACCGTATGACTGTGTTTTCAATTTGATTTAAAATTATTGAATCATATAAAATCTGAATTGATGGAGATCTAATTTCAATTCGAATCGAACCGGACTTTTTTACTTATATAGCTTATTCGACCTGATAGCTCATTCTACTGATCTTTGGAGGTCTGTGAAGGCGGATCGGCCACGAGGTGCCCACTACCAGAGGAAAGAGACCTTCACGAAAGAAACCAGACGCATGGCCGCCCACATCACAAAGCATCCTTATCTCTGGTAACATCACAGGGCAATCGACCCACCCTTCCTCACTTCAGGACACCATGGGCATTCATTGAAGATGGCGACCGGTGGAAGCCAGCATGCAGAAGAGGATCCCAGAAAACTCAGGAAGCCTGCAGTGGATTTGTGGTAACATACTGTGTCTTGGATGACAGCGTGTGGGTGGCAGATCGCAGTACGTTAGCAGTGGACCAGAATTACTCTCTGGATATTGGTCTTTGACGACGCTGCACCATGAAAACAACACCTGCAGATGGTCGGCTTGATCACCCCCCCCACCTCACGATCCTGGCTTTGAATCCATATCGATGCATCTGTGCATGTCAATGGAGGATGCCAAGCTTTTCATCTGCCTGAAGCAAAGCATACTTCAACGCTAGTGATTCTGTCAGTGGCTATGAAGCCCACTGGAGGCTCTTCAAGGTTTCCAATTTCATATATCCACGCTAGCTACATTGGAGTCCAACCCAATGCAGAATGGGAGGAGGCTCTTTGAGTTGCTACAAGAGCAGGCTGCGTTGTGCTGGCTCGAGAGCGCTTGCAGGAGGCTTAGAAAGCTCAGCATCCATGGCTTCAACAGGAGGAGAGGAGGGAGGCCGTACTAAACAAAGCTGCATGCAACATGGTAATGAAGAAGGGCCCGAACTGGGAGCCCGTAGCTCTCGTAAGAGGAAGATGCAGCAGTTTCTGTTCTTTCTTTGACATGGGTGGCAAAACCTGTGCTCGAGCTGCACTTTGACGAAGGTTCACCGTTCGCAACCCCATGCAGCCATACTTCTTCTCTCGTCCTTAATTCCTTGCATTAGATGACGAGCTCCTTCCTCGGGTGAACGCTCGCACCAAGATGCCTCCGGAGCAGCAGCGCCATGTTCTCCTGGATTCTCTATGGGAGGTGGAAGATAGATAGGCTTTGAAGGTCTCATGAGGAGAAAGGAGGTTTCACGAACATAAGCCGATCGATAGATTCTGATCTGTCCACGTCCAGGGAAGGATGGAACCATTTCCGGCTTGAAATGAAGGAGATCGGCGTCGAGATCGAAACCATCTTCTTCGAAGAGGTCAGAGAAGAAGCTGCACAAGAAATGCTAATTGATGGATGCGTGGAGAGTTGTACGTACGTGTTGGGTTTGGTGGGCCCATTAATTGATGAGTGGAGAGTCGGTGTATATATGTGTCGGGTTTGGTGGGCCCAAAACGTGAATGCAAGTTTTGAGCCTGTTTACGGCTCAGTGTCAGTGTCGGCCCAAAATTGAAATCTAGGGTTAGGGTTCCTCATTAATTGGTTCGGCCGTTCGGGTGCGTTTGCGTTCCAGCCGTCTTGGTTTGTTCCTGCTCTCTCCTTTCGTTCTTTCATTCTCCCTTCCGTTTTCGTTTGTTTGTTTTCTCATTTTCTTTCACTCTGCTCTTGTGGCTGTGATGACTATTTCGTTTCTCGAATCTGATATCGATGTCATTCGAGGACCGCCTTGATGACTTCATTTGTGCGTGTCTGAGCCATTTTTGTTCTTGTTCTTCGATCTAAATTGTAGAAATCAAACATTTAGATCACCTGATTGACGGGATCGGATGATGATCGATGTGGATTTTACTTTTGTTACTGATTTGATAGTTTGATTAGGCTTCATATGTGCATATTGATTGGATCAGTGGAGAAGGAAGGGGAAGTTGATTAATGAGAACTCAAATTTAATATGCTTGTTTTAGCTCTTGGAGGCCTTCTTTCTTGTGAAATTTTAGATTTCAATGTTGCTTGGTCTCAGGAAGATGCCAGCTAAATCTTGGGGCTTTCTCCATCAAGGTAGCTAAGTTTTATAATGTGCCGTACTTGTCATTTATTTTTTGCTTCATTTCTTATAGAAAATGCAGCTAATTTGTTATTGTGAGAAATGGTTTCATACAGTGTTTATAGGATCTGTCTATGATTTTGATGCAATGATTATAAGTAATTCTTCATACTAGCTAGTTTTGTCATTGGCATGACACACACAAATATATACATACATATATATACACATATACATATACATATATATACATACACATATATATATACACATATACATACATATATGTACATACATACAAATATAAATATATATATGTATATATATGTATATATATATATACATATACATACATATATATACACATAAATATATATATATATATATGTATGTATGTATGTATGTATGTATGTATGTATGTATGTATGTATGTATGTATGTATGTATGTATGTTATGTATTTGCTATTGAGTTTTGATTAAACCAATAACTTACATGTTGTTTAATGCACATTGTTAGTGAAGATCCAGCCTTTAGTTTGTGTGATGCCCCTTTTTCATATAAATATGTATGTATGTATTTGTTATTGAGCTTTGATTAAACCAATAACTTACATGTTGTTTAATGCACATTGTTAGTGAAGATCCGGCCTTTAGTTTGTGTGATGCCTGTTTTTCATATGGCCACTTATGTGTTATGGCTTTTGTTTCAATCTCAGGAGCTATTTGAGTTGGAGGATCTGTGTGATGCATGCATGTGGTGTGTTTACTGCACTGTTCTGTACTCATATGGGCGCATTTAATCTTTGAATGGATAGCTTTTGGTTGAACGAGACCGATTCTGAGCTGTTTTCATTGAAGGTGTGACAATCATTGGTTGTTGGGATTTCATGTTTTTAGCCATTGGTTTGTCTCTTTGTTTATTTTTTTGAGATTTAATTATTTTCCTTACCAAGTGCATGTTTGATGAGTAATTCTACTTCTTGATCTTGATATCTTGTTTTCGTTTTGACTACTTGTGTATGTATCTCGGACAACTTTTTCTTGTTCAGAATGTGTAGTTTAGTAAAATATTGTTAGTTCTGTGTGCCAAAATGACCTTGGAGATAGCAATATGTTTCATCTGTAGAGTAAATGTCATGTAAAAATATTCTCTCATATCAGTTTGGGTTTCCTAAGTGTAAATTCCAAATATTTCTCTTCTTGTAGGTACAAAGAAAGCCTTTTATTATATGGCATGGAATTTAGTCTGGGGAGCATATATAAGTATAAACTCGCATTGCATTTATAGCTCATTGTTCTCATCAGGATAGACTATATAAATTACTCGAGTCTCATGTAGATCTTACAAAATGCAGATTCTAATATGGCATTAGAAGCATGAGTACTTGACATGTTCTGAGATTATGATGCATGCCAATAGCAGGAAATCAGACAGACTTCATCCTTTTTTTCACTTTTTAATTTGATCAGATGTGGCCATTTACAGCACAGTAGTGTTTCTGCATTATGCCAGAATGCCATCGATGCTGCTGCTTTGTTTCCTCCTGTGAGCCTCATATGACCGAAGCAATTCACATTGGCACAGCAAAATGTGAATCAAGAGAACGTTTATCTTCATATGTCTCGACTCATTCCTCGGATTGTTGGGAATTTTATAGCAATTCAGGTGGTATATTTGTGCATCCACACTGTTTGCTGGGACATGAATTGTGGGAATTAACGAGTTGGATTGGGTTTCTTATGTTATCAATTGATAGTATGTTATGGTACGGATGTTAGCACCATAGCAGTGACCTCCAAAGTTGGCTGAGCTCCACATTGTAAAAGATTATTTCTAGTTAGAATTAATCAAAATGCACAATAAATCCACTCCATCATTCTTTCATCTATTGTTATATGATCATCAATTGAATCCTTAAATATCTCTCTGTTTGCAGTGTGATGTTTACTCTCAGTATCCCTATAATTAACATTAGTTAGCTTAAATAATTATGATTTCTGTTAATAATAATAAACTGATAAAGACCAATCTCAGTGGTAGGTATGAGTTTTTCTATTACAAACAATATATCTTGTTTATCTATTTCTTTACAAAATTAAAATCTAGAATAAAAAACTATGATTAAATGATATATTTAATTATTTTTAAATGGAGTAATTTTTTATAAAAAAAGAAGCTTATTATTGATAATACTTGTAAAAATAATAAAATTTATTTTATTATTCACATTTTTTTAATTATTAATCATATTCTTATTCTTATATTATCCTATTTCACGTAATTATAAATAGTAAAAACATTGCAAATAATTTGTGTATTGTGGGAATAAATCTGAGGCGGCGACGTAAAAGAAAGGCAGATGGAGCCGTCGTGGCTCATCAGATCAACTGAAGGTTGGGGCGAAAGGGTTTCTCTGTGAGTGAATCACCGGATGGGGGCGGGAGAAGGAGGGGGGGAAATGGCGGCGGCTGCGGTATCGCTGGACGGGGTTCGGGACAAGAACGTCATGCAGCTGAAGAAGCTCAACACTGCCCTCTTCCCTGTCCGCTACAACGACAAATACTACGCCGATGCCCTCGCCTCCGGCGACTTCACCAGGCTCGGTCGGTCCCGTCTCCTCCCTGCCCTCGATTTGGTTTCTTCGGAACCCTACTTCTCTTTGCCCTTGGTTCTTGTTTTCTTGCTTGCCGTGTGGACCATTTTCTAGCCGTTGGAAGCTGCGATTTAGCTTCTTGATTTCTGTGACAAGGGTCTACTTGCCGTGATTTGGCTTCTTGATCCTTCTGGCTAGCATCTTTTGTTATTTTTTTTTCGTGTGTTTATTGAGTGAACTCATCTTGCATCGACGATCGCTCACCCTTTCTTTGTCATCGCTTGCTTTCATGATTTTGACAGTATTCTTGATGTGTTTGGGCCGTCAGATTTGTGTGCTTATTTCATTTATATTTGTGTGGTTGCTGTTGTTATGTTCCAGTAGATTCTACTGATAGTTCGCTGATGTTTAATGTGCTGTTTGTCGGACCAGATGTGATTTAGAACCTTTGGGATCGATCACACAGCTTAGGACACTTTCTATCAAATGCAGGCTTCAGAGCGATATGAAATCACTTGGTACTATTCATAATCTGACCTAAAAAGAAAATGCCCACCGAGTGACAACCAGTTAATATTCATTGAGATGTCTTTGCTAGCATGTTTTAGGCCTCTTTTAGAATTGCTATATTAAGAACCAACAGCAAGGAAGTTAGCTTTCTTCAGAAAATTAGCTATACACTTGCTTGAGGTTTTGGAGTGCTCCACCGTAGATCGAATATATTTAGTTTCTTTATGAATACATCACCTTAAAAGGCTTTGGGGATACTTGCCTTGTCCTTCAGTTCCTACTTTTAGCACCTCGAAGGTTTCAGTTAAAATATTACTGAAATCATCTCGTGTCACCTAGCTAGGTTGGTAATCATGCATTGAAGTCTGAAAACATATACATTGTATAAGGGAGACTGTAAGAAGGTTGCTGGGGAAAATATACCTTGTAAAAAGGATGGTTATAATTTTGGCATGACTGAAAACGAAGAGAAAGACATGTGCGCGGGCTAAAGTGAGAGGCTAGTGATATAAAAACAACAAGCCAAATTAGTTTTTGTAAATTATCTTGAAAGTAATTACGTTTCGCTATAGTCAATCAGCACAAGAGCATGCTAAAACGGCATAATGCTAGTGTAGGGCTTATGTTGACATGTTATGTGCATGGGGGCTTGCTGCTAAAGTTGGAAGGTATGATGAGTCAGGAAGGTGGAGTTACTTTGGTGATTTAGTCGAGCATTCTTTTTCTGAGCTTGAAAAAGAAAATGCTTGTGGGACTTGTTTGTTTATGCTGAAAAACATGGTAGATGAGATAAGAAAGTGGGGTAATTAATTATAGTTTTTAACATGATATCCTGATTGAAGAATTAAACTGTTTAGGATTTTCAAACTTTGATTGTATGGTCAATACACTAATCAGCAATATATAACAAAGGCAAATTTCATTCAAAAATTTTTGTGCTGGCATCTTTCTTATATCAAAAGCTCTTCATACCGTAGGGTGTTGCTGTAGGGTGGTCAAGACAAGGTCCCAGACTGTGAAGAAAAGGATATTTGAAAAGTTAACATGTTGTAAGCTCCTTTTTTATTTTAATTAGTTATTTGTTTCCCTTGTTTTTGGTCACTACAAGCATGTCTGCCCATGCTATCTACCTGGTTCTGTGCATTTCAACCGTCAAGCAACGGCCCATGTTCCACCAGTATATAAATTTCATGATATATTATCTATCATAAATTTGCTTGTATGTCGAATTATGAAACATATGAGGAGTTTTTTGGAAAAAGGATTAAGATATCAAATAGTTGTTTTTTGAAGATTAATTTGGTTTTGTGAGCATAAATTGGTCCCTAAAGATGCTTATATATTTAAAAAACATTAATGGAAATATGAAAAAAAAGAAGAAAATCATGTGTATGACGTTTATTGACTTATATCTTATATAAATTCCTTAGAGATCTGTAGAAATTTGAGCTAGATGTATAACATAAAATGTGAAATGATTACATTCTTAAAAAGCTAGGTGTGGTACCGTTTAGAAGTAAATTAACAAAAAATTTGATTAAGGTGATTTGGGCATGTCCGAGGAAACCTATAATTGCATCAATGAGGTGAATTGAGTTATCTCTATAACACCCCAATTTAGTATTATATCGGAAGTAGACCAAGACTCAGATTGAATGACAAGGTTTGATCGTGTGCTATTGTTAATTGGGCTTAAGTATTTTGAATCATTTTAGGCTCAACGAAGTTAATAGATTGATCATCTCATTAGGTTGGGTTGTGACAAATGGTATCGGTGCTAATTGGGGTATAGTGAGAGGTTCGAGTAGGAAATGACCATCCATGGTGGATGAGCCAAAAGATACGTCACGATGTGGAGTCATCATTGAACTATGCCTCACATGCACAATACTAGAGTTTGATTCTGGTTATGCTGGGTCTTGCCGAGAATGTTATACCCTAAGTGGAGTAGATTGTAACACCTCAAATTTCAGAAAGGAAGAAATAGAGAAAAACCAAGTCAGTCTTGGTTAAAACAGTGAGAAAGGGTAAGATAGCCCTTGAATTCTTGAATGATGTTGGTGTTAGGTTGTTGCATCAATGGAGCACTTTGTATTTAAGAAACCTGTACTCCTTGAAAATGTTGATATGGACTAGGTTGCCATGCCCAAGTGACTATCATGACACATGGATTTTGGCAGTGGATTGACATCATTTGGTATATCACTAATTATATTGAGTTAGATAATGATGTGAATAAGCTTCATTTGTTGAAATAGGTGATGCAAAGTCTTTAATTATGGCATAGATGAGCATATAGAACCTACTTCCTATTTTATGGAAGATTTTAACTCCACTAACCTGCTCCATGAAATAAAAAATTATTTGGTACTAATTTTTCTGAAGAAAGACGTTGTCCATAGTTGCATGAAATATGGAAGAATCACAATTATATGGTACCATTTGATTCTTGATAGAGTGACTAAGCAAAGATATACTGAAGGAGCTTCTGGACTTCTAATTGTATCCTATTTTCTGTTCACAAATTTACAGAACATTTTTGCTAACATTTCCATACGTCTGTAGCTTATTTCAGTGACATATGTGTTGGTTCAATTGCATGTCGGCTTGAGAAGAAGGAAGGAGGGGCCATCTGTGTTTATATTATGACCCTAGGTGTTTTGGCACCATACCGTGGGCTTGGAGTTGGTAAGACTCTATAGTTTATGTTTTATGATCCAGTTTATATATCTATAGATTTCTTTTTTTCGTTATGCAACTTTTCCTTGTAGTTCATGCTGTGGACATCTCACTTTATCTTTTTAACAAGTTTTTTCTTTCGTTCCCAGGTTACATATTTTGTTTTTATAACATATGAGACATAAAAACTTAGTGAAAAATAACAGCCCTTTGTGTTTTTCTGAAACAAATTCCAGAAAATTCACATGTAATTCATGTTATTGCTTTGAGGATGAAGGATAATCTGCTGGATGACTTCATTATATTTGAAAACTATCTTTGAAGATGTGCATATGCAAAGTCTTCTATTTGTCTACTTGTGTGTATTTAAAGGTCACTTGAATTGGTCCTTTTCTCCACTTTGCTGTGGCCCCAACAACTAATTGTCCTGTTGCATCCTCTACCATCAAACATGTCTCCTTCCCTCCTGTCTTTTCATACCTTTCATACTTTTGATCAAACAGATGCAGGGCACAAGCCGACAATGACCAGAGAGCATTGGGAGATAGAGGAGAAAAGGAATGGTAGAAAGATGGGATGTACCATCTGACCGCCATCCTCATCCATCTTGCTACCGTCAACAATACTTCCTGCAACATGAAATACTGTACTATGCTGGCCCACAGCAAGTACTTGGTACTGGTATTTAAAATGTTGTCTAAAACCGTCTAACCTACATTCATCCTTCCCCCAACCAACAGCTTAGCTCCAGTCTCCCTACCTGTTGATCACTGCCACCTTATCCTGAGGTTCAACACAAGAAACAAGACTGTAAATAGGACTTTATCAGGGATTCTAACCACTCACTCATGTTTGCCAATTTATAGCTTGTGAAGGTACTTCTCAGCCCTAACTGATTGGTAACCGGCTACAGTCTTATCGATCGTCACTACTTAATATGTGGACTGCATTTCAAGTGAGATTAGATGTGTGATATAAATTGCCTTCAAGAAATTTAATGAAAGATCTTAAGAAGGTCAAATTCTCATTGCATAAATCATCTTTTTTTATGCATTGAAGTATCTGATTAGGATTATATGCTCTTTTCCTTGTAGTAGTATTTTTTTTTTCTTGAGACATCATTTTCTTTAACATATGTTTAATGCAAGTAGTCATTATTTTCTCTTCCTTGATGTATGGTAGCACTTTCCTCCATCCCTTTCTGTAAGAAGCACAGTGCTTTATCCTTAATGAATATCTGATTACACAAGTAGCAACACAGTTAAGGGTGAGATTTTGTACAATGGTTAGATTTCCACTTTGCTACCGGGGTGACAAAACACTATCTAATCTATTCGTAGAGGTAAGACCTACATACATACAATGATGCTCTTTAGATCGTGCATTGGATGAGAGTCTCATGCACTATGGATATCCTTTACATGTGGTGACATGGTTCACATGTTTAAACTAACTTGACATTATTGCTTGGCATACATTGTGATGTTGAGTCAGCCTTCCACATTTCATGGTGAGTTTCTTATTAAACATTAGTGTCTCGCGGAGATCTAGAAAAGCTTTGTAAAATTTTTTAGTATAAGCTTAATGCCCGTCATACATTGCTAGTCAAACTATGTAAAATTTTTTAGTATAAGCTTATGCGGTTGTTTGGCAGTCTCGAAACTTTTCATAACTTGTTTTAATATGCAAGTCATTGTTTTCTAGTACCAGACATCTGCAGAACGATTTTTACTTATAAATTGGTTAACCTCTGGGGCTGGCTTTCTCAGCTCGATTGTTTTCCATGGTAAACATGTTCTTATTGTATATAAACCTTCTGGTTTGAGTGCTTTTTTTGCATTTCATCTCAGATGGTGTTTGGGTTTTTATGTTTTACAAATGTAATCGCTTGTTCGAAGTTATATTACAAAAATTATCAGCTTTAGAAATTTGACCATCTTATGAGACTCCTTGTTCATCTTACCAGGTACAAAGTTGTTGAATCATGTACTGGACTTGTCACACAAGCAGAATATTTGGGAGATCTACTTGCATGTGCAGACAAACAATGACGATGCAATTGCCTTCTATAAAAGGTTTGGATTTGAAATCACAGACACCATACGGAATTATTATATGAACATCAGTCCACCCGATTGTTATGTGCTCAGTAAAGTCATTCCCCAACCTCACTCAAAAAAATGATCCTTGGTGTGCCATCTCTGGACCTGAAATTTTAGACAACAAATGGCTTTCAGCCTATGAAATATTATTCCGAGAGTGTGTTTGCTTATCCTAATTTCTTCGGAGGTGGCGGAAGACTTTACTGGTGAGTCTTCCATGCAGGACTGACTATATGTTGTTGGCACAAGGCTACCACGACTTGTTGGTGTGAAAAGGCCATTGACTTGTTGGTCTGCTTTAACTTGGTTTTTTTGGCAACAGGAACACCCTCATGATAGAGTTTGTTCAATGGTATTTGATTCTGACTTTTTTTTTTTTTCCTTCCAAATAGTTGCAATATCGAATGAACCCTAGTTTTATTTTATACATGTGTTGGAGTGAAATGATTTATAAATTTTGCTCCAAGCATGAACAATAAATCTAATCGAATGGTGACTTAAGCCTAAGATTGACTCGTAACTGATTCTTTGTTGGCAGAGATTGAGAGAGAGGGAGAGAGAGAGAGAGAGAGGGGTTCACAGAAAAAGGATATCAGCGACGACGAGGATCTCTCTCTCAAGGATCAACCCTTCAGGTTTTGTTGGAATTTAGCATTGATATGGATTTCTGTCCTGAATCAGGACACGGCAATGTGCCCAGTGGCACGTCATTTTTATGTATGTCCTTGCGGAGAGAAGTGAAGTAATAATTCTTGGGATTTTTGAGAATGAGATCGTCCCTCCTTCCGTGATCAACATTCGTCATGCGGACGTCAACGATTGCAACTTTGGGGAGCGGGGGGAGGTTACCGAATCAGTTTGAGGAAGCTAATTTACCGGGGTGGTTGCGTGACTTGCTTGCTCTGTCAAATTCGGCCTGGGTCGACGGGACGACCCATTCGCTGGGTCCACAGACCCGGTGCACGATCCGGCAGCGGAAAGCGACGCTTGGCCGGCCCACTGAACGGTCGTCGTCCCACCCCCATTTGCTGCTGCTGCAGCACCAAGCTCACCTACCCGTTGTCTGCGGTCCAATGCGTTGTGAATAAGATGGCCCCGTGACATGGTTGGTCTCCGGAGGCTCACGTAAACGGTGGGAGCAGATTGTTTTTGGACAGAGGGAGGGCTTTCCTGACATGGACCACACACTCCTCCCGACTGATTCGCATGGGTCCCTCCCTCCGTCTTCACCGTTCACAAAAGTGGAGTCGGTTGCATGAACACAGGTGGCTCGGTTCCACCGCCGTTTCGGTGGCGTGGGCTTCATGTCGGAACACCCCATGATTCTTCTTCTTCGAACGGGTTTCCGAGGCCACGCAAGACTGAAGGTCCCCCCCGACTCCTTTGATTCACTAGAGCTGGCGGCCTCTGGTCTCTTGTTCAGAGGATGGGAGTTACTCTGAGCCGAACAAACAGGAAACAGAGGAGCGGCAAGCGATAGAGGAAACAAAGAGCCGCTGAGGAGGGAGCCGTCCGCCCGGACAAACCAGATGAAAGCTGGTTCTTAACCTACGTGTTCATGCACCTCCGAGCCCACGTGTTCTTGTCCCCAAGCTGACGTCACGCTCCCTCGTTCCCCCACCCCTCCTTCCCCTTCCCCTTCCCCTTCCCCTCAACCTAACCTAAACAAAGAGGCGGGGGGTGAGGGAAACAGAAATCAGCCTCCCGTGGAGAAAGAGGAGAGAGAAGCATCAGAAATCTTCCCCGATGTCCTCCTCCTTCCGGTCGGATATGGGAACCGATCCGTACGATTCGGTGGGAGACGACCGGTGGATAATAGCCTCAGCCTCCGACCGGGGCTCCTCCCGCGGTGAGATCGACAGCCTCCTCCATGGCGCCGGCTACCGCGTCCGTTCGACGGATCTCCGCCACGTCGCCATTGGCCTGGAGCAGCTCGAGTCCACCATGGTAGGCGACCAGTGCGTCGCGTCCTCGGCGGAGGCGATCCACTACAACCCCTCCGACCTCACCGCCTGGGTCGACTCCATGCTCTCCGAGCTCGCCCCCGACCCGCATTTGCTGCGGCATCCACTGAGCACCGCCGCCGCCAACACGTGGGCGGATCCGACGCAACAACGTCCATCGCTTCATCGTCTAGAGAACCACCACCAGCATCGGAACGTTCCGGCGGTCTCACTCCAGAGCATGGACGAAGAGGAGGACGCGGCCATCCGTCTCGTGCACCTACTCGTCAGCTGCGCCGACTCCGTCCAACGCGGCGACTCCGAAATGGCCGGGAGCCTCCTCGACCAGACGCGGCTGGCTCTCGCCCGCGTCAACACCGGCTTCGGCATCGGCAAGGTCGCCGGCTACTTCGTCGACGCCCTCTGCCGGCGCCTCTACCCTCCGCCTCCGTCTGCCACCGGTGGCGGTGGATCGGCGGCTAATCTGGAGATCCTCTACCACCATTTCTACGAGGCCTGCCCTTACATCAAGTTCGCCCATTTCACGGCGAACCAGGCCATCCTGGAAGCCTTCCAAGGGCACGATCGGGTCCACGTGGTCGACTTCAACCTGATGCACGGCCTCCAGTGGCCGGCGCTAATCCAGGCCCTGGCTCTCCGCCCCGGCGGGCCCCCTCTTCTCCGCCTCACCGGGATCGGCGCCCCCTCGCCCGATGGGCGCGACGCTCTCCGCGAGGTCGGCCTCCGCCTCGCCGAGCTCGCCCGTTCGGTCCAAGTCAGGTTCGCCTTCCGCGGGGTCGCCGCCACCCGGCTGGAGCACGTCCGGCCGTGGATGTTCCAGGTAGCCCCGGGCGAGGCCGTCGCGGTGAACACGGTGCTGCAACTCCACCGCCTCCTCGGGGATCGTGCCTCCCCCGAGGGAGGCGACGCAGCGGCCGCGGAGCCAATCGACACGGTGCTGGAGTGGATCGTGGGGCTGAAGCCCAAGATCGTGACGGTGGTGGAGCAGGAGGCCGACCACAACAAGCCGTCGTTCTTGGACCGGTTCACCGAGGCGCTCTTCTATTACTCGACCATGTTCGACTCGTTGGAGGGCGGAAGAGTGGGCGGATCACATCGCGGTGGTCAGCAGCAGCAGCAGACGGTGGTTGCTGCGGTGGCGGAGGCGTACCTGCAGCGGGAAATGTGCAACATCGTGTGCTGCGAGGGGGCGGCCCGGGTGGAGCGGCACGAGCCTCTGGCTCGGTGGAGAGATCGGCTGGGCCGGGCGGGTCTGAGGGCCGTCCACCTCGGTTCCAACGCGTTCAAGCAAGCGAGCATGTTGCTGACGCTCTTCTCCGGGGAGGGCTACTGCGTGGAGGAGGTGGCCGGCTGTTTGACGCTCGGCTGGCACAGCCGGCCACTCATCTCCGCATCCGCCTGGCGAGCCGACGACGCCGACGACGCATCCCCGCCGCGCGATCACCAGACCCTAGTCCTTCAAGATCACAGCAGCAGCATCACCAGTGGCAGTAACAACGTCGTCGACGGCGACGACCACCTTCACCAACATAGCGTGATGAGGAGTCACATGGGGAGTAGTGACAGGATCAACGATACTGGCAGCGGCAGCAGCTGCAGCAGAGTATAGTTTGTTGGGATGTAGATATAATCCAATGATATTTATCTATCTATCTATCAATTCTCAAGTCTTCTTCTTCTTCTGCTCTTTCCAAGTTCTCTTCGATTTCTTGCTTCCTCGTTTCTTTTCGATCTTCGATGAAATGTGTGATGTTGCAGACAGACAGAAAGACCAGGAGAGCATCTTCTGCGTTATTTCACCATAAAAGAGAGAAAGAAACGTGAACGGGGAGCCCGACGGAGCGGTGCGCGGGTACATTCACGTGGTGCAGGCGCCGTGACAGGTGGACGGACGGTTCACATGCGCACGCGGGGACCGGGGACCTCACGTGCGCGGGGATGTCGCGTTGGCCACCGTACGCCACATCTTTTTTCGGCTGCAATCTGGGCTTGTGGTGGTGTCGGGCAAATTTATGGCACGGGCGCGTGAGCCTTCTCTTTCTTTCTTTTTTGTTAAATGGTGGCCGATGGATGATGATACATACAGACTATATATATTACCTCTTCGTCTTAATGATGCATGCATACAGGTGGCGCCTTAAAGCCAGTCATATTTACTTTTTGCATCACAGACAGACGGCTGCCTGTAATGTGTGTGTTAATGGGTACGACTGCACTTTGTCTATCGCCAGCGAAGTCGTCATGGTTGCACGTTTGGTGGGCCGTCGAGGTCTTCGCCATCCCATCCTGATAGTGCATGCGTGGCCTACGAAGAAGTCCTGCAATTCCACTGCATCATCACAAACGCATCTACACGTGCATTCTGCACTAGATTACTTTTCGAGTCCTGAGAATTTTCTTCCAAAGCAACCAACACTCCACATTTCCTACTCCCAACACTAATGACACTAAATTTGATTAGTCAGTCGATCTGATACCAAAAGGATAAAAAAAGGACGAAGACCAAAAGTTTTCGTAACGTCTTTCAAAATATTTCCATTACGGTATTGATCTACAACTTGTTTTGTTTCTTGATATTTTTTTTGGTCCCAAGAGAACATGAGCTGCAAGGAGAAGAGGATACAAGCAAGAAAATTTTGAGGATTCTGGAATTTCTGAAACCTTAAATATGATGTAATTTAGGCTATCATTTACCTGATAATAAATATCATGCACAGACACACAAAATTATCATAGACTAAATAAACCTAGAGCAGCAAACATTAGCTTGAGAAACACACACCATATCATATTACCAGGCTAGAAATCGTACCTTTGCAACTTAGTCGAGTTTTGGACTGAGATAGTTCTTTGGATCTCTGAAAAACCTAACGATTCTTTCTGCTTTCTCGACCGAAAGGTCAGTTGTCTCCAAAATAAAGCTCTTGGATGCTTTGGATATTGCTTCGATAGAGCCGATAGATTGCACGAGCTAAACAAGCCAAAGAGTGATTGTGTTTCATACATGTCAATAGGAAACTTGTCAAAGCATCAAATGGAAATCAAAGCAGAACATCACTAAGCAAAGCAAAGAGTGACTGTGTTTCATATATATGTCAAGAGGATCCTTATCAAATCCTAAAATGTCATCAAATGGAAATCAAATCAGGACATCACTAAACAAGGTAAAGAGTGACAGTGTTTCATATATATATATATATATATATATATATATATATATAT